AAAATCATGGAAGAAAATGAACTCACTGGGAGAGGCTTCCTGGTGGAAGATATTGCATGGCTGAAGAAGAAGGATAGACCCCTGGGCAGATCCGCTTCGATGGGTATCTGGTTGAACTCACCAGAGGCAGCAGAATGGATCATTAACAACGGACTCTTAGTAGGCCAGAGATATATTGGGAGTGTTGAACTATACCGAGTCGACCAGAAAAGGTGCCGCCGCTGCCAACAATTCGGACACTTGATCTGGTCATGCAAGGAACAAGTAAAGTGTGGACATTGCGCGGGCCAACATGACCAGCGCCACTGTTTCCCAGGAATAAGACCTAGATGCTCAGACTGCAATGGAGAACACCCTACAGGGGACCGGGCGTGCGAGACACCCATGAACCCCAGGTTATCCCAATAATATCGAACCTCCGAATCCTACAATTGAACATTATGAAATCCAGGGCCGGGATGGAAGCCCTGATCAATGACCACCAAAGCCAGAATCTGGATATACTCCTAATTCAGGAGCCACCAATGACCGCATATCACACCCATGTTAACCATAGCGCATGGCGACTCTATCGACCAACATACGCTGATGAATCAACTCGATCCCGCAGCCTCCTCTATGTGAACAGGAGGGTCTCTACATCGTCACATCGCCAAATCCACTGCAACCACCCGGATGTCGTGGCTATCAAGATCTGGACCCCAGAAACCCAATATCTCATTCTTTCAATATATATCCAACCAATAGAACTCTACCAACCGGTCGAAGCCAACAGCGCCCAAAAAGTTCTAGATGAGATCCAAGCGACCATCCAGCAACACTCCAATGAAAATAATCGAACAACCAAACTTATCTTAGCGGGTGACTTTAACCGTCACCACCCGGCATGGAGCCACCGCCCGGTACATCACCGCTTCGCGGAATCTGCGGGAAGAGCTGATTAATTTCTTTCAAACCCACGAACTACAATGGTGCCTGCCCCGAGGCCTGCCCACATTTTGGTCCCTTAACAACCCCGGGAAGACATCGGTCCTAGACCTCACGCTCACCAATGACACAGCAAGGTTGATCAAATGCCAACTTTACCATGAACACTACGGATCAGACCACCGTGGAACATACTCGGAATGGAGCCTATTGCCTGAACAAACTGTAAAGCCCAGGCCTAAAAAAGAGCATATGACCGAGCCGACTGGACGAAGGTGGGCCAGAGCATACTCTCCCTGGTTAACCTTAACCCACAACCACAGATTTTATCACCCCGGGACCTAGACCAGGCTAGACAACCTAATTCAATCAACAACCACTGTCCTCGACCAACAAGTCCCAATACTGAGACCATCACCATACTCCAAACGCTGGTTCACGGTAGAGCTTAAAACCCAACAGGTTGAGGTGAACCAGGTTCGCCGAAGATGGCAAGATGGCTGCGCCACACTAGGGCCTAGCCACACAATAACCAAGATCCTCTTCCAGAACATGCAACAGAAAAGGCGAGAGTGGACAAGAACTATTGAAAAAGCAAAAGCAACTCACTGGAGAGAGTTCCTTGACAAGGCAGGTGAAGGCCACCTATGGAAGGCAGCAACCTACATGCGCCCGCGAGACGCCCACTTAAGTGTCCCAACGCTCAAGGTGGACACCGAAGAAGTAACAGATAATCAAGAAAAAAGGCTAAAGCATTCCTGGAAGCCTTCTTTCCCAAAATGGCAGACGCTGAGGAGGAAGAACTAGCGGCTCCTGTAGAAGAACTGCCATGGGAACCGATCACCGAGCTAGAAGTGTATCGATCTCTTAAGGTTGCCAAAGGCACCACCGCCCCGGCGAAGATAGAATCCCGACACTACTATGGAAGCACCTATGGACGCACCTGAAGGAGATAATTACCAAGATCTTCACCAAATCAGTGGAACTGGGCTACTACCCCAGCCAATGGAAACGGGCGCGTATTATAGTGCTACGCAAACCAGGTAAACCAGACTATTCAGCACCTGGAGCCTACCGGCCTATCTCACTGTTGAATACCCTGGGAAAGTTACTAGAGGCTGTTATGGCCCGAAGACTTTCCTACTACTGGGCAGAGAAGCATGGACTACTTCCAGATACACAGTTTGGAGGCAGACCGGGACGCAACACTGAACAAGCCTTGCTAGTGCTCGCCAACGCTATCGATCGAGCATGGCTGCGATCAAAGGTGGTCACGCTTGTCGCATTTGATCTAAAAGGCGCATTTAACGGAGTAAACAAGACCAGCCTCGACGCCCGGCTGCGAGCCAAAGGCATCCCATCCAAAGCTCGACAATGGATTCAAAGTTTTATGGACAGCCGGAAAGCCAGTGTCACATTCGATGACTTCGAGACAGCAATCCTACCATTAGAGAACGCAGGTCTAGCACAAGGATCTCCACTGTCACCCATTCTCTTCGGTTTCTTCAACTCCGACTTGGTAGATCAACCGGTTGATTATAATGGTGGAGCATCTGCCTTTATTGATGACTATTTCCGCTGGCGAACCGGCCCATCGGCAGAGGCGAACCTAAAGAAGATCCAGGATGAAGATATCCCCCGGATTGAAGCATGGGCCGACGAACGGGCTCCTCCTTTGCTGCAGAAAAGACGGAGCTAATCCACCTAACCCGGAACAAGAGAGAACATGGTGTAGGACAGATTATTATAAATGGCAAGGTTATCAAACCCGCCGACACGGCGAAACTCCTGGGAGTTATCTTCGACAAAGAGATGCGATGGAAAGACCATGTGCAACAGGCAGTTAAACGAGCAACCAAGGTTAATATAGCATTGGGGGACTAAGACATCTCCGGCCAGAACAAATGCGACAACTCTACCAAGCATGCGTGACACCAGTAGTAGACTACGCATCTACAGTCTGGCACAAACCACTCAGGGACAAAACGCACCTGCGGCTCCTGGGCACAGTCCAAAGGACCGCTCTCATCCGGGTGCTCTCAGCCTTCAGGACAACCTCAACAGCAGCGCTAGAAGTGGAATCCTATACACTTCCTACCCACTTGCGACTAAAGCAACGCGCACAGATCGTGGTTGCCCGCCTTAGTACACTTCCGGAAAACCATCCAATCCACGGTGTGATAGCACGGGCTAGGATACGAAGCGGACATAGGAATCCCGACCCCCGGTTCCCCTAGCAGAAACCATGCGGACGATGGACCTAGACCGACTACAAGCTCTGGAGACGATTGACCCGAGACCGCTAGCACCATGGCGAACACCGGCCTTTACCGAAATCGATATCGAGCACGACCGAGAGAAAGCCAAGGCCAAGGCCTTAGCTAGGGAAATGACGAATAGTATTACTGTTTTCTCAGACGCCTCAGGGCAACATAACCAACTAGGAGCGGCGGCAGTAGCCCTGGACCAGAGTCTCCAGATCATAGGATCGCGACAGATTTGCATCGGCTCAATGGAGTGCTGGTCGGTATATGCCGCCGAGCTTATGGCAATATATTATGCAATCGGCTTGGTCCTTCAACTGGCTCAAAAGAACCAACACACCCTAAGCCCCAATCGGGAACCGGCAACAATCCTTAGTGATAGTATGTCTGCATTACAGGTAATAGCAAACGCATGGAACAAGTCTGGTCAGCGAATTATCCAGGCTATTCATCAGTCTGCTGGAGAGCTGAAAGCACGTGGAATCCCCTACGGCTCCAGTGGGTTCCGGGACACTGTGACAATCCCGGAAATGATGCAGGGACCGCCTGGCGAAGGAAGCAGTTGGTCCAGATAAAAGGCATCCCTTTCAACGCCTCTTGTCACGCGAAAAAGCGCATATCCGAGACAGAATCACTGAGGAGTGGGAACGAGAATGGAGGGCCTCAAAGAAAGGGGGCACCTCCGCCGCATTGACGCAGCCCTACCCTCAAACCACACGCGCCGGCTCTATGGCTCGCTCCCCGGAATCGAGCCTACCTGCTTACGCAACTCCGAACAGGCCACTCATGGCTTGCGACGCATGGTATGCGACACGGCTTCCGAGAAACAAACAGTGTGAATGTGGTGCACCGAAACTGTGGTCCATGTACTGATTGATTGCCGCGGCTGAGCGGGCTACGACAAGAGCTACGGGGAAGATTGGAAGAGCATTTAATAATATTTCAGATATGCTGGGAGGAGCAGGGCAAGGTAAGGAGGGTAGGTTAAAAGATGCCACGCAAGGCAGTAGCATTTTAAATGCAGTACTGGACTTTGCAGAAGCATCTCAGAGATTTCGAAGTCGCGCGCCACGAGGGCCGCAGAACAGAACACCAGGCATCGGCCAACACAGGCCTTGACGAGGCTCCAAGTTCGTCGGGAAGTAATAGTTTGCTGTAAATAGATGCACATATAGAGCAGTGATAGGGGTATCCTGCATATCGCCTTAGGCGAGGGGTCAGCGTATGAATACTACTACTACTACTACTACTACCACTATATCACTGATCTATGTCTACGTCTCTGGGAGTGTCATCGTGCAAAATAACGGAAGATCTAAAGCAATCAGGTTTCTTTCTGATACTCACCTTATCGTACAATTCCAAACTTATCCATGGACCCGTTAATGAACAGCTTCTCCACTCAGTTTTTGGAAATTCTCTACCTCTGTTGCAATTAGGGCAGGGATGAAGCTCAACTTATCTACACCATAAAATAGCGAGCCGAAGTAGGCGTTAAATAGATTTACCGGATTATTATTGCTAGCGCCAACAATTTTTCGAGACAGTTTCGAGATAATTATTGCATTAATGTAGTAGCAATACACAAATATATTGGCAGCTATCTAGCGTTTATATGGCTTAGGCCAATACAGACATATCTGTGACAATCACTACCGGAAATCAATATAAACATGGGTATGCAAATCTCCGCACTAGATGGTCTAGTGCCTTTCTTTAACCCATATAATATACTACTCCTTCTCTTGCATTCCTCCGCGCAGATTATCATATTGCGAAGCAGGGTACTCCAACTGGTTCTTATTTTGTTCAAAAGTTTTCGCCCCCGACAGCACTGACAAACTAATACCATTGTTAGAAAGATTCCGCTGGAAAAGACTCAGGCAGGAGAAACACACCGTGGTAATTAAACTATTACTGCCCGTCTTATCCGAACTGCTTTCCCACCACATTGCACCTCCCAGGCCTTTGGCTTTCACATATTCCCCTTTCATCAGTACCACCTGTGGGTTGTCATATGTGATCAATGTCCTCATGGCTGGATCATAGCTGTAGCTCGCAATGATATCTGTCGCCACATGCTCTTTGGAACCTGGCTGCGGGAGGGCTTTGTAATCCCACACTCCATTCTGCCAGCTGCCATGGCCAACATCGCTAAATGGACTACCAATCCCGTCAGTGCCGGTAAATGACCGGCCATAAAGGGGAATGCCAAGAACAATCTTATCAGCGGCGACTCCAGCTGCAAGGTAGCTATCAACTGCTTGGTTGGTATTAAAAGAGGTTGACCGGGGTTGGATATGCTATTATACACATTGGACTGGTGACCTGTGATGGTTGAGAAACTCCCTGCGTAGTCATACGCCATGAGATTCCAGAAGTCCAGTTGCTGATCCATATCCTTGATATGCAAGGCGTTGATATTCTTTGGGCCTAGAAAATCAATGCGTCAGGGCCTGTTAGATATATGAAGTGTTAAGGGGGAAAAGAAAAAAAAAAAAAAGAAATAGAAAAAGTACCTGCCGGAGATGCCGTGGTAAGAAGAAACCTCTTTCCTCCTGCGTGTGTAGAGCTGTAACAATTAAGTTCCTGATCAGATGTTTGTAAGCTGAAGGATAAATTCTAGAACAAAAAAAAAAAAAAAAAAAAACCTTACATTCCTCACTTCCCTTAGGAGGAGAACAAAATCTGCAGCTTGCTGATCATTTGCCGGATACTATAGTTTATTCTCGTTAGCACAAGATATTTCCAGGGAGAAGGTATTCCATACCTCCCAATCAATATCTAACCCATCAAAGCCCAAGTCACCTAGTAACTTCACAGCTGTTTGTGCAAATTTTTTCGGCCAGCATCTGTACTTGCTGGTGCTGCAAAATTCGATGAATAGGTCCATCCCCAATGGAAAGGAGCACTTTAAGGTTACGGTTCTTCTTCTTCAACAGATACAGCTGCTTTATACATCCATACACATTATTTCCGGGCTCTGACCAGGAGTCGTCCGGATAATGCTTTTCTATATCCGCGTAGGTGTCCGAAAGATATACCTCCCCTGTTCCATTGTCGATATTGGCAAATGCGTATAGAACGTGTGTGAGCCTGTCCACAGGAAGGTCCTGCGGGTTATGGTTGCGACCATAAATTGCCTTAATGATAATCAGTCGTGAAAACTGGAGTGTGATCATATGCAAACAGAACACTGACCCAATTTACAAAGTAAGCAACAGATCGATAACCAAAGTTCTCACGGGCTTCCATGGCGCTGCCACGCTTGCGACTTAAACTCGCAGCTATGTCTGCAGAACAGACACTGGTAAACAGAAGGAGGACACTCAAAGTTAGGCTCTTAAAATGCATTGTGCAAGGCGCGAAGGTAGCAGTGGATAAATATGAGTGGAGCTTTGTATATATATGGTAAATGTAATTTATTTTCTGGCAGGAACTTTACATCGTTTTAAGAGCGTTTAGAAGTTTTGTCATTTGTCCTGCTATTTATTCTGTTCTCCTCTATGCTAGCCTTCTGGGATTTTGAACTTAACACTATCCTACTATTGCACATGTGACCTGCGAACCCATTTAGTAATAAGGTGGGCGGAAGCACCTGCTTATGCCATGTATTTAGTACTTAGGCCTGGGGCATCTTGCAGACCCATTTGGGTACTGCAAGCCGTTGGTTAGGCTTATCATAACACACCATGAAACTTGGCCTTCTAGCAATCTTTCGGGAAGAGTTCCGGATTTTCCCGTTAAATCTTAGATCTCTATATCCGTGAGGATAATACTATGGAGATTCCAGCACTGAAAAAGCATTTGTTGAATGAGGAAGATAAAGATCTCCTACCCTACTGCTTTACAAGATGTCCCACCAGCTGATCCTATGGTTGATGAAAAGTAGTAGTGTTTGATCAATATTTGCACTCAAACTATGTAATATCAAGTTGTACACTTGTCGGGAATAACGGACTTACAGCAGGATAATAGCCTTTCCTTTATTAGGGCTACTAGGCTAGGCATTAGTCACATTTGATGACATACCATATATTACTTCAAATTGGAAGATTGCACAGTTGTTTTGGGATCTGCATCTCTTCGTCTAAGGATAATTATATAGAAGAATCAATGCATCATACCACGTTCTCGTCTCCTAACGGAAATTAGTAGCATAACAGCCCATTTTATTTGCATAATTTGGTCGACACAGCAGACTTCAGGTGATATTCAGCATTCATAGTTATCGGTACATCATGTATTCATTGAATTGATAACCCTCATTCTTTATTTGTTCTTGGTATTTCTGAACCTCTCTCTCCTGCTGGATCAAAACACAACAAGGACAACAAAAGGAACCGAGACAATCTCCGCATTCTGAACCTACTATATGAAGTCGCTCGCGTATTATGCGCCGCTTTCTCGCCAATAGCACCCAGTGTAAGCAGCAGGAACCAAGACATACGAGTAGACAGCACTAAAACTTGCATTAGTTAACTGTAGATAAAAATTAATAGAACAAAGGCATACGTTTCCATTGCATCCATGACAGTAATTATCATCATCTCCTTCGGGGTCATTTAGCCGAGATAAGGTCTTCCCAAACAGCCAGCACGGTAGAAAACTCGCGCACACACCTATATTTTAAATTAGCATTTGGTATAAGCCTGTATATACTACATACATGTCCCGATGTCAGTACAACTATCAAAGAATTTATAGGACCACTGTCTTTCTCCTGCGTTGCAGTTCATTCCGGTTATGAGGCAAATCTTAATTTACTGCGGCGAAATAAAAACATCGACCTGGGAAAAAAAAAAAAAATGAAGAAAAGGAAGAAAGAACTGGATAACAGTTTGAACATTTATCTTCATGATGTTGTGGGAGGGATATTTACATTATTGCAGGTTATAAGACGGCATTTAATCTGCGTGCCCGTTTGGTGATGACAGGAGAAGCACTAAAGTACCTGCCGCAGACGTTTACCAGATGGGCCTAGGGCACATTGCGAACCCATCTGGGTAGGGTAAGTCCACGGTTAGACTTGCTGTAGCATAAGCCGAGAACTCTAATCTTGTCACATTATTACCGAAAGGACTCTATTCTGGGTAATTTCCATCAGCCGGCCAACACTGTGCTCATTTTTATAGAGTCAGAGATAAAATCAAAGCTAAGGCTACTAAGCGAATTCTCTGATTTTAGAGAGCCTTTTACTTTTTTTTTACTTTTAATGGAAGTTATGACTGCTTATGGCGGCGCCGGCCGGCGATTTGTCTAGTTAATGTGAATAAACCTAGATTATTTGGGCTAGAGGCTTAGCCTTAATGGTAATTTGCAAAACTGTTGGCAATATTCTTCACAGGTTTCTAGCCTTTGTTATGTAGATGTTAATATAGCTAGGGTGCCCTAGGGTGATAGGGTATCCATGAATTATGAGTAACATGACAAATCTAATTAGAAGGTCTGACAACCAAAATCAATCGAAATCCCTCCTCCAAGCATGTGCCAGATTATGGCAAGTTTTCCTGAAGTCACAGGTTGTTTGTACTGTAGTTAATTTCGGGGCCGCACAAATAACGCATCCGCTTTTATTGCGTCAACCATATCACCCGCCTTACTCCCAGGAATCTGGATAGATGCTGTAAGGTAGATTTTGCGCCCTTCCACTTTCTCTGGTCTTGCACATAGGCGGATAGGAGCATCTGGTGGAACCGAGTGTGCGAAGGATGTGTTGAGGTAGGCTGTGAACGCCGGCCGGCAGCAGTCTGCAAGAATACGGTCTAAGAGCAAGACAAGGTATCCACCAAACATTTTGCCATCGTAGTAACACATCTGCTGCCGTGGGCTTAATTTTATAAGAGCCTCTGCTTCCATTCCTAGGGGATGACGTTGGAAGGTAGGGTTATAGCCTTGCAATAGAGAGCGAAGTAGCTCTTGTGAGGATTCTACCGATGGCTTCTGTTGAGGAAATCACTGTTAGTATTAAAAGTGGCTGTGTTTTGATGGGCAACATACGATCACTCTCTTTGGGATATCTTTTACTTCGTTATATAAGAGGCTAGCTTGGTAGGGTTGTGCTTGCCCCTGATACCCGCGTACAGTCTGATAAGTCAAGCGAGTCGCAAAGTGTCGAGACATTGTTGTGAATTTTGATAAATCTTATTTCGTTGACAGAATAAAAACTTGTAATGTGGCGGATCTTAAGTTAATGTGAGATGTACAGCTACTTATAGAATGATATCAACTTCCGAGTCTAAGAAACCGAATACCATATTTAGCCATATTTGTGAAAACTTCTCAAAAGTGCAAAAAAAAAAAAAAAAAAAAAGGCATCCTTTTGCTGCGTAAGCGCTGATCTGCGAGCCGATTTGGGGTCGCACTCCCCTGTCCCTCTCCATTAAATGATCGAGCTGGTTGCGACCCCATTTCAGTATGGCAACTGCACGCAGGGAGACGATAACCACCTATTTCACTCTGCTATTATGGTCTAAGCCTATTAAGGACACAGCCAAACTCCCATTGATCTATGATTCACCGTGAAGCTATGATGGATGGGAGAAATTTGGCTTAGTACAAAAGCTACCTGCGAGCCGATTTGGGACCGCACTTTCCCGGCCCTGTCCCCACTATACCATCCCCACTATAAGCGTAAGCTAGTTGCGACTCCATTTCGGTACGGCAAGCCCACTGTATCACAGGGTAATGATAACCAACTAAATGCTAGACACAGTACCAAACCTAGTCCCGGTAAGCATGGCACTGGCTGGTGATCTTCCTAGTAGTCTAACGCGAACTATTGCCTTTCACTCTGATTGCAAAAGCTCTTAATTTTCTCGTTAAACTAAAGCCACCACGATCTTACAACTGCGGTAGACAATATAACTTAATATGAAAATTAATCTAAATAGCTTGAGCTTAAATACTTAAGTCCACACCTCAACCTGCCAACACTGCGTCCAGGTTTTATAGACTTCACCGCTAAGTTCAAAACTAAGGCTACTAAAGCCAAGCCTCTAGCTTTGAAGAGCATTTCATATCCTCTCTTTAACTTTCTACAGAAATCGTGACTGCTCCTCATGGCGCGGACCGTCGAACTTTGTTTGCCGGTAAGAACATATATTTGAGATGAACGAGGAATAAGCATAAACTAAACGCCTTTCGAACCAGATTTCAAATCCCAGTGATAATTTACAAAACAAACGTTCCTGTCGGACTTTACCCGACAATTCTATGGAAAAGCAGGCAGATATGGATGTAAGTGTCTCACCTTTTAATACTTGTACTTTTAGTGATTCATGTTTCCTATAGTTGGCAGAAGCACTCTTACAGAAACTAGTAGCTTTAAAAACTCGCCGTTTTGCACAGAGATTAGCCATTGCCGTTTACATGGTCGGGCCTACCCAGAATACGTCCTGGATGATTGAAGGTCTAGAAGAGGGATTTGAAGTAAAGAAGCCAACAGATAAATTTTACAGTGTTTGTGAGGTAATGGCACGGGAGGGATATTTTAAAGCCATGACATTTGAAAATAAAGCAAACGAAGACGCAGAGGGCAATAGGGCCGCTTCTAATACATAGTATCTGGTGGAATGAGGCGGCCGGGCTATAGCTCTTGATCACTCTCTAGCTTGACAAAGCAGCTTAAGGAATTTACTTTGCATTGGAGTTCGCTCGATCTAATAGTTAATCCAGTTGCGGTTTGTAAAAATTATCTATAGCTATACACATTAAAGTAGGGCAAATTCCATGAGGTACTCGGGAACTGAAGCCAAGAAGAGTAAGCTTTTGGCAAATCTGTTGAATGAGAGGGAAATGGTAGAACTCCGAAGGAGTAGGTCAAGGAGACAATCTTAGACAGTTCAGAAGTTGTGGGCCCCGAGCCCACAAGTTCCTGGCAGGAGAAAAAGACAACATGCCCTTTACGCAACTGCGTCCCGTGGTCTGTGAGAAGGTTGTTGATTGTCTATTACCTCTTCGAACGAGGACTTAAGGTAATCGCTATCCATACAAAAGTCACGTGCCAATCCCCGAATTCCTCCACTACACTGTACAGAGTTGTATCCTGGGGCATCATATCAGCTAGCTACAATCTTCCAATTCGCCAACCTACTGCAGTAAAAGTTAGCTTTTATCTCCTCCATTGCCTACTGCTAGAGGCCATGACGATGAAAATGAATGCCTTGGCCTGAACGTCGGGTCACCAGTTAAACTATACTAGTGAGTCGACTAAACATAATACTGATCCGTAAGTCTGATTTTAGTCATTTTATTCATCGCTCTCTAATGCATGCTTGATTTCATAAGAATAGCCTGCGGAGCTATTTGAGGACGCATCCATCTCAATTACGTTAGTGACCGGTACGACGTGCCGCGGGCCCATCTGGGTACGGCAGGCCTAACCCACTATACATATGTAACCCGCCACATTTAGCGAGGTCGGGACCCACTGTATCCGAAGACGATGATCACAAGCCATGTTCTAAGCTGGTAAAACCTGCTAATCCCCGGCACAAATCAAAGGTTAACAACAATTATTTACTCTACTATTTCCAAAGTGCTTAAATACCTGCTGAGCTCTCAGTTAGACCTCTCTGGATCGGTTTTTCCTTAAAGACTACAGTGCCAAAAATAATCTTTTTTTAGTCCAGCCTAGTCAAAATATTTTTCCATTGCTCGAATTTCCAGCTGGAACTTTAAGTTCACATTATGGTAGTGCTAACTAATGAGTTTTGTGTCAAGGTAAGCAGTTTCTATGCCATTACTATACCAGGGAGATTAAATAAAGGCTAAACATTACCGAGTTAGATATTCTACGACAGCGACACAGACAACAAAGATTCCACGAAATTCTCATTTCGAGATGAGCTGGAGCCGCTGCAAAACCAGACCTCAATGTGAGTACCCTATCTTCCTATATGTACAATATAAATCTCTAGTTACTTATGCGTCCCTTAGTACGCAATTGAATTCCTTCAACTATTAACTGCTTTTAAAAGCCGCGACTGGAGGCGGAGAATGACCATTGTCCATTATCTATATAAACATTTGCAGGATACATCCTTCTTGTACCAAGTTGAAGGGCTCGAAGTGATGGTCCCATCAAGCAGGTTGCTTGACGTCTACAACTTCCTGAAGACAGAACTTGCTAATATCGAAGCAAAGCCTAAGGAAGACGCAAGCAATAGAACAAACTACTCGGAGTGTACATAGCATGCTGCATCAACAGCTGGAAATTAATTATACTTCTCCGCAGTATAGAGCTCAGGTCAAAAATTCCACAGATTTAAAGCTACTACTCACCACAAAAGATATATTTTACATTTTATAGAAGCCTTATTTTCTCTTTTTCATGTAGCGAAAACATGCATACACTTCTATATAGAACCGCATAGCCGACGTATTTGCGCTTCATTTCGTCTAATCGTAGGAACTATAGGTATACAACATCGCGTATCCATAATTTGGAAGTAACAATATTCAACTGTTCAATTTCGAAGACTAGCCGTCAGTCTCAAAATGACTTGTATGTTCTTAATTATTCAGGACATTGTGGTGGGCTGGTGCTTATTCACCTAAACTCCACGCTATTATACTAGCCTAGAAATATGGTAAAATGCTACTTTCAGGAATGCCTAGGACATTACTGCATTAAGATTTGCTGCGAGCCCGTCTTGTCCAGAGGCTATTTGACAGAATCTTGATAGAAAGAGAATATTGACAACACTGGAGTATAAATTTATTAATCAAAAAGAAAGTAGCACTGTCATAGGGCAATATTCTGGGTGCAGAACTGGAGCAACTTAGTGTAAGTAAAAGGACTGGCGGCTTTTACTTTATGGTAAAATAAAACGGGCTGCAACATGAAAACTGGTTTGCATACGAAAAATAGTGATTTTGGATTCCAAAAGTTGTTAAGGGTCATTGTTTTCTAAGGGTACTAAGAGGGTGCGGAACGATTTGGGAACGCACTCGGCTACTTCACAACAGCTGCGGTGCCACTTAGGTACGGCAGGCCCACCTGCGGAGTTAGGAAATTGCGACTTCCCCATGCGCTGCCTGCTCATGACATAGCGGTATTGAATAATTGAGAGTCTGGAAAAATGACGGCCTGATCGACATATGCTACTGTGGCACGTTGCGTCTGATTTACACATGGCTCAGCTGTGTAACATTATATTGGCTACCTATAGAAACTATTGAGTGCAGACTTTCTAAAATGTGCATATATGGACTAAAGTGATTCGAATCATGATAAGATACAAACAACTGACAGAAAGCAGCGGTTGAACTGACCCCCTTCCCTCACTAAAAAAAAATCAAAAAGTTTCGGAGCGTTTAGCATTTACTGCCATTATTAGTACATCGGCCTCTAGTGTCCTTTCCAATGCCACCTGCCTACATGCCGAGACATTGGTGGATACTGTCAGGAGCTTCCTTGGAATCCTGGGCTGACCCTCTGGAAGCCAGCCTTGATCTCCATTTCATGTTCCTTCTTGACACTTTCAAGCTTCCCGAATTGGTAGATGATGAGAAGCGCCAGGGAGCCGGAGACAGAAAGTCCCGTGACGATGGTTGTCAGAACGGCCATGATTGACCACTCGCCCTCCCGTGCAGTATAGACATTGACGAGCGTTGTGATCAATCCAGCTAACGCATTGAGAAAAGTTGGACTATTTAGAATACATAATTAGCTGTGATTGCTGTAATTTTCTGCGAAGGTGTGTCTCTTACACGAATAATTTGTTAATAAGCCATATATAGTTGCTTCTTCGCTCCCATGAAAGCCAGGCCATGAGCACAGCACCAAGTACCATGAAAAAGCACGCAATCGCGAGCAACGGAGGATTCTGAATGGTATTGAGAATGACCTGACCAGCTTCTGTCTTCTCCAAGTCTTCCTTTAAAGAATGGGATCGCTGCAGTGAAGTAAAAGTGCCAGGGACTACTAAGTATCCAGCGAGTAATGCCCAATGCGCAGCACCAGCGAGTACATTGTAGAACCATGGAATATCCTCAAGAAGCATGTGTGTATAGCGTGTTTCAATTGTATAGGTTGTATCGCTTCGGTGGAGAGACGTGACTTTTTCTACCTTATCTGAGGCCTGAGAGAGTTCCATTTTCCATTAGCATTCAATAATCACCGAAGGAGTCTGGACTTAGGACTTAGAAGTCGACCGTTTCAATCTTTATATTCGCAAGGGATATTACGGGTGAGCCATGGGTGAGCACTGTCTCCATCACCCAAGTGATCGACGTGAAGTTGGCCCAATGGATGGCAGCCATATTCCCAAGTAAACTGAAACGCCGAGATAGTTATTTGCTTCTCCGTGAGCATTTCCCCTTGGTTTCAGTATACAATAATACGGTACAGGCTTAGGTACCTATAATTTTCACGAATGCGGTAGAAAGCTACGTGCCAGGGCTGAACAAGTGAATAAATATATACGCTAGATTTGGATCATAAGATAAAGTTATGGAAACCACATTCATCATGTAAATTTATTCTAACATAAGAGATTGGTTGCCTGGTATAAATTTAACATTGAGATAAGGAAAGAGTTCTAATTATCTGAAAAAGTATCTGGCTCATTACTCTCCAATTCATGCTTTCGCTCTTTCCCTATCCTACAGAGGATATGAAGCGGTCGGAGGCACCATTGTGTCGCGTTAACTTCTAGGAATGGATGCTTGAGAACTGATAAGCAGCAAAGTCAAATTTGTTTTTACTCAATCTTACCTGAAGAAGGCCCTTTGCCGTTGCTGTTGGTGGAGCACCAGCGAAATCTTGAGCAAGAAGTCCTGTTGTGCCGCGTACGTTGACGTCTTTCTCAGGCGTAAGAAGATTCTGAGCCATACGACAGACCGCCTGAACGTCTCTAGCTTTACCCAGAGGATTGGGTTTCTGAAGTAGGCTATTGCCAATACCCGCTACAAGTGTTAGCCCTCAGTCAGTACTGATAAGTGAAGGTTAAATACCGATCTTCACGTCACCCTGATCAGTAATAAGAACATTGGACAATGTAAGGTCTCCATAACAGGTGTCCAAATCCTCGTGGATATAGATCAACCCCTTGAAGTATCTGCAAATGTTTAGCTTAAGAGTAAGGAATAAGATCCACTAAGAGACCTTACAGCTTTGCAGATAACAGCAACCTCAACCTCGCTGAGGTTAAAGACTGGAGATAGCTGTCTGATCTCGTTTAGAGTGATTCCCCACTGGTTATAGAGAAAGTAAATATTTCCTTTTAGAAAATATACTTCCTCGAGGCTCAACACATTTTTATGTGAAACCTGTCTGATGCGATCCAGGGGGATGTTCTTTGATTCAACCTTTTGGTGAATGAGGAAGCCAACAGGAAACCCATCCTTGAATTCAATGGCATGGACGTTATTCCAAGGAGGGTTCAGCCCAAAAAAGACTCTATCCACCTGGTCATATGGGGACCCATGTTTAACGAACTCGGGCCGTGCGGGATCATCATGGAAAGACACGGATGGCAAGAGCTTCTTGGGGAGAACTGTCCGCCTACAGTCTGGTAATTCGACTGGAGAACCTAGCTTTTTTGCGGGAGCCATTTGTGTGGAGACAGAATAATGTAGAAATGGAGGAAGTCTGCGTTGTTTGGGGTAGGATTTTGCACTGTACTGATTCTAACGTCAATATATATGCGCAGCAAAGCGTACATGAACTGTTCCGCAGTACCACAGGTCGCCAGCTGCAGACCTTAACAGGGCCGCGGATGGCGTCTCGCACGAGCCCGAGATCCACTCCGCTCCACTACAGTAATGTACGTAAGGAGTTTGTGACATGAATGTGTCGCTGCAGCTCTCATGGAACATCCCTCGGTTGTAAGATAGCTGACCGATATGCTGTACTCGCGATAGATTTCATGACTCGAGATGGCAGTGAGGAAATTACTTTGCTGCTGCGAGACAATATACTGATCGTTCGGTAAGGTAAATATGGATAGTGCGACCCCAAAAAGGTCTGCGGCCGGCGTGAAGGGCGTAATGGCCTCGAGAGGACCGTCTGTTTTCCCGCAGATCCACATTGCTCTGGAGCGCCTGTTGGAATAGATTGGTTGCCAAGTTTAAATTTAATGAGGCTGAAGACTGGATATACTGTAGCTGTCTAATCGTTTAGAGTGCTAGTCCCATCTAGTATTATTTCCACATGGAGCGAAATATATCTCGCTCCAAGCATGGCACCCTGTCGAGAAGTTGAAGAAAACAAACATCCCTCATAAGTATTCCTACATTCCACACTGCATAGTCTCGTAGCAAATGTCGAAGATTGTCCATATATTCGCTCTCCTCAAATACAAAACTCAGCAATCTCACAACATCTCCTGTCCGCTCTTCGAAAAGAGTAAAATTGGCCAGTATGTTTGCAATTCAGTAGAGTGACAGTGCACATAATGAGACCCAATCCGACCTATAGGCAAAGCGGTAAACGTGGAGCGTGGGCCAGGAAGAGGTTAGTGTAGTCCTCCGCAGGATCTGTATTCGGGCAAGCCTCGCGAACAATGATTACATCAAGCCTCTCTAATGCAAGACGACAGAAAGCAGGAAACTTTGATGGATGAAACAAATTTCCGGTAAGATAAGTTGGGGTCCATTGTTCTGCTGCCTTCCGAGATGGTTCTTCATCGTTGTCGGATTTATATTCGGCGTCCTCACTGGCCGTGGAAATGGGGCGGGAAGCGAGTAGTCGCCGGTGTATACGAACTCACAACAACAACCGAATGTAGTTTCATCCACATTTTCGATCTTCTTGACTTTCCTGTGAGGACTATTCGTGACTCGGATATCGATTTTGGAAAAAGCGGGAGCAATGCGGCATGAACGGTGAAGAGTCTGTTCTTCTCGCTTACATGGAAGAAACAGAACTCCGATTGCAAAATTCTAGGCACTTGTAAGTCTAAAGTGTAGCTTTTTCAAGATATATGGAGCGTACTATGATAAGGACGGGGCATTTTTCCGCTGGCGATAAGGAGCCACCCAAAAGCTTTCTTTTTTAGGAGGGGTGAGTGGGAAGTCTAGTAAGTACACAGTACTAACAGGAGGACTAGACTTCTGGATTAGTAGATGGAAATTAGCGCAGAAAGTCCAGGCTATTTATACCCCAGTGTTGGTATCCCAAGTAGGATTGTTGGATCAGAGCGCGACACAATAGTGCAATGGCAAGCAGTAGAAAGAAGCAACGAGCCATAATGACCTTCGGGTCCTGATTGGAGAACCACATTTAACGTAATTCTTCCCCCCATTTTTCCCACCAGAAACTTTCCTGAAAACAGATGCGATACTGCGAGCCCGTTTAGGTCTGGCAAGCCCACTCTTCATTGCAGGAAAATTGGCCGGCCCTAGGACACATACCCGTCCGAAGTATCGTCTGTCAAAAGAAGGATTCCGCTAATTTATATATCTGTGTGGTTGCATCGTCCAAATATTGTTGACTTGGGGGCTCTTTGAGGGGAAAAATATATTCTTAACAGCATAGCTTCTGCATATTGTATAAATGGTTGATGAACATATTATGTATATCACAGATAAAGCTAGTTTGCACTCCAGAGGCAGCACGGCAAATGACGCAGGGTGGAGAATGACGCACGTTTCAAATCCAAATGACTATGTGTAAATATAAACTTTTCTGACTTTCCTGTTAGAGCTACTTGTAACTTAATTAGACAATCTCGGAAGAGAAAATATGTTGTCATAGGCTAAGAGATTCTCCGGAAAGCGTCATTGATTTTGGAGCGGTTGACGGAGTCTCGTAACAAGGCAGTAGCGAACTGTATTTCATATTACTGACTGATTTTATTTTACACCTGGTCTTAGCAAAGATTGGACAAACAGGCCTGCATGGATAGTACGACCCTGGAAATGTCTGCGGCCTGCGGCGAGGGTGCATTATCGAAAGGACCCGTGCTGCGTTTCGAATTTTTATTCATGGATTTGGCAATACACGCGCGTAGAAATGGGCTGCTTTGATCAGGGTATACAGGAGTGTAAACGGCTAGGCCCTGGAAGAGCCAACAAATATTTTACGCTCGGAACAATAAGATTATTGGTAGTGTAGGCCAAATATTGACGGTTAGAATTTTTCTAACAACGGAATTATACAACAAGAGCCAAGCTTCCTTTACTGGACCCGCTTAGCTGGGCTTGGAATGCCTAGTTAAGCATGCTGTTGTAAAACATACAAATCGTACTTGATAATGGTAGATGAAATTGAGATTAGCGCTACATCATGAGATTCAAGATCTTAACAGCAAATGAGCGGAGCCATTTTATGTGCCCTTCGCACAGAATACGGCTATTCACTGTGCTGCGTCGAACGATTGCGCATTTTTTCAGGCCTTGAGCCTTCTTCTTCTGCATGCCTTTTCCCTGTTTTTGGGTCAAAAGAACACATATAATCCCAGAAGTGTACCATTGGTGGCTCTGTATGCTCGAGATCCGTCGAAACAAGGACTACTTGGCCTGGTCCTATATCCTCCACAGCTTGTACTGGGCTAACTGCTATGAGTGCACCGTCCTCAATGGCGACAAAGTGGTGGTCGTTAGCGATAGAGAATACGAAGGACTCCAGATGTGAACGTAGTTCGATGTCCTGAACATCAAACTTGCAGTATTCCCGTGACTTAAAAAAGTAAAACACCGCTAGGTTTCCATTGTGAGACTGGCTCCACATGCTTAAGATCTCTTTTGCCCCCCTATGATGAGACATGCAGACTCTTAGATTCAGTGGAGCGACTCCATTTTCATCTTCGAAACCCGGGGCCATCGGGGGCCGTAGGATCAAGGCCTGGCCCATGTCTACATCTGGCGGCATGCTCTGATTCTCTACAGATAGTTGCCCTTGATCTTTATCTAGTTGTGTTGGCGTCCCTGGTGGATGGGACTCCAGGTCGATTGAAGATGTAGGTGATGCGTTGTTTGCCTCTTCCACCTGTGTGTAATCATTCTCTGAGGAGAGATTCGGTTCAGACAAAGATGGGGAAGTACTCCACCAAGGGGAGACAAACTCGGATGGAAATAATCTGGCCCCAAAGAAACTGAAGAATATATCGCGCATAATAGCGAACGTAGACGGATAGGTCCCCACGGCTTGATCTGGGCTGTATACCTGGGGGACGTACAAGAATTCACAGTTTTCCCGGTGCTCCCTTCGGGAAGGCAGCCCACATCGTTGTCCATTCTTTGATGCCTCGCTATACCTATCCACGGTGAATGGAGGGATAATGGTCTCGTAGTCGCTTCTAACACGCGGAAGATTTAGTATGTCAACCACCCGCCTCGTACCGTTTTCTTCCCATCCCTGAGGATAATTGTAGAGCTCCCTCGGGCGGTTCGCTACAAGAAACTCCCTTGTGATAATTTTCATTGTATTCTGCAAGCGGATAGATTGAATTTCATCGGAGTCAAATCCCAGCCCACAGGCCAAAAAGGCTAGACGACGCCTTGCCTCTATTTTAGCCGGCTGCGGTATTTGTAAATCAATTTTCTCGTCGGGGGCCCTGGCCGCTTTGTGTCGGCCAGGCTCTCTATATATCGTATTGCAAACAACCATAGTTGCACGTAAGCTGAAGATGCTCGCAGCTCCTGATACGTAGCTGGACTACCACTATAACCCACTGTCACTTGCTCAGTAGCATTTTCTGCGACTTGAACAGGCCAAGTGTTCCCCCCCCCGCTAAATCTGCTTAGCAGAGCGTATCTCAAGTCCTTGAATCCTCCCGGGACAAGACACTGAAGACTATTGGCGCAGGACTCCAAAAGGAGTGTATCTTGGGCTAGTGAATATAGAGACAATATTCTGCCTGGGATGGCAACGAGTTTCCGCAGCAAGCCATCCCGCTGCTCGGGCTCTTTTAACGAGGGAAACAAACGGCCTTTAGCTATCAGGTGAGTGATGAATTTGCCATCTGCGCTTGATTGCTGTGGCATTAGGTTTTGCACATATCGGACCGACGTGGAATCGACATGGTGGCTTAAACCTTCCGGAAACAGGGACGACCAGATCCGATAAATGCGGTCCAAATAGTGGATGATTTCCTAAACATGCGATAATTGAATTATTGTCTGATCTGTAACCTAGCGGGACACTTACGTTTGGGCATTTCACACGGTCCAACCGTCGTAACGCTGTGAAGCTGATATCTGCCCAGAGACCAGAAAAAGGCAGCAGCCGGTCCAAGCACCTGATTATCATCGGACATCTACGCGATAGACGTTCCAGATCTTCACTTCTGCGTTTAGACAATCTCGATTTCCAAACCCCTATGGCTCCGTCGTTATGAGCAAGTTGGTAATGTCGGAGATTACGGAAGATATCCCCAAATTCATACTCCTTCGCATTAGGAGCCTCACTTATTAATCTTTGCTTCACATGCTCTGGGAGATCTTGCTATGTGTCAGCAAGGAGTATATTGTATGCTGTACATTATTTCCTATGAAAAACCTACCTCCGTATAGAGTGACAGACCACCACCTATCTCCTGGAAGTAAAAATTTCTTTGCTGCCGCTATACGGTGTTTACCGTATAGACAGGAAAGTCGATAGCCTTCTGGCAGGAAGAGCCACGGTAGATTAGATGCGTCCCTTAGTTGCTCCTCGGTGACATCACTCAAAGTCACAGCTTGCTGTAGGGTCTCATTGTCAATGATAGCCACGATGTGATGGGCGGGTTCCAGCCGCAAACATTGTTCGAGCTCGAATACCCTTACTAGTCTGTTGACATTTTTCTGATCATAAACCCTTGAGCCGTACAATGGGGTTTCAAACTCTAGGTGCTCAAGTCCAACCTTTGCATGACCCCTGAAATGCTCATAGCGCTCTCTCATATATTGTCCTTGTGGGCTATCGCCATGGATACTCATTCTGAAACAATTTCTTCGTCTTTTTAAGGAACCCAGTAGCTAGGCTGCAACAGAGGGCTTTTCATATAGTGGAAGAAAAGAAAAAGAAATCATTAACTTCTAGAGAGCTCTGAAATGCTTGTTATGCTCCAGTTTACTGCGGACCGTTTTTGGCGACCAATTAAATCTCTATGAATATTTCGACCACCCACGGCCCTCTGTAACCGGCCGCCCTCTGTCAGCGGCGGCCCTCGCTCACCCACGGCGCTCTATGACCTGCAGCCCTCTGAGACCTGCAGCCCTCTGTGACCGGCCGCCCTCTGTGACCGGCTGCCCTCTGTGACCGGCCGCCTTCTGTGACCCACGGCCCTCTGTGACCGGCCGCCCTCTGTCAGCTGCAGCCCTCGTTCGCCCACGGCCCTCTGTGCCCTGCAGCCCTCTGTGACCCGCAGCCCTCGTTCACCCACGGCCCTCTGTGCCCTGCAGCCCTCTGTGACCAGCCGCCCTCTGTGACCCGCAGCCCTCGTTCACCCACGGCCCTCTATGACCTGCAGCCCTCTGTGACCGGCCGCCCTCTGTGACCCGCGGCCCTCGTACGCCCACAGCCCTCTGTGACCCGCAGCCCTCTGTGACCCGCGGCCCTCGTATGCCCACGGCCCTCTGTGACCCGCAGCCCTCTGTGACCGGCCGCCCTCTGTGACCCGCGGCCCTCGTATGCCCACGGCCCTCTGTGACCGGCCGCCTTCTAGTAATAACTTTACAATACTGTACATAGATGACCATAGGGGTCTTGCTCCTGCTATGGCCGTAATTTGGGGGTCCTTTGACTGTGTTGTTTGAACCTTCACGGTCTCTTAACCTATGTGATCAGGGACACTAAGTCTAGAGTGTCTGGTGCTATACCATAGAGCCTACGCATCCAATCTTACTACATTTAGTGTTGCACCCAGTCTTTTGCAGAGGCCCTAATCCCTCGTTCCCCTTTGGACAAACACAGTGTGATGACCCTGTACATCTAAGTAAAATAAATGAATTATATCTAAGGTGGCGATCGAACGAAACATGAAACGTAGAGAAGAAAGAAAGAAAGAAAGAATTCTATCATACAGGAGGTGTGGGAAATGTTGTGGGATCAACAGTGAATACAGCAAACTTGGTGCCTCAGGCAGGATTCGACCTGGGCCCCGACACACAGTCTTTCTCCCGCCCTCGACTTGGTATACCAGCTGATCTCCAAAGTAAAATGGCAGACCTTTATCTTAGCGGTAATTATCGTGGCTGATTGCCTTACTTAACCCTTAATGGCCGATAGCACTGGCAGTCCCCTTATAGCCGTCCTTTGTGTTTTCCCCTCACTCATCAGTTTCCTATAGAAGCTATGTTTATCTTCTGTGTCTTGTAATATGCCTTAAGTTTATTAAAACCTAGTAATCAATCATAACTAAACGTTAACTTGCAAATCCTTTATACGAGTTCTCGTTGCGCAATCTAATGCTCGATATATGAAAATCCTCATGCGGCCAACTCCTGGGAACTTGAGAAGAAAGTCGTGCTAATTTTGTTAGCAGTGCTTGGTAAGAGCACTTAGGCATGCTTACTTTCAGGAGTGCCTCTGCACTTAATGTTGCAGACTGTTGGATAAATTCATTACACAGATCACTGACGTCCTGGGGTCTTGCCAGCTGCAAGGTTCCGGGATTGCGGCCGCTCGTTCCAGGCTCCTTCAGATCAACCAACAAAGCCCCTACAGCCCTAACATCGTTAGATTTCTTTCCTTCCCCCCCACCCAAAATACAATTGCCAATGTTTGCTAGTACATCTGAAGTTAAAACTTATCCCCAAGCTGTAATCAATCTGTTCGCGTTACATACCTAGCTTTATGCGGCATGTGTTGTAGGAGAGAAGAATGTTCTTGGAATCCACATGTTCGTGGGCAAGGCCGAGTTCATTGTGAATGTAATTAAGCCCCCCCAGTACCTGTATGCAGTTAGTTTCTTCAGGTTCTTTTTATTCCTGTTTGTGACTTGCTTACCTCTTTGCCAACAATTGACATCTCTACTTCATTAAGCTCTCCCCGACAAGCCGCCTGGACATTGTGTAAGGAGATTTCAAGTGACTCATATACCAAATAAAGCGAGGAGTCTGTTGAAAACACATCCAGAAGCTGGACAATATTGTCATGCTTGACGCTATGCAGCTGGCTACGCTGCTTTTTGTTGGCTTGTTGCTTTGCCTTCTTTATCGCCACGATTTTATGATCAATTGAATTGTCATGTGCAATGATGGAAAGGCCAGCTTGATCAGACTCCCAGAATGGTTGGTATTTGGGCCAAGTATGCCCATCCACACGAGCGCTGTCACAACTACCCACCTTCACCGGAAAACGACCTCTGTTGGCAGGTATCGATTCTGCCGAGTGAGACTTGTTCACATTAAGGTGGGGGTACTTGCTGTGAAGTTCTGCCGCTTGGAAGGAGCCGTGGCCGGTATTAAGCGGGTGGCGCTGGTCACTGTTGCTTTGGATATTGTCAGCCCGATCATGCAGATGACTCAGACTGCTAGTGTCCTCATTCTCATCAATGCGTTTGAGAGACTGCAAGGCGTGTAAATCCTTCCTGGATGTAGGCAGGGTAGTGGATCGTTTTGTGTTATTAGCCGTTGACATAATTTGAATTTGTAGTCTGCAGGTCAGCAATGTTAATGACGTATTGGCTCGGACCAAGTTTATGTACAAGAGGTAGTAAGGCTTCCAGGGCGCAAGGCTAGGCTGCGGCTTCAGCTGTGGCCATATATACCCTTTATCCATTCATCGGGAGGATTACGTTCTTCCTGCCGGTTAAAACCGGACCTGGTAGTATGTCGTTCCAAAGGTGAATGCTGAACAAACAAGGTGCGCACCACTTCAAAATCTACTCCACTAGCTCCCATTTTCTCGGCGATGTACTTGGTCTTGGACTCTTGGTGCGGCCCCATCATGGTACGGCATGCTTGTCGCTTACAAAATAATTCGCAGCATTCCAAGTGCTAAGTATATTTCGTAGGACAACTCTTAGTTGAATTTTAGAGTCTTATCTAACGATCCTTAAGGCGTAGACCAAGAGTTCTTCTTTTTGGTCCCTGGCCTGTACTATGGCTTCAATAATAGCCCTCGAAGTGCGTAGAAATCATACGAATCAACGACCTACTGAGAAATTCATAACTGTATTTAGTCATACCAGTACAAAATCGTAGACTCCTTCCATTTTTGGAGAACAGTCTCCTACCCTAGGTGCCGTCACCATTTGGGGTCGCAGAAGCCAATGTCCAAGTATCCATTATCCACAAAGGACCCACCAATTTTTAGGGGCCTCTTCGTGGGCTGTCTATTTTTCCCCCAGGATACAATTACCTCACGAAAATGTCGGAATCGCTAGATAGAAAGTGCAAATAATTTTTTTTAAAAATAGATGTTTTCAACTAAAGTACAACAGGACTTTGGCTGGCGGAATAGCCCATATTGAAGTGGGAAAAGAACTCATTCCTGTCGACATACACATAGAGCTGTTGTGTGAATGCTCAATATATTTCAATAAGCACTTCAAAGATCGTTACATCGAAAAATACAGGAACTGTCCACCCCCAGTCTATTGAACCTGACGTATTCACTGGGTTTGTCAACTGGCTCTATTGAAGAAAGATCGTAGTAACAAGCCCCAAGGTAAAATGGATAGTTCTAATTCACCTCTGGGTTTTGGGTAACAACCTTCAAGTGTCTGAACTGCAGAACCTCGTGGTTCGGCGTTGTGTGGAAGATTCAATGAGGGCGGGGATTTGATACCTGAAACTGTTCAGACCAGTTTATTTCAACAATTCACCGGGGCTCCTATCTTCTCCAGTATGCCCCGATGAGAAGAGAACAATGTATCCGTTTTTGAGACCGTATAGGTTGCTTGACGTTTGGGGCATTACCACCTCCACGGTACAATTATTTACCTTAATAGGCTTGTCCCTATTGCCAGCTTCCTGCGGCTAGTTAGATGACTAGTAGTAGTTGAGGTTAAATGGGCTTGAGATGGGATGAACGGTGTTGTTGAGCAACTTGTATGGGATCTCTATTGAAATGCTATAAATATAATAATGGAATATTCTTCAGAACGTTGCCAAATTCGCCATTATTGCTGTTCCGCGCATATTCCTGTGGCAAAAGACGCAGGAGGATATGCTATACAAGACTTCCACCTGATAGTCCGATTACGGGGTAAGATATGACCACCACCTACTTTTCCCGGTCCACGGTTGGAATTCCTGCTCGAAGAGATCTATACATTTCCGCATTCGCTCTTACCAGAGTACATCTGATCTCGACAGGGCGACAAGCAGATACTGCAATGTGGTTAGCGTTGGATCTTTGACTGGTAGCTGCAAAATTTACCTGCCACGAGCATCCTGCCTTTCTCTTTTCTATCTCAGATGACAGTTGCAGTTCCCAGTTCGGCCTTCCGCTATGGACTTTGATCAAGTCATGATACCCAAAGCGTTGCGGGTCTCCCTTTGATGCTGGCTCCAATGTGTCGTAGACTGTACGTTAGTAACTAAACAAAATAGCAAGGGCCCCCTTATATAACATACTCAGATCCCTCATCCTGCTTGACAGCATTTGTAACCAGTCGTGAGCACTCTCCAGTCACCTTCCTCATCTAGCTGCCAAATGAGGGAGATCCTCTGAGTCCGGATGCGCGCCTTGCGATATTCTCCTAGCAGCTCCTTGATGTAGGGCAGCTGTGTAGCAATCCCGATTCCTGTCGCTACCATAAATACATGACCGTAGTCTCCCATCTGCCCACCAAAGCCGCATGGGCCGATTGATGCGGGACCAAACGGACCATCGATCCAAACCGTGTATTCTCGTTCTTGCCCAAGGCGATCGAGTAGCTTTCGGGTGAAGCCGGAGCGTGACCGTAGAAGGAGGGAGACAGAAGTCGCCTTGCCGATGTCGTTGTCCTCCCACCAGCTAATAGTAAAAGGGTGAGACTGCGCCAAATAGAATAGGCCGATTATGGGGCGCCAAATCCAACGCGCTCCCCGCTCGCACAGCCCAGGGCCGAGGAAGAGTCAGAGTTAAACGAGCAATACTTTCCCCATAGGCTTTCAATGAAAGTGTTGTGCATCTCCTCCCAACAACAATGTTACGGAAGAGTACACGGATGAATTGCGCACCAATTGACAGAACAAAAATGACAGCAGATCCAAGAAGATAGGCCCAAGCGCTGCTATTCTGTATGTGACGAGTGTGTTGCCAAATCGCGTAGAGCACAACAAGGGCACAACCTTGGTGCATCCTCAGAAAGACTTCATATATTCTTTTTCTTCACCAACGGCAAGACTATGAGGGAAAGGAATATACTCGCAGCATGTTGTTACAGTTAGTCAGTCGTGCTGAGATAGATACTAGGAATAGGGATATCATACCAAGACACCATAGACTTGCATGGTATTAGATGTTGAAATTGATCTTGTTTGTGCAATAATCAAAACATGTATGGTGGCCTCAATAACTGCGACAAGGCCAACAGTTCGATGGAAGGCTCCGTATGTCTGAAGAGGCACGCCAAGAAGACGAGCGCCGAACTCATAGCCCCCAGAGATGAACATGGGAATGAGGTTAATCAAAGATAGGCGAGCGGCACGTGACCCTGCTTCTGAAAGTGACTGGACGCCGATAAAGTTGCAGACGCCGTTTCCCACTAAATAGGCTATCGCGAGGATTAGATGAAGAGGTGATGGTATCCGGAACATACTTCTGAATGGTACTGGGTACATGAACGTGGCCAGGCGATGTGATCCAGAAAACCTAGTGTGCATGAGGCTAAAGATGTTGTAGAGTACGAGAATACTGATTACACCACCAACTACGGCTGTGTAAATCTTCTCGACAGATTTAGTGGCTATGTTGAATTGATTGATGGCCATCTTGTGACTTGGTATAATATAAACAGGATGACTGTACGACGGGGACGGTCACAAGGATTATATACAAGCCAGGCTCATGCTGTTATCCACCTGCTGCTTTACCTTCACCGGGGCATGCAATATGACTAAGGCGCGACCCCTAAGAGGTTCGCAAAATAGTAGAGCCTAGAATTCCGCGAGCCCATCACTGTCGGGCCGGTGGATATCGTGAAGCATCGGCTGAATGGGGGCTCTGCAGTTCCCGCCCCCATTAGCGAGCGCAGCTGCTGTATGTGTGCCTCTCACCGGTCTAGATCGGGGTCGCCCTAAAATAGCTAACTAGCGGACCTTAGCTTTCAATAAAATGGATCTGGGTCTGTTTCTATTGTCTAAGCAATGCTGAATAGCTGGCTACAAAATAGGGGATTCCCCTTCTATCCAGTGTACTGTACCTAGATCTACAGCGTGCAAGGCAACAATTAGTGCTCCATCTACTATTTTTAACATTATTTCATCAAGCCGTAATGCTTAAGCTTCTGTCCTATATCGCGTGAAAGTCGGGGTTGGTACTTGTGGAGGTGAAGATTGTTAAATATCGACGCAACGGCACAATGTGGAGATACCAATCTAAATTTCCATATTCGTCAAAGGTAAACTACTCCATATAACGTAATATATGGAGGCATGGTGCTAAATATATAGGACGATCTCTATGATTTTAAGGAATATGTACCGTATATCTGCCTGTTATATATATATTTAGTGGGAGGCTGCTTATTAATAAAATATTTAACAAGTAATTATTTCCTCCGTGCAATATAACTATTGTTAAGTGGTTATTAAGTAAACCTATATAGAGATTAAGCTACCTTGTCTGTTCTATTATGATCCTAGTCCGGATGTAGAGAGGAAGTCGGATCTAGCTCATCATGCATTGTGTCAGGTAGCATTCAAGGACAGCGTCCTTGAACTGTTCTCGCTTTATATATTCAGGTTGTATAGCGCCGTCACACTTTGGGCCTACTTTCCATGCCACAAGTCCAATGCTTATCCTTACATTGCAGGCACTGCTCCATTAATTACAGTTGGACCAACACTTCCCAGGGTCTGCTTTACATCAATAATAATACCACCTTTCTAATTCCACACCTTGACTTACAGTACGTGTAGCCAATACTCCGTCAAACAACTCCGTATATTCGTACTGGCCACATTTTTTTTCTTGTTGATGGTTAGCTTATTCAAAATCCCTGACTCCCGAATAGTGGATAATCCCTCCACAATCGTCCCTACAGTACCCGAGCACAAACTAATACCCCAATCATAGATTGTCTCTGTTGGTAACCACGTCTCTTGAAGATGGAGAGACTGGAGTGTTCCTGCGTGTGCACAGAAAAATTCCTCGAGGTCTTTAACCGAAAGCCAACAGTTTTGTAGCTCCAGGTGGCGGAGAGAAGGCAAATTGATTTTTCTCATAAAATTCAAAAGGCTAGAACTATCAATGAGTTGGAGATATTCAACTTCATTTAGTGCTTCCGCCGCCTTCGCAAATAGGTCAGGGTTTGTGGCAGACATCTTAGAGTAGAATCCGGATATTTTGAAATTCCGGATAAGGATTCCGTTGCGCTTAGCTGCTACCATAGTGTCGATAATGGTTTCGAAGTGTGCAGGAAACGAATCTCTCCAGTCGACAAATAAACGCCCCGCAAGCCAGCGAAACGGCTTTATAGTATTATTAACAAAGGGAATCTCGATACTCTGCAAGTGTAGAAAGCGAGGAATGCATTCACAGAATGTTTTAGTATCGATACCCCCAAGTATAAGCTGTTGCTCACGGGATAGACCAGCAAAATAGCGGTATATCATGCTATATGAGACTTTTCCGCCACGGAAGTTCCAGCAAAGCTCTCTCTGGTCTCGGTTGTATTCAGATGGCGTGTACACACAGGAGCAAAAATAATCCCATTCTTTAATGTCTGCCTATCTATCAGTATCTCTAAAATTTGTGGGTATTTGGCGACTGACAAGGGTCTATGAGCTCCGGCACCTCGTAGCGGATCACTTTCACATACTGGGCAACGCAGGATTTGGATGCTTGACGTAAGCATTCAAATCCAGCCAATGAGAAGGAAATCTTGAGTGTGCGGAATAGGTAAGGAGCACAATGAGCTCGAATTCTCCGATTAGCTTGCGAGATGTTCACTAAGCTCCCGCCCGCCTGGCTGTACTCTATAATCATCCATAACAGCTCCGTGGGCAATTTTTCGATGGACATTGTTGGCGACGTCTAACTATGTAGAACGCAATGTGAAATCCAAAGCTTAAGATGACGATGTAATTAGATGGAAGTTGAGGACAATTCGGGAACAATTAATTCGGTCCTATAAAGCAAATATTGGGCGTGTTTTATTCTATTCGAATCCGAGAACGTAGAGAGATGGGGACTGCGGCACGGTTTCTGGCCATCTGCGACCCCAAACGGTGCCGCAGATGCCCAGCCTTTGCCGTCCTGCACCTGCATCTCTCTTGGAGAGCTACGGTTAGCGTCGCGCTCGCAGCGAATCCTCGTACGCATACCATGATGGCTCCTCCTTGCGGACCGAAACTGGAACGCGGCGATCAATGTCTAGATTTTCTTGGTTCTGGGTGGTCAACAAGGCTCCGATAGCTCCATAAGGCTTAAGCCCTAATTTTGGTGCCCCTCGCATTTTGTTTTGGCTTGTGTTCTGAAGGCTCAGACTCCCAATGCATGTTGTAAATGGTGCGAATTTATGTAGTCGTAGACCGGGCGCTTAAGCAGTATTTAGTCGTACTATACTCCCTGTTAACTCGTATCGAAAGACAACTTTATGAATCCATCACAACTGCTCAAGCTTCAAGATCTTTGACAATGGCTGCGAGTCAACCCGTCTTGCCGGAACCATCATTATTAGAGATATTCCGGTTCCAGTGTCCTAATGCCTACTTATTGAGTCCAACCAATGTTACACCCATCGTTGGTAGTAATACTATTCAGCAACCTAAAGACCTTATCGATGACCGCGCATCTGGTTTCCTTCGAGTTTTTCTTCCGACATGGGAAAAATACGGACTATTTTCCCATATGGCCGGGAATTGCGGAGCTGAGAGTAGTTCCCCAAATGGCCATCACGCCCTATTTCCACTGGCTCTTTTGAATATGGCCCAGGAAGTTGGACTACGGCTTTTCCAGATTATTCAATATCTTCATGTTATCAGACGCGTGCACCTGTTAAAGGTTGAGCGAATAAGGGGCCAAAAGACGCCACAGAAACGAAGCCAACGGGTTGACACACTTGCAATCAACTTTGTTTTAGCGGAGTTGTACTGTGACTGGGAAAGAACTGATGACAACACTCGGAATCTGAGGAAACTTCGCTTTCGAAAGGAAAATAGGCAGGCTAGGAGGTGGCTATTGGTAGCATCTAGGCTTTCATTTGGGGTTCTTCTGGTTTGTTCCAAAACAGTCGAGAGAGAAGTGTATGTATTTATGTATCTCAGCAAGCTATCTCGACGTGAATGCCTTGAGACTAATCTGTCTTGCAGCAACAATAGCAGGGTTAATGAAGGACAACTGGTGGCTCTAGCTACAACTATTGCTAATGATTTCCCCGCAGTAGTTGAGACATTCCGCCACCTTAACTGGACGACAACGTGCTTATTAAATCAAGAGACAGTAAACACTGCCACTGATCTGGATTCGGTTATTGAGCAGATCGACACACACCTTCGGACAACAATATCGCCTGAAAAAAATTCTACCAGTGGACTTTCCATGCTGCACCTCTTCTGGTGAGGACGGTTATAGCGAGTCTCCGCTTAGCCATGCTATTCTCAGTCCCTGCACTCTGGAGCCTGATAGTCCAGCAGAACAGAAAGCAGGAGAATCTGCAGAGACAGGAGAATTTTAGGCCTATTGTAGGGGAAATCCATTGTCTTTCTTAAGCTTCGCATAGAGTGAAGATATTATGAAAGAAGACAATTACGTGATTAAGGGTTTTAGGTCATCAAGTAATTATCTGAGTTTATGCAATTATTCAATGATTAACTACATGTCCTGCTAGCCTGAATTCCTGGAGGCATAAGATATAACAGTAGTCAGTCATACGTGATATGTCCGAGGTAGTATACAGTTATAAGAGGGCAAGAGAAGCTTTTACACGGCTTGTTTTGACCACGCCTGGGATAGAGTATTAATTATCGCCTTCTTCTTACCGCGGAGAGAACACCATTAAATGTTATTAATCGACTCCTGATTCACAACAGGAGCCATTGATACATGTACATCATTCATTAGTATATATATGGAATATTTCTCTCTGGAGAAGACATTCTACTATTTTTGTATATAAAGGATAAATTCTAAGATGAGAATAATATCGGTCAATATTTCTCTAGTCTACAGCACCAAAGAAGTGAAGAGGAAAAGAGAGCCAAACATCCCAGCGAATTTCTGCATACGTCAGACATTATTTATAAGACACATAATGACCCTTCAGGTAGGTAGTACGTGCAGCAACACTTTCCCATTAATCAGTTAAAGTAGCCACTTCTAGAATTGGGTTCACCCCCGACAAAGGAGCCAAACTGAGTCAAAGCCAATCACATATTCCACTCCTATCCGGATGTCGAGTTATCAGGAAGCCGAAAGCAACAATCGATCAAGTTGGTCATTATTGGACTCTGAGCCCTGGGAAATGTTCTTAGACTCATGGAAGTTGTTGCTGCAGACCAAGCGGAACGGTCCGTCCGGTACGGTCGGTTTCTAGATCAGCATCATGCAAACGACCCTATGAGCAAAGAGCGATAAGTACAATGGAAAATATCGGACTTGCGCTGAGTGTAGACAACATACAAATATTTCGACCGTAGCAGACATATGGCAGGGTGACCAAAAACAGAAAAGTGGAGCCCAGTGCGACGGAAATGTACAATAACATCGAGGCAGTAAAAGCGAAAGAACCGCAGCAAAGGACAGGTTCTATAACTCACTAAAATACCGATGTGCAAAGGGCCAAACAGGGAGACGGATTCAGTGAAGGACTTGTCAGTGTGAACAGAAGAAACAAGCCATGACAGTTATAATCCCCGGGGATGGGAGGATATTTCTGAGTTCAACAATGCCGTCTCCGGATGCGACGGCACTTAATGGCAAATAACAATATTCAACTGGCTCCACCATTGCCACCCTGAAAATTACACATCGGTTGAACTACTTCGCTATCGGAACACATTTCCAACGCTATGCGTATTAGAATACAGAGTCCCGATTTACTGAGGAGCGAAAACCCTAGATAATTGTCGGCTACCTTTATGAGACGTTACGAGCCAATTAGGCTGTCTCTAGTAATACGGATCGACATTTGTTTACTGCTTACGGGTGTTAGAAGCTGACAAAAAGCTGCCGAATAAAAGCCATTTCCCAGAAATGAATTAGAGTTGAACGTGAAGCATCCATAACGACCCATGGGTCGAGTAAAATTAGGGGTTAAAATAAGTTTGGCCTAGTTACACTAGCTCACCCATTGGTGGGACTAATGCATGATGCATCTGTTGCTGGGGGCTATCCCTGTATGCTGGAAGATCAGCTTTACAAGAAGCGATCGGATATGCATACTAAAGGCGAAAACAACCATATCATTTGGAATAAATTTTAAAAGTCCTATTTTGTGATTTTGCATGAAGGAGGGAATATATTTCACTCGGTACTTCCAGGCGGCAAGTTTCAACCACTGAAGACGGCTTTATTAGGAATCGACGGCCCGGTCCACCTTCTCCACTTTGAGATAGGGTGAAGGGTAAAAAAGGAAAAAAAAAAAAAAAAAAAAAAAAAAAGTATAAATGAATTGACGCGGAATTTGACTTGTTTGGCTGAGGTCTGCAAAAAAATTGTCCATGAGCTATCGGATACTTATCGACTAAATGAGGCACATCATCAAGCAATGGCCTGTTTTATTGATCGGCAATATATTTTTCGCACTAGGCGTTGGGAAGGTTAAAACTTTTCTGACCCACTAGATACCGGAGAAGATCTCCTTTGCCTTAACTAGTTAATAGAAAGTGAGTTTGGTAAGTACTTATAACATAGGCGACATCGTGGAGTATATAAACCACGAATATAGAGCAATAAAACAGAAAGGAATGGTCAATCAGCATTATACTCGAAATGCCTTTTACTTGAAGATGGGGTATTAGCTAGAATAGGTGTCCAGTAAATTTCTCCTTATAGAGAGTATCAGAATAGTTTACAGGCCATCCTTATACTCACGGATGATAATACTAAGTAGACTGTTTTGTGGAGACATTCACATGCCGAAAAAAAAAAGAAAACCCAATGAGGGGCCGGTAGAAGGTCGAGTTCGATACCTCAGTAGCTGAAAAATCATTTGTTGAGGGGTAGCGTGCCACTATGTGTGTTGCTCAAATGATCTCCTACCTAATCAAGCAAGTATGGATCTTGCAATCATGGGCATACTTGGTCAGACATAGAATTTCGCCAATCACATAGCACTGGTGGGCCTTGTATGGCTGAACCATGGAACCGTCGACCACTATTTCGTTCAGCGGATAAAGCCGCCCGGGCTGGAGGGCGTTGAAGGGACCGTAAAGTTTGGGTTTCCAAAGTGCATTTGTATTTGTTTTCGTTTTACGTTTCTTTTCTTGTGTTTTCATCCGTGGCGGACAAAGAGAAAGGGAAGGCAGCCAATGGCGTCATGTTAGAAGGGTCTTTTTCCAGACGAACGGATATTGGTCGGATGTTAACAATTTTCATTTATGTTTTATGGAGGCTATCGCCGTCATGTGCTACCTTATCCTGGCCGTATTCTCAGACAAGATTAGGTAGAACTTTAGACGGAGAAATTCACTTGTCGAATACCAAACCAATATAGATAAAAGGCCAAGAAGGTCACCCCACTGTATTGTGCTAGGTGAAGGAAGACTCTATCTTTGGGGTGCCCTGGTAAGTTGGAGAGACCTGGCCCTTTAAGTGGAAAGGTCACTTCTGGGACTGTTACAATTCCACTCCCAACAGCCCAGACCCAAGATTTAAATCAATAATTCCAGTATGCTATGCACTGCAACTCCAGAAGCAATAGCTATCGTAAGCTCTAATATAGTATCTAAGGCTTCCGACTGTGATCTTTAGAGTTCCATGACCACATGCGCTACAGGCACCAGGGGAAAATCTACTAATACTGTAGTTAGCTATTGCATCTTATTGAGATTCTATTTACATAATTATAAAGTGTCACTATCTTTTTACCACTATCAATTTTAAAACTTTGCTTTTTGTATCGTCCCTTATTGAGGTCCTCTTGGGGAACGGTATTCCATAGGCTGCATTAATGGGTGTAATGCAGAGGCGAAGCAACTGATCTTCCAACATAGACAGAATCTGATGGACTAAGGTGAGATGACAAAGCAAATGTTGACTCAGCTAAAGGCGCTGGGCTAGAAGGATACTTTCGGTGGAATGAGGATGGAGGATTGCGACTGCTAGGTGGACTGCAAATCAAAGATGAAATTGGATCAGGAGGACAAGGACATGACGAATGCTGTTGTCCTGAGTTTTGAAAAAAATGCGGACATTTGATACCAATGCTGAACATGGTGGTAGACGGATCGGCTGATGTTGTATTATAGGTATTTGGGGACTCCTGTCTACACCTTTATCGTATTGGTCGGAAGGCATAACTTGGGAAGCCTCTGCGGAATATCTGGACAGGGATGTTGGCAAGTCTCTCGTGGCTGAGCCGTGTCTACTCTGCTCAGAAACCCATCTCCCAACATGAATACGGACATGTCGATCAATCATGCGTTTTTCGTCTTCCGAGGTCGGTCTTGCGTTGATAAAAGTGTGGGATTCAACTTAGAGTCTCTAAGACCTGTGCCCGACATTTCAGCTTGCCGGAATAAATTTCCGATATCAAGTTTGGTCCAACTGGGAGACGTTAAGTGAGAAGTCTGTCTTCTTTTGCCCAGAAACGAAGTGAGAGAAAGGGGAGGAAGGGGAGAAGTATTTTCAGCGCCACCCCCACGTGAACCGCCCGCAAACTTAACCGACTCTACACAACCTCGTTGCCAAGCCTCATTCTCATTCGGGGCCATAGCAGCATTGTACACAGACAACATCGACAAGCAGGGGAAGTGGAAAGATTACAATGTATTGAACGTACTTGTGTGCAAAAAATAAAATGCGGAATTGAAATTGAAACTGTCTCCTGCCTAAAAACAATTGCTTCCTTGAAAGCCTTCATCTTGTTTTTCCCTCCATTTTAAATGTATCAAAGTTGAGCGACGCAAAAAAAAAAAAAAAAAAAAAAAATCCAAAGAAGTACCTACTACTGCAAAATAAAGGCAAAGGAATCCCCAAAAATAACATAAACATAAAAACTAAAATAAATATAACGGTGTTTCCCTCCACCTCGGTCAAGTTTGCACTAAGATGGCTGGCATCAGCGCTCGCTTCTTCCTTGCTTCTGTGCGTGGTAAAGCAAACCGACAATGAACATGTGAAGCATGACAGTGAATAAAATAGTAGCCCTCCCGATCATATGTCACTTGTTTGGGTCGATATCTAGCTATAGCACTGCTAACCAAGGTTTTTCCGGCGTCGACTCCGGGAGACAGTCTGGTCCTCACGGCTACCTCGTTGACGTTTAACTTGGAGCCGGTTGAGCTCCTTCGTCAGGAGGCGAATCTCAGCATCAATAGCCGCGTTCTTATTTGGAGGCTTGGACTTCCTGGTCCTAGTGCGTCGGCTAGACCTGCGTGTTTTCCGTGCCTGCTCAAGACTGGACAGGGAAGTGTCTGAATCCGTGTCATTTTCTTCATATTCGGACTCCACATTACGAACGCCTCTTCTGGATTTGGAGGGAGCTTTCCTAGGGCGGGAACTATAAGTACGACTCGATGATTCATCTGATGATTCATCATGACTGTCGTCTGAGTCATGATCCCAATGTTCCTCGACATTGTATCCCCAGTAAGCGTTTTCAAGCTCTTTTGCCTTTAGATAGATCATCCGATCTCCGTTGAAGCTATTTCCGTTGGCAATACGTCGAACAAATCCTCGACGCTCCAGCGTAGTATTCCCGTCTTTCCATTTCACCAGAACCCTTTGTGGGTAGGTTGCGTATCGCTGCGGTCGAATTAATGCCAGGGCATTGGTATTGGCTTCGTCGTCGTCCTCGACCTTCCAACCTACGCCTATAATATCGGAAACGTCATCGCGGGAATACTTCCATACCTCTTGGAGTATACCATCCGTGGTAAGAGTAGACTTCGAGTTCCCACGAGTGTTGGACAGGACTAGTTCTGCCGTTTGCGGGTCGTAGGGCTCAGAAGATCCCGCGCGTACGCGGTATATAGGGTTCCTTTTTGAGCCATACCGGACAAAAATCTGGGTCCCTGTGCCGACTGGCCACCAGTAAAGTACCCTTCCACGCGCCAGCGCAGTATACTCCTTCCTCATCCTGGATTCCAGTGCATTTATTCCAGACAGCTCATCAGAGTCTGACTCATCAGATTCGGAGTCATCCGAGTATTCAACTGCAGAGTCTGTATCATCCATAGCAGGAAGCTGCCCCAGGCTTTCCGGTCGTTCCCCAAATCGCTGTATGGTAACATCTGGGGAATATTCCAGTCTTCAGGTAGAGAATTTCCACGGTTGATCAGGTAGAAAGATTTATACAGCTTATCATATGCTTTCCATCCACTCTCGGGGTCATCCCCACCATACCCGAGTCCATGTAAGCTGACCATGAGTCATACGTAATTCGATACATCTTCTCAGGTAGAAGATTTCGTTCCGGGGAAACATTGTGTTCAATATTGGCCTTTTTGATCCTCTGGTTGGTTTTTGGAAGAGCTGCTCAATTTTCGAAAAGTCTGGCGTTTCAGATTGAAGTATCCTTTTAATGTCCGCCCCTTTTTTTAACGAGGTCCTGTATGATCTCCTGTGCCCAACCATCGATTCTGGCCTTCTTGTGACGACGTTTTTGTGCGGTTGGGGCTTCATCGTCGGATAATTTTTCAAAGTCTGAATCCAAATCTTTCAATTCCCGGTCCATATCGACGTCCTCATCGTTATTGGTGCCTGTGGGCTGCCCTTCGTTCTCTGCAGCCTCTTCATGTTGAGGCTCTTGCCGGGTATTTCTCCGGCGAGTAGCCCGGGTACGCTTCTTGCTCTTGGGCATGTCAGTGTGAAGTCAAACAGATTACAATCTTGTTACTAATAAAGGAGGTCCATCAGTATATAATAGGTAATATATAACTGGCATCATACCTATCTTTTTTCTTGTCTGTCGTTTATTGACTGATGTTTTTGGTATAAAGGAGGAAACTGCGGCTGTGACTCGGTCTTTATATGTTGTACTGGAGAGAGGAACGAACACCATTTCATTCTGGGGAATATTAAAAATATTTCATCGTCTGGCATTTGCTGGACCATGTTAATTCCCAGAGTCCTGCATATCTCATCAGCTGTCAACAGATAGTGGCGCGTCACCAATTCGGCACGCAACACCAGAAATAACAACCGGCTGGCACTATTTAGGCACGCAACACGAATGGGGCCGCAGATGTAAAGTCATTCGGGCCATTATGTGCCCAACAGAGGTAGCTGCAGCTGAACTACAGCGAGGGTGTGACGTACTTTCACTCTACGCTTGTACCTAGCAAAGGACCATGCGGGCGACTAAAATTATTCTCACCATTATACGCCTACTGGATTTGCTTCATTTCGCATACGCCTTGACAGGTGTCCAGCAAGCTCTAACTATTCGTACCGGGTATGTGCACGGTATGGCAACCCGTCACCTGTTACCAAGTACACAGCGGCCGGTATTGCAGCCCGCACTTTTGGGCCTTGGAAGTTTGAACTAGCTGGGATGGAAAGTTACTACGTCGCAGTGGCTGCAGTAAAGAGGCTCGTTGAAATATATCGATCCCAATAATTGCCACATATCTCTTCTTTAGTTAGGCAGGTTGGATATATAAGATTTCCTCGACAATGCACCTACTTTGGTAATAATGTCCCGTTCTCGGCTAGTCCTATGTCACGGTCCTAAACCCTAAATTGAATGAAACAAGATCTATTCAGAACATAGGGCGACTCATATTTGAAACAACTAACTTGAGGAGCTATCTCTAGAGGTGTTGCTGGGAGGGAGGTGTAGGATGTGTGGTCACGTGATTAAATAGGGCTAGGGCTGGAAATCAGGTGATCTGGGATCCCTTCGAGGTCGTGGGCCCACGACTTGATCTTGACCTTGCCGTGACATCCTACACATCTGGAGTACATTTCCGCTCTACCGTCTCCATGTTCCTGTTTTCTTTTAAATAACATTCCATTACTATGATGATGGACAAAAAAAAAAAAAAAAAAAAAAAAACCCTTCCTATTGTGTGAGTTGAGATGGAAGTTCAGTGCTAATGCCCTGCGCAAAAGCAATCAATTGCCCTAGCGCCTCAGAGCATTGCATGCAGCTTGATTGATAGTATTCAGCCACCGTCATCCAGTGCTGGATATCTTGTTGATGTAGATGTATGGTCATCTGTGCTTCTCGAATAATAGACTTCTGAACCTGGATTTCATCCTCGGCCTCGGCCTTCGCTAATTCTAGTGCTGCTTTGTCCTTCTCTACCTGCTCTAATTTCTGAATAAGCTGAAACTTCTCAGCCATGACTTGTTCATATTGGACAGATAGGGGAGCTGGTGGCGGGCGCTAACCAATTAGTTATTAAAATATAACAGACAAGCAAATGGAAGACAGTTTATACCTGATCAATATTATTGCATCGGACTGCATGGAAGGATTGACCGACCTCGCGGCATAATTGCATGTATACCCCGGCGGAATGTTTGCTTAAATGCTTATCGAACAGGGGTTCAAGCTCCGGATCATCGATCTCCCATGCGTATTGCAACTCTTCAGTCGACTTTAATCGTACCTCTGAGGGCTTCAGCCGCAGTCCGAGCTTCTCCCCTGTCAATGACAATGAGTTAAGCCCAGAGTATACAATGATGTGACCTTACAGATGTGCTGCGCAAGACGATTACGACATTGTGACCTCCATGACGCACGGTTTAGATTGCTTATCCTGGAGGGTTGGTCGTCCATATTGGTCTCCTTTGGGCAATATCGGATATACTGTTTAGCAGTCTTCTGCGTCTTATACCTCTTATTTTTGCGAGCTCATTTGGGACTGGCTTGCAATGCCAGTTATCTGGCTATTATTGGCCAACTGCTCTATTTACATGAATATCAGATGCTTCTGCGGAGTTGAATAATTCCATAGCAATTAATGTTCTACATGCAAGATCATTACGAGTAAGAAGATGCCAGGTGATAATACTGTCAAAAGCCTCCTGAGATTAGAGTAGCTTGAGACCCAAAAGGCATCCTATATGGGCCTGTAGATGGAAGTGATAAGGAAATACTGTGTACACAGCATATAGTTTCAACGGACTCAATCCAATCGGTTGCGCACTAAAAAAGAGAGGCCAAGTGTCTCAGTTGGCTACCACCCATTACATGCAATCCTAGGTATCAACCGAGCCGCCTGTTTTCCTCCTCCCTGCAAGTCTGGAAGCGTGACTAAGCTGCGGTCCAAAGTGGGTTCGCAGACTAAGTAATACTTCGCTCAACTAATCGTTGCTGTGGTCACGGATATGGCTAAATGTATCGGGGGCAGAGGGGTTTTGCCGTTTCTTCACCCGTCTGTTGATCCCTTTCAGTAATTTGGACCTGAATTTGCAGTACTCCAGCAGGCACATTAACTCTTCCGTGTCAGGAATCTCCCTTGCCCGCTCCATGTCGGTGAATGATAGCCGGTGGACGTCTGGGTATCTGCTCTCCTGACAACTTGTCAGCTGAAATAACCAAACAGTAAGGAGGTGCACTTACGAAGTTTTCATCAGACGGGGCCATTGTATTCCTTCGACGGAATTGTAGACTACCGTAGCGCGCGGATGATCGATTACAAGGTAGACCCTCGCTTGGCGAAGAGCTGCAAGGTCATGTGCTTTGCCTAGCAAAGTGCGACTCCTTTTTGGAACGATCGACGCTCAGCTCCATCAGGATCGGGACCACCCATTGTTGACGTCTGTGAGAGAGAAGGGAAAATATATAAGGCTGGGGAGTTTAATCGAGATACGACTTGGGATTTGCAGAAGAATGGGGAGAGAGTTACTGCAATTTGTACCACTAGGAACCTTTATAAGACCAGCTGTGGTATTCTGTGGTCACGCGATCTTACAAAGAAATGCATCCCCAACGCTAGCTCTGACTGATTTCCGTCTAATGCAGCTACGGACTAGCTCCAGCTAGCTCCTGATCCTCACAGCAGCGGATTTTCTTGTACCGACTGCCCCGGGACTCCCCGAAGATCGTTTTCGCCTCGTGCCATGAGTGGGTCCTCCAAGTCCATCGCAGCTGTTACATGGGAGCAGGGTCAAACAACCATGATCAGGGCTTCCAAATGGTGCATCCAAGTGCTGGCGTGCAGCGAACGATACCATCGTGCCGGGGAATCCGCTTAATTTCCACCTCTTTTTAGCTTTTGTCTGTAGATAAATATTGACCACCTTCTCTGAATGGGCGACGAGGAAAGACACCGGGCGGCAGTACCTTCCGCAATCTGAACAGAGTTCGCTTAGTCCCTTAAGTGGACCTATGGTTTCAGAGTCGGTTGTGTAATGCAAATCATGGGGATGCAGCTGCACCAGTGCATCGACCACCTGCTTAGCATGACCCTTACAGCGTATGGTCCCATAGCACCAAAACGGAGCCATAGTATCTTCCGGCAAAATTTCAAGAACAAAATAGAACCGTGACACAAGCAACGCAGTCGCCGCCTCCCGCGCCATCCGAGCACTGCCGGGGAAAGAATTACAAGATTCCGGTATTCCTCCATCACCTCGATCGTATCGATAGCGCTAGGTACGTCGCGAAGAGGTATATTCAGCCGAAGATAGTCTTCCTTGTGGGCGTCCTCAAGCTGGCCCATCATTTCCAGCCATTTTGTTTCCGTGTCCATGGAGGACATCCAAGCATCGAATCCTCGACGCAGGAATCCATCCTGGAAGACATGCCGAAAATGTGGTGGTCTATCGCGTGGTCTATCCGTAATACCCGTACCCATAGAGAGAAGTCGCGCGGGATGTTTGCGGGAGGGCCAGATTTGGCGGCTTAACCGCCGTGCGATATCGGCAGCGAGATTATCCCTAAGTCCCCGTCTTGGAAGGACCCAATTCCGCGAATATCGATTGGGGAAAAAACTTATAAAAATGTCAGTCTACTACTCTTTAGGAATGGCGGAAGGTTAATCTCACAAAGGGGCGGCCGCGGTAGCTCTCGCGCTAAGACAATTCACGTTAGGGTTGTTCTAAAATAAACGGCCAAACCTACTTACGCTTCCCATACGAACGGCTCTGAGTCTATATGTGCTGGCCGGACGATCTCATACCCTTCCGTTTCGATTAGTGCCCAAACGAACTACTAAGCTGGTTAGGTATGGGTCCCAGACTTACCACATTCTTGGCCGGCGCTCTCCGTGCTGTTGAAGTTGCCAAACACAAAGGACCTTGTCTCTCTGGCAATGCTCGTTGCAACGACACCCACTCTAGTCTTGGGTGTGTGGTACTAGAATCACCCATGCGAAGGCTGTCAAATAGGCGTTTGTTTGTGTAAACTTCCTTTAGAGCCGTGTCGAAAACACTCCCATCATAACAGCCGTCATAAAGGAGCCATAACAGCCATTTGTGGACGGTTCCGAAAAAGGAACGCCTTCCGAATATAGCCTGTGATGCGCGCGCAAATGCCGAACTTCGCCTTTCATGAAATATACGACGTGCCATGTGATCAAAGACCGCCCCACATTTCCTGATATCCCACTGCATATTAAACAAGCCGAGGATACTCTCAGGCCCCTAGTTCGGGTCAGCGGTCGATTCCTGCATTCTCGTTGCAAGGGGGCATGATGGATTAAAAAAATTCCCGGTTTACTAAGTCATACCTGAACTTGTTCCAATCGCAAGATCGATAAGATCTTGAAGGGGACAAAGACCAAGGTTCTCCTGAATAAGATTCAGGAACTCCAAAGGAATAACTCCTCGGACTCCGCCACCGTCAATGGCTAGGATGGTAGGGTTCATCGTTGGAGGTAAGACATCTATTACTAGAGGCCTCTGGTACAGACAACAAAGGCAGGCCGTGATTGTGAAACTATATTCCAGGCCTGCGGCAGGTGACCCAAATAACTGAGCACATAGGTCACAGACTGCGTGGCCGCAATCTAGGCGATGCTGTGCAACCCTGAGAAGGCAGACGAGACATATTTTGTTTGATCGTATCCGGCAGAGCCTTCCACTGGATTCCCTTAGATGCTCGCGTCGGAACTCTAAGGATGATTGACCGGTACTCTCGAGTTTATGGAATTGCTCCACCATGTTGCGCTCAACCATACCCGCAAGCTCGTCGATAGTTCTATATGGTTGATTCACGGGGGTAATTTGAAGCGCATCGAAGACAACAGAGCGATAAAGCGCCTGGAAAACGGCCCGAGGTTCTAGCGCTATGCTGTTGCATCAGCCCATCGGTCGAACTCAAGGAGACGTTGACTCATACCTAACATCCCTGGGACATAGTGATCCATGACAAGGGCCGATGAGATCGAAGGGGCCAGCTCCTCATAGTAGACACCTGCCTTTGTTCCTATGTCTAGGTAGTGTGCTATGGCCATGCTCGAGGATACGGGGACTTCATTTTGTTCTCTAGTTGCCTTCACAAAGTCAAAAGACCGGCAGATATCTTCAGCTGTGTGCTGAAGTGCCAACCGGAAAAGCGCTACCAGATGGGTCGCATTAAATATAGCTCCATGGTCTTTCCGGACAGTGTACATGTCATCCAACTGCCCTGTAATCAATACGCGCAGGCGCTCATAGCGAGCACACTCTGATAGATGACTTCGCTCCAGGCGCATAAAATGGATCGCAGAAAAGCACTCCGACAAGGTCTCGGGACTGTTCTTGTCCAGTTTGCAATGGAACTGCTCCACTTGTTCCATATATTCTTCTCCCCGCTCCAAGGGGCTTCTGTCACTATTATAATCCGCGGCCGAATCGCCACCGGTAATGATGAAGATGACTGCAGACGTAGGCATTCAAGCAGAAAATCAGCCACGTCGGCAAGGTCAGCAGAGTCGCTTGCGAAGAGGCAAATAACATCTGCGAAGAGGAAAATGAGGCGAGCCCAGATGTTACGTAGTACTGTCCCTGCACAGGGAGAATCCCACGAGATGGAGCGCTCCGTCTTAACGCATCCTATCATAGAGGAGCTCGTAGAAGATTTATATTCCAGGCCACCGTCTGCGAACAACACTGGTCGTGAGGTCTCCAATGAACCCATGTCGTACCGTAGCTTTACCTCAGCCGCTGAAACATGCCGTTTTATGTTGTTGTACTGATAGAGCTGTCGAAGACAAGCGTCCTTGGCTTTGGCGCCGATGTATACACATAACGCCGGATATTGGTTTGCGGGATCTCCCAATTCGGATACCACATGGTCTAAGCGGCCATGATCCAAAATAGTAAACCTCCCACGTTCGCTAAGGCCTATACTAAGCCAGCCAATATCATCCGTTCGCTGCATCTTGGGAGAATGCTAGATGCCTATCCCCAGCTAACCCTGGCGGAGCTTTATACAATTTTATATCCAGGTCCCTTTACAAAGCAGCTATATACTTCCGTAACATTAAAATCCATCATGCAATTGAAGCAGAGAGGTAGGCACTTGTTTTCCGAATGAGTCCATTCCTAGCGCCTTGCCTCCTGACCCTTGATGCTGCTGGGTGTTTCAGCCATAGAACAATACCACCACCCAGGGTGAGCAGGGAGCTATATTAACCTATCATTGGTCAGTTGGCTAATTTAAGCCAAATGGCGGCTCACCCTCCCTCTCTTCCAAGGAGAGCTGCAATACCGTTACGGGAACGCAATCTTTGTCTGGGTCGAGTCTTGTCGGCGGAGGACATCTCCAGCAAAACCCGGTGTGGGGGCCCTTTGTGCCGGAGATCATTAGCAGGGTTGGCGATCAGCACGCTAACGTGTCAATGTGACTAGTCTCAGCGTGGAAATCGGTGTCTCGGGAGCTTCCATGTCTATCCGTTTAGTAACGTGTTAGTCAGCCCGGACCACCAAGCGATCACCCGTGCTCTAACTAGTAGCTCCACTCTAGGTCATTTAAAAACAGTTATCTTGTTGAATGTAACACTGACTTTATCAGCCCATAATAACCCCTGTCAAATGAGTAGAAGACCCCTGTCAAATAAATCTAAGAAATCTATAAGCCACTATGTTTTGTGAAGGATATATAAAGCGCCCTTAAAGCACCATTTGACGCTAAAAATTCACTTGCGCGAAGGACTGATCACCTCTTCTCTGTTATTTCCGTTTCGGTCAGAACACGTATCCCGAATATGTCCGCACCAAACCAACCATTGGATGACCTTGATCTGAACCCCTACTTAAATCACGATATATTGTCGCCTCACGGAGTCCTCAGTATTGAGTCTGGCAATACTTTTAGCAATTCTGAAAACGTCTACCTGAATAGCCTTGTTAGTGGCAGCGACATTGTGTTTTCTTCACATTTTAACTGCCCTTCGTTGGCTACTGCCATCGGACGTGAAGATGCATGTTTAGGCCGTGGAGAGGCAAGTGTTAAGGGTTGGGGAACAAAGTCTGTTTTTCCATCGCCAGTGCCCAGGACGTGGTTGACGAATCAATGCAGTCACGATAGCGCGCATACCATTACAACACCTAAGTAGGGACAATAGTTGATTACCTATTTATGTTTTAATACTAACTGGGCAAATCGTCTAGCGAGTGTCGGGAAATTTTCTCCGGCTGTTTCGATGAAACAGCCCATAAACATTTCAACATTGACAATTTTTCAACGCCCAGTGTTGGAGAGGCTTCCATGCCGACGGCACGAACTTCTCACGTTAACGATTTTGGTACTTCCATCCAAAAGATTATTTCAGATGTTGGCACTATTTCTGAAAGAGTAGAGCGTGGGTTAAGCGTTGTGGAGGGTTTTGCAGCAAAAACTCAGGACATTTTGGATGCATTTAATGGTCTTCACGAAAAGATTAATAATATGTCTAGTAGGGTTGATGGGCTGGCTGAGATGCTAGACGAGGTCGTGAAATGTGAACGGCTTGCCATGGAGAAATTTGGGAATTTGGCAAAACGTATCGAGCGCCCTGTCTCTTCTCGTTCACGGAGCCAGGCAACCTAGATTTCTGACAACACAACCCAATGAATCAAATGCCCTAAGCTTGTACCTCCCTAGGTGTCAAATTTTCTTATTTTTTTTTTTTTTTTTTTTTTTGTTTAGGCTTCTATATCTGGCACCAAGGATAAGAATATGAGCCGCTTGATTCTGATTTCTAATGGAAGAAAGAGGCTTGAAAACCCCACATACTCTCTACATTTAACTTCAACCCAGTAATACCAGGGATATAAAAATAACATCTAGGACGATCACTATGATTACTTAATTGCTTAACCCTCAGTAAAATATGGAATACACTACCTTTCGCATTTAGTTTCAGCCGAGTCTCCGAAAGCATATCCTTAAGAATACGAGCTCCTAACACATTCAGTAAGAGGGGCTACTGTTTTTCCGTCATTCCCCATCCACAAACTAATTAATCGTTCTACCCATCTAGCGTCTAATTGTTAGCTGATTGCACCACATCAATTGCCTTTTAGCATCATTAGCTATTATCGTTAGTTGTTGCTTTAAATTAAGGATTTAATTCTTCCTCCCGAAGCCATACCCAATCTCCTAAGCTTCTAACTCCAGGAACTGACCAAATCCCGCCTCATTTAGCGGGTCGGCCCGGTCATCCAACCCCTGACAGTAGATTTAAGTGAAGTACATATCATTTACTCCGCTATTTTGGTAGGGGAGGAGACAGACATTCCTATTGTAATCTCCTCCCTTTCCTCCTCGTTGAGCCAAATATCGTATTGGCTAACTTCTTCCGGGTAAGAGGGGGGAAGATGGTTAGTGCAGCTTTAGCTGTTGTGCGTAATGGGATGTGGAGTCCACCATTTAGATAGTGTGTGGCATTCCTCATTTCGCGTACCATGGTTGGACCGTCGCGGGTTATTCGTTGGGAGCGACCTGTTGTCCAGTGTAGGTTGTCCCAAGCCAAATCATTTTGCTTGTTTTATGTACTGTTAGAAATATCAACTCTTTTTTTAATTTTTTGTGAAATCGGCAAGGATGTAGTTGGTAATTATTTCTGTCTTTTTGGTTTGCTAGAACAGCCTTATGTCTAGACAATAATATCCAAAAGCTTACAGAGTTAGACACTCCTGCAAAACCAGCCATTAAATCTGGTTAACTAATTAGTCAATCATTGGGTCGCATCTTCGCATAACGAAACAGACTTAGCAAAATCCCCTAAAAACTAAACTAACTTTCCTATCCAGATCAAGTGTTTTATGATCGCCATGGGTCACTACCATCATCCACTTAGGGCAAAAAAAAAAAAAAAAAAAAAAAATTCTAATACAATAATTATTGAATAATCACATGGGCGGCTGGAAGAAGGAACATCTAATATCCGCGGCTCACCTGTCCTGGTATCTCTGAGTGATCTTCATCTTCTCATTGTTACCTCTTCGACTCAGGATGGATGCTACGTCAAGTCCTCTAATTAACAAGAGTGGAGAAATAACTCTCCTAGCTCGAGGAACTGATGTGCAGTTGGGATGTTTTGGGACTATAGACGCTTTGAATTCGAACTTAGGGCATTGAACTCCTTTGCTAATAGGAGCCTGTGCGTCGTACCCAAACGGGGTCGCGATGTTGGTCGAATTGGAAATAATCAAACCCAGCTCGGAGTCGCCCGTTGGCATATCATGATTTAGTTAACTACGGCAATGGAGACCTGTGCGAGCTTTTTGATCCCGCACATCCCCAATTCGGTCCGCATGCATGACACACCGGCCTCTCACGGCTACAATCCACTTGAATACTGACTCTAGGCCCGTATCCGCCTATTAACACTTAGGCAAATTAGCACGCACTTCAATAAATCATCTTACCAAAGTTTTTTTTTTTTAAAACTACACACTGCTTCGCTCCTTGTCCTTTACAGCTCATTAAAAGCCTTTTGGACCACGATTCTGTGGGTAGATCCACGTACACAAGATGACTCAAGATCAGGTAAGGTCAGTTATTCCCAGAAGATGGTTCACCATACCTAATGATAGAAGGATTCTCACATCCGACAATGGATCCAAGACGTCTGGATTTCTACAGGGAAGCTCCTTGAGCGGGAGGAGAACTCAAGAAGAAGGCAAGAAGACCTGGAATTCAGGATCAGGGAGGACCAAGCAGCGAACAAGCGAGCACTCGACCATTGCGCCTACCTCGAAACAGTTGTCACGGAACTGGAGAAAAAGAGGCTGCAACACGAGTCTAGCCTGAACCATCTCAATGAACAACAATGGGTACTGCATCAAGACCTGATACAGGAAAGAACAAAGGCTAAAGAATTGGAGGGTCGTGTTGAGAGCCAATACTCAGTCAATGAGACTTTGCTACGGGCTATAACTAAAACTGAAAGCAACGATTTCAGCCCGTTGAACCTTCAGCAAATTCTCCTTGAGAATGAGCGGCAACGCGAGCTGATCTCCACGCTTCAGTCTACGTTAAACGCGCGGGAAGCCACGGTACGGTACCTGCAGATGGCCTTCCACGAGACATCTCAGGATCATTGTTCGGACTGCAGCTGGGGTTCCGACACCGAAAGCTTCCTAAGCGAGTCTGGCACGTCTTTGTCACATGAGAGCCGTAATAGCCGCGATGGCTCAATCACACCACCGGCAAACTCACAAAAATCCGGGGTCTGACTGGTATTAAAAGGTGAAGGCATAGCTTTGGCACAATATCCTATCGTCTTTGTACTTTTGGTGGTTAGGTATAGAAAGTTACAGCCGGTTTATGTCGGTCAATCACATAGTAACAGTAAGAAATCTTTCTCTGTACATGATCTACCTGAAAGTAGTCGGTTTATAGGCTATATTAGAGACTGCCCTATCATAAAACATAGTGATTGTTGGAGTTAATAGCCAGTATAGTATCGAGCTTCAGTGAGATGCCATACATTGACGCATGCGCCACTTGCAGGATTAGCTAGACCGCATATACTCTTGACCTAGTGTCATGCAAAGCCTTACTCTCTATACATAGTCGGTGGTGTGACTCAAAGTCCTAACATAGAATTACTCGGCAGCTTCTGCAGGAATGAAGCAGGCTAATTCCACGACGTCTTAGACTTGCGACCCCAAACCAGATCGCAAGCGGAAAATACCCGCCCTGAAGGTCTTCAAAAGTACACCAATTCCCCAACTAATATACCCTGGAATAGTCAACAATAACTAGCGAGCTTTATTTCTAGTTTCTTCTGACTCTATGAACAATGAATCAATTCCCTCGTCGCTCTCTTGATCCGATTGCCGAAGAAATCACTCCCGTGGATCATGAAATCCTCCGCCATGGCGGAACCTCATCCAACATTGAGAGGCTCCCTTCCCGTCTGCAGCGATCGAAACGAGCATCCATGGACGTTCAGCAACAGTTAGAGGACCTTGTTTATGATGTCAGTTACCTGAGAGCCGAACTCCAGTGGCAGAAGGAGTCCAAACAAGCTCTGCTGCAATTCCAGGAGGACATGTTCCGAATCTTCCATATGATTGAGGACATGCTGGTCCAAGTGACAGCAAGGCTCCATAATTCTGAACAGCGCTACTTTCAACTCTTGGGATTTAAAGCCAACGGTGGCGATGACGGGGGCATGATCTAATGTTGCTCAAACACTAGAGCTGAAACAACGACAGAAATCCAATTTCGTGTTTTATACTCTAAATACATTGCTTATATATGCTTATGTGACAAATTACAATAAATTGAGTTTCTTTAATTGCTTGTGAGATCTAAAGCAGATGAGAAGTGAAATAGTACATCACTGTGTACACGTAGCCTGGCCTCTATATCTCGTCAACTGCTTGTTTTCGTGTTTACCATCTAATAATTAGACCAGATTCACTTACTTCTACTCACTCCTCCCCAGTTAGTGACAAAATTGGTATTTCACTTGGTTTGTAATTGCCACCGCTCACAGTAAAAGATATCTCTACTTCTCTTGTTCGCAGAGAACTTTTGAGTCCAAAGAGACTTTTTGGACACAGTTTTCGACAGAGCCGGTGTAACTTTACTGTAAGGGAATAGTTGTGCAGACGTCTATTTTGTGAGCGTCATATGGTCAATGGTTGTTCAGCCCGTGCCAGGCTTTGTAATGCAAGAACATATAGTTTATGTATTGCACACTAAGACAAGTAGTTTTGCCACTAATCCGCGACCCAAAAAAGGCCCGCAAGCCGCATGGACCAGGCGGATTCAAACCGAGGCTAAGGGAATCTATATATATATGACCCTGAATGTGTCCTTGTCTGCCTATCGTTTTGAAATAACTATTCTCAAGTACTTCGTGATGCGACCTTTTCTCTACACTGCCTATCTTTTTTAACTACCTGTGTCAGCCCAAGTTGGGCTGAAGTATGGGTACGTCGAGTTTCATATACAATAGTGATTGGCTTATTGATTCTAGCGAAACTTATAGGTTGAAGGAGTTGAGGCTATCAACACGAACAACAATGTCTTTCATCATGGATACGTCCGCAACTTCAGTAAGTTTTGGAACAGCTGTTAGGATTCACGTGTCTTTTAATGCCTTAATAGGTGCGGACAATTCTAAGTCGAGCAGAACCTGGGCGGTGGATCATTCCCTTTCAACGACGTTTTGCCCAATTAATCAGCAGGACTCATCTCAAGCAGAGGGCTGGCCACGCCTCAAAGCTTACCGGGATCTATAATCAAGCCACGATATTCAGGAGAGAATCTAACGCACTAAAAGAGAAGGGTATCATGAGCTGGTACGGTACCCAGGAGCCGAGGTCACCAGATACAAGAACACTGTCCGAAGTTTTGGAATTCCAAAGTGGTGTCGGAGGAGACTGTATGCCATACAAACCTGATTAAGAGCAGATGTTGTTGCTTACAAGATGTAGTTCTAGTTTCCTATCCTTACTGTGGAGGCTCGGGTGCCAGCGTCCCTATGTTTAAACTGCCAGAAGGGCTACAAGCTGGTAGTTTGTACACAGTATACTGGCTATGGAAACAACATATCGGTGAATCACCAATGGCTGGTATGTGCACCTCGTACTTGGACAAAAGTATAGGCTAAACAAGGAAAGATATCTACTTCTGTATGGATATCGATATTGTACACCCTACAGACGCTAGTATTTAGGATCGCTCCAAGTGCAACGCCTTCATCCTCTACCCAAGACCAGGTGTTATGGCGCCTACGGCTACGCGACTGGTATTACGCCTCTTCGGCCCTCGCCTCACAGGAACCAGAGGAACCATATTCCACCGGCTTTCAGTTCATTCTTACCTGGCTTTCCCAAGCATCCCTGGAGTAAAACCTCCAGGCAAAGTCAATCTGGTTCTATTTTACCAACTTTCAGTGGTACATGTTCTTCAATATCTAAAGTAGTGGGTTCAGTTACTCTTCAAACACCTCAGAAGTCTGAAACTACTTGGAGGTCAAAATCGTGGTTGACGCCTTGGCATAACCGGTCGACTTTAGCCATTTCACCATCTTCAATTAGTACATCAACTTCAGAATCAAAAGCCAGTGCCTCATCATATGCCCTATCGTCAAAGTGTGTGACAGACATAGCCACCTCTTCCCAGACTGTTCCCGCGCGGGCCAGTCCAGCCAGGAAAGGGTCAAGCTGGGCCGTTAGAGTAATACCGGATGATGTTACTAAGTTCCACCCGCAGTCACTAATGCTCTATTGGTGACACTGTCTGGTTTATTCTTCAAATGGGCTTTCTTCCTCTAAATACCACCTGGAAGAACTGTACGGCCTAACAAGATTGGCAACAACGAGACACTAGTGGCATATTTAGTCAATACGACCGAGCCAGTTGGTTTCTCGGTCATCGGATCAAGAGTGGTATAAATGTTTCCCGCCAAGCCACTTTGCGTTAAACCCAAGCAATCACTGGGAAGAATTTTCTAGCATCGTGCATGATAAATATGTCTACGTGTCGACTACTACGCCAGCGTTGTCCACAACAACAGTCGTGACTTGGGTTACTCCCACTTGATTGACTCCTAGGATAATACATACGTTGATCGATGGGATAGACATGTGTGTGGCCATGAATAGCATTATATTCCTGCCTAAATGTCTTGAGTCTAAAGCGCACACAGTTAACATATGTTTCTTTTTCTTCTTTGGCTAACTGTTATTATCTTTTCTTGTTGGGGAATAAAGGGGGCCGCAGGATTGTATGCTCTGAGTATTGCGCCTCCCAAGTTTGTATATTTATATATTTGTTTATTGAAGACTTTTTAAATGGGTAGCAAATATTTGCTCCATCTTTCCCCAGATCCCGGGTGCATTGCCTCAGACAGCAGTCGGTGAAAGCGCGAGAAAACTTGCACGGTCTGAGAAGGTCCAGCGAAGAAAGTTTGCGTCCTGCATATATTCCGATAGTTATATTTTTAATTCCTTTTTGCATGTTGTATGACTCACCTTTCGCTGTGTTCTGACCAGAAAGCACCGTGGGTTACGAAGGCCGAAACAGATTGAACGACCACCTACCAAAAGCTCAATACAATAAATCCGGTGGCCACTTTCATCAGAAAGATATGAAATAGCGATTCCTTGGATATCTTCACCAGGTTCCAAGGTATGTGTTGCAGATCTGATGGTAAGTTCGCCGAGAGCCGAGGGGCAACGGTCACGGTAGAACAGCAGAAGACCGGTAACAGGCCCTAGCGCCGTGGCTTGGAAAGCTTGTATCATAGAGATCGCATTAAGGGGCGCAGTTGACTGCAAGCCCATGAATGGGGGGATACTGGGTATCACTGTTGAAGTCCAATACTGGTGATTTCCTGCCACTTTGTCTCGAAGTGGATGCACAACTGGACGTTGGGGACTTTGGAAAATTCCAAAGGCCGACATGTGGTGATCCAGAAGAGACTCCCTCCATCAGTAAAGTTCGCTAGAGAAAAGTATTAAGCGTCCTACCTTTCCTATCGCAATTCCGGCCACATTGGCCACTGAATGTGATATTTCAGCGGACGGGTCACCAAAGGTCACGGAACGGTTTTTGTTTGTGGTAAACTAAACGGTCAGTTCACACCACGACGTTGCAGACCATAGTCAACCCACTGTTAGTGCCAGATTGCCATCGTCCGGAGCACTGCCGACGGAGACAGTAGTAATAGTTTCGTCGGGCAACAACAGAAAGGAGAGTTTAACGTCAGAAGTGATTGACGGCCCAAGTAGGTGAACTGTATCTTTGCAGACAAACTCCAACGCGCTCACAGCAAATTGTCCCCAAACTGGGTTCATGTATGCATTGACAGCAGTGACCTGTCGAAAGTCTGTGGTGAAAGTCCATAGTGGATACAGACCATGACTTCGCTTGTGGCGGTCGTACAGGCAAGACAGGGTAAGTGACAGGTCTACAGGTACTTGGGTCGTCGGGAAAAGGACATGTTGGTCTATATCGATTCGACAGGCTAGCTCTATCATCTTCTTGTCCTTCTAGAATGTCAGTTTTTTTGCTGAAAATATCAAACGGGATAATGTCTGCTGAAAAAAAAAAAAAAAAGAAAAGAAAAGAAATAAAAAGAAAAGAAAAAAGGAAAAAGAAGAAGAATAAGAAGAACTCACATCGTACGATATCAGAAGCTCCGTCCTCGATGACTTCCACTCTAGGCGACTGAAAGTGCCATTTGTTGGGGGTAGGCCATGCCACTGTAGCTGCCAGCCATTCGAATCCTTGACCTGAATAGCAACAAATCGCCCACCAACAGCCGCTATATGGAGGCCTTTAATGCTGTTCACGCGGACAGAACTCCATGTTTGGCCCTTATAGCCAACGAGTATCCCATTGAGGATAATGCCTGACAGAATGGACCCATCGAACGTGAAAGTGAGTTGAGACACATCCTTCGTAGGTAACGCATATCTTTTGGCCAGTTTTGGTAGACTGCGATCCAAGACTGCGGCGTAGGGCACATACATATGTCTTGGAACCTGTACAAGATTGACGGTTTGTTCCATAGCCGTTGCAACCATTCGCACATTATCCCAGATTGTCCTATAGTTTGCCGTACGGGGATAACGACCTGGCGGATTCCGCATGATTTTCTTGGCAATGGTTCGCACATTAACTTCGCAGTTTGCGCCATCTTCCAGGTCGTATTTGCGACCAAGTTCTTTCCACCGACGTGGGCTGGGGCCATAGCGCAGAACCTCGCTAAGATTGACGACGTCCTCCTCTTGATCAAGGAAGTCATAGATTCTCTGAGTGAGCTCAGGGGCTAAAGGAACCGGAAATTGACCTCTACTAACAGCCCTCTCATCATTATCATCCATGACCACGAAGAGATCCGCATCTAGGTCACCAGCCTGGTAGGCGAAAGGAATTTGAATAAGGAAGGGAGAGAGATTAAACAGATATCTTGAGAAACGATCAAGCCAATGCTGGCTGAAACTTTTAAGCTGTAGAGCTCGCTCAGCGATCGACCAGCACCCGCAGTGAACGGTGAGTGCCTGCAGATCGTAGCTACGGGAATTGAACTCGTTCATACGGTCTCGCAGTAGTAACTTCCCGGCCCCGATCCCATTCTGAACTGTTTCCTGAAGCACATAGTGTTGGGTATGCGAAGGATTCAGTGGCAGTCTGCACAAAAAGCAAGTCAGTATGACCTCCATAGCGATTTGTCACAGAACAAAGTCGTCGCGAGCACCAAGAACAGCGCCCCTGAGCTTTGTTGGAGTCGGGGAGAGTTGGGCCACTCCGCAATAGTCGACCGGAACTAGTGGTAATCTAAACCGGTTTTAAGACACGCCGGCTCTCCAATTCTCGGGGGACGGTCTCGCTTCATTGATGCAGGCCAGCCGACGTGGTGCTGGGAGTAATGTCAGGAAACTCGATATTCGTCTCCTGTACTATTACCGAAGGAACGGGCATCGTCGCAAAGCAAATCGTCCAGAGTATGGAGTACAAAGCTCTAAGCGGCTGAATTAGTTCTCACCGTAGCATTACTGTCAAATAATATGGGGTCGAAACCTAGAGATCATAAAAGGAATAATTAATCAGAAAATGGCCTGTGCACTCAAAAAAAAGAGCGGAACAACAAGAATCAATCAGCTCAAGAACTGCTTATTTAAGACCTCTTTCAAAAATCGTATTCTATTTCCTAATTAGGATAACCCCGAAAATCTGACAATTACCCCCTCCTCCCTTTTTTGGTTTCTGACTACACACCGATGAGGCGCCCTCGTTCGAGCGGTCGGGCACCCCATGTTGGAGCATATCGCCAAGCATGGGCACCTGCCTGTTTCGACCTCGCTTAGTCATCATTTATGTAAGCTAGCTTTTAGTAAGTTAACTAACTAGTAGCGGCCACCCTGCGGCCACCCGTTCAATAGAACAAGCAATCGCTTCCAACACCCCATACTGGTCATGTGAGCCAGCAGAGCTGTTGGAAGCATGAAGGAGTCTGGGATTCAGGGGTACGGAGGCACCCACGAACTAGGCTAAATAACTACATAACAGATGCTGACTAAGACAGTGCAGACCGGCATCCGGAGCAGAGGGATATCCCGAATTCCCGATGTTCCAACAAGAGCACATGCCCATTACCTCATGGTTCTATATTACACAGCATGACGTTTGCCTAACAATTCTGACCAATGAGCGACAGACTCGTAGCTCCATGTCTTACTAGGCCTATCACACATATTAGTAAATGAGCTTGTTAAAGCTCCATTTCCATTACTGCACACGAATCAAGCAATTTAGGTGTCATGGACCAGATGTGGGGTATACTGTGAACTTTAAAATTTTTGACACTGTGTGTTAATGACGTCCGGTTTGACCGATCGACTTCCTGCGCGCGATCGATTTCGTTCCACTACACGTCTAATCCAGTAGGATCATATTGATTTGCGACCAACATTGATCTACAAATTTACGCGCTTCCCTGTCAATCCCCGGCATTGTTCTTAGAATGGATATTAACGCGGTCTGCATTCGACGAGCACCCGTCAGTGACATGAGAGAGGATAATCTCTGCTCCCAACACTCCTTTCCCCCCTCTTGTACTTCCCCCATTATGGGATTGCGACGCTGAGGTCGATGTAAATACCCCTGAAGCCCCACCGACCTTTACCCATCCCAGCCTTCATTTTGAACATGGTCAAATTACACCACCTCTGGATAGCAGTGAAACCTTGGACCCAAGAGGTCCTTCGTTTTCTTCTTGCACTTTTCTCGACACTATCAGAACAGAAACTCGCAATGGTTCATCACACGATGCTCTCACACGACAGTGGCTTGACGATATACCCAGTGCTGCGCAACGAATGATTGCCGCGGATTTAGCTGTCAATAAAATTCGGGGAAAGGACAGGAAGAAAAACGGCCAGTCTAGAGTTAGTAAAGGTACTCGGTCGGACATACCAAATCGTCGACCAACTGATGCGGGCGTTATGAGTCATGCAGCGCAGGCACAAGTTAATTGTCGGTTGGCAAATCTCCTCGATGATCTACACCTTTAGATTCATCTTCAGTGGCGTGTATGTTCTTTCTTCAGTACAGGTAATGCACTAGCTGCATTAAAAGTGTTTTATACATTACATATATCTGGAGTACTTCGATTCATTAAGATATAGATAATCCGGGCCGGAGTGGAGGTCAAAGATGCATCACGCTCACAGTATTCAGCCAGCGAGCGACGAATTTGTATTCCCATACAAATGGCCCTTTAGAGCCAGTTAACTATATCTCAACCATCCTACTGTCACTAACGTTTATATTGGGCAGGTCACTTCCATATAAGAATCATTATTCGGAAGTAGATTTAAAAAAAAAGACCTATAGAAAACAATACCACGCCTGAAATTCGTGTAATCTATAATATATTCCCAACTACTGTACCTAAAAATAAAAATATAGATATCAATACAGATAGAGACATTGCCTTTGTAAACATCACTTATGAAGCACACAACCGTTTCAAGGAGCTACACTATACCATAACTGTAGCGGATTTTTGTTACTGGCGTTAAAGATGGGGGACACCAGGCCAAAGCGCCCGCTTGGATTGGTGACACGTAATAGCCTCGTTCTTTTTGCACCCTGGTCTGAGTGGCCTCCAACACACCAAAAAAAGAAATCCTGGAGAGCTTCAATCTTTTCAGGCTAACTACACATATGTATAATACAAGGCATAGATCCCTGGAAAGATCCCGTAAGGGTGGTAGCTATATGGACAATGCCACACTCCCAATTCTCGGCCTGTACATTGCGATAGGCCAGTTAAGAGCACGTCAAGGTACGCTGGGAGGTGAGGACAGCGACTGAGAGCTGTACGGCAAGGCCTAGCCAAAAGACCAGACTCGACGAACGGGATCTCCACATAATCATCCAGGTTGTATGTTGTGTTGTTTGTTGGTTGGGCGGGGTAGAAGCTGCGCCGCATATACAATCCTTACATTTTGCGTTATGCTACTATGGATAGCTACCAATCAATGCATCCGCCTTCAGCTGAGCGGCGTAGCATGCATTATGATCAGCTTGAGGTGTACCTTAAGCGAGATGTAATATGGGCGTGGGCAAGCGTTTCCCCTCTTTGATTTTTTTTAATAAGAACCCCGTCCAGAAAAATCACCCTTCATGTCTATACGCACTTAGCTCTTTAAGGCTTGTTAAAGTGACGCTTCAATGAGATTCTGACTTTCTCATCTCACGCCCAGCTCATAACCCATTTTTCTACACTTCTACCATACTCGACATGCCCCACAGAGGACGAAGACCAGTCAAGAGATGGTCCATGTATCCAAAACTCCACGATGATGTAGTACGCTTGCTGGCAGGAGAAGGACTCATTTTCAACTTTTACAATGTCGATGAGGATAAAGGCTGCACTGATAATCGCGACACCCACATCATGGGCCGATTTATATGCCACAACCGCGCATGTAGCTCCAACGGATGGTCAAGCAAGAAAATCGCCATCACAATACGCATGTATCACGGACATAAATATAATGCAAGAGTGTACCATCAACGCTGCAAGAGATGCGGCAGCCTCAGCCGACCACTTCTGGACGAATCATATGCGGAAAGAGCCACATACTGGATCAAAAAATGGAGTGGTGTTGTAGTCGAAAAGCCTTCATCATTCGGTGATAGCAAAGGTCCACACAATAGTCAACTCTGCGAGGGATGCAAAGCTGGTCATTGCAGTGAGTTAAGGGTTGATTGGATTACGAAAATGGAGAAGTGAGTCTTAGGTCGAGCTTCATCTTTTATTCAACTAACCGTCAATCAGATTGACTCTCTAAATACAGTGAACATATCAAGATGGATAAGCCATTTTAATCTTGTACAGTTAATATTAATTGGAAGAAAGGGCGGACTTTATTTATTTCATGCTTCTGAATTTCTAACATACCAATTCAATTCAAAGTTCTACAGTATTAACTCCAGTTGTCTCGCTTAATGCGCAGAAAAATCAAAGTTATCCCAATGAGTAGACAGGAGACAGGCTGCAGTAAATGACCATCCGGTGCCGTTTTGTTCTATTTTCACCAGTAGGTCGTTTTATTTAATCAAATAACCTTGAGGGAGGCCATTCCCAGGGCAATTATTAGATCAATACTGCAAACCCCTTTGGTTCCGCAACGCCAAGCTTTACTAAGTCCAGACAAAGACAGTATGCAGATGAGGTGACCTCGCACTTTACAGATATAAATAATATACAATGATAACCACTTCAGGTGCGACTTCTATTTCTTTGTTTGGAGAAATTCCACAAGCATTGGAAATTATCAAGGACAGGATGGCAGAAAATCTGGTAAATTCCGTCTCTAAGACTGATACCTATTCATACTCACTGATAGGAGAGTACAGAATATTTGTTTATGACGCTAAGATGGCCTGTATACCAATGGATAAGCTTCGTCGCAGTCTGAAACCGATGTTTACAATGACCACCTCCAAGATTTGGAGAAAACAGCCTTGTTGCTGCAGTCCATGCTGCAGCATATAACGGAGCATCAGAAGACAATGGCTGAAGACCTAATCCAGGAGGGAATGAATGTCAAGCATTCAAATCAGCCTGCAGTTGGAGGTATGGCACATGGGATCTTACAGCATGATGCTGATGACCAACCCATGGACGGTTCTTTTGGAGTAATTGCACCATCACACATCGCACCTAATATTGCGGGGATGCAAATTGGTACAGACAACTATATGGGCCTCTGGCTTGTTTGCATTTCTATTGTCCTCCCTCCTCTTCTGTTGCTGTTAATTATTCTTGTATAATTAATTCATTACGTGCACTATGTAGATTACTCTTCAGAGCATCCAAAGGCACAAAGAACCACTATGTTGCGGAGGAAATCCTTACGAGTTTTTATTTAATGCATATTGTACAGGACTTTTCAAGGCTCCGTGATACAGATAAGCGGTATTTTAATCCTATAGGAATAAGGGGGAGTGCGGTCCTTTTAAGAAGGCAAGGTTAATTACAATATAGTTCAGAAACTAAAATAATAGCAATATCTTCGACCTTATTGTTTGATTGCGAGAAACTGGCAAGCCACAACCTACGACGACAAATTGCAGCAACTCTTTAGGCAGGAGGGAACAGTAGTGGAAGGGCTGCCCCGTTTCATTAATAAACAGGCACAGATACTCATACCAAATTCTTGGAGGAGGATTGTCTTTTTTTGGACCAACTCAATCCACATGCATTGCAGTAGTTTCGTTTCCCGCTGGGGCCCATCCTCCATTCAGGCGACACTTGTGTATGACAGCGAGCACATCCATCCTCTCGCTTTTTTCTGTTTTTAATAGCTATATTTGCTATATTGCACTTAATCAGCTAACCGCAGAGACAATATTGCAACATTACTGTATACCTTTTCTTGGGCCTTCAAATGCTAATTTCCACGAATCAATTATGATACATATTAATATGTAGTCTTTCTCCTTGAATAATTGGCGGATAGTTTGTATCGACGCATGCAAGTCCCTAAAAGGGACCTGATTAAATATCGACTTCAATATTGCCACAGAGTCTGTCAAAATATAAGAAAGTGTCCACGATTATTATATTAATAAAGAGCTCTTACCGGCCTTTAATGGCTCATCTGAACAAGTAATCCTTTCCAACAACGACGCTTCCAGACTTACATTATAAAAAAAGCAGCTAATCAGGTGCCTAGCAAGCGTGCCACAAGTATCGGCTGGCAGAAGTGTGAATAATAACTTATGATAGATATTCGTATGATAAGTTCTGTTAAAGAGTGAGCAGCCCTTATTCTCTTGTGAAATGTCCAGAGCTGTGGCGATTTCCAACATGTCTTTTTCGTTGCGACGGCTGCGTCAATTCCTTGCCCTGGTCACGAATCTCTATGACCTTGGCTGCCTGTGGAGCGGGTATCTTGAGACTTGTTAGTTATATATTCTACTTAGACTTGGTCACTCACAATTAACCCAAGACCGCTTGTATTTTCACAGCAGCAGCATGATAACAAAGGAAAGTTCCCATAAACTATGTGCTGACCATTAAAGAGGAAAGAGCGAAAGTTATCACAGCAAGAAGAGCATAGAAATTCAGGCTGGGATTGCAGAAAGAATTGCTCTCTCAATGTGTCGGGTAAGAACTGAGGAGTAGACACTTGCTCGAAGTTGATGGGTCCTAAATTATTGGTAATTGATTAGCCACTACACATAAACTATTACTACAACATACCTTCATCGTAGGTTAAATAACTCCTTTGTTCCAGAGAATCTATATCATTTGGAGCTCCTTCCTCCTCCCTCAACAAGGCTAACTCGCAAGCAGGGTTAGCCATTCCTAGTGAGACAGGAATAGATGAAGGTTCGGCGGTCTCATCTTTTTATATCAGTCAGCAGTTTATAAAGTGGATGAAGGCATACACTTCCACGTACAATTTATATTATAACTATGCCGATTTCCATGATACTGGGAAGTGACGTTGAATATATCTTCCAAAATCACGCTCTTTAGTTTGAAACCTGTCTGCCGTTTGCAATCAAATATTTCCTCCTTGAGCGGCACTTTTATTAATTGCCATAGGTATGGTTCTACAAAAATATGGGCCAATAACTCAACCCGTTCTGTCATTATTAGCTGATTTCTTTTACTCTGGTTCTTACTCCCCCTCGTTTATTTATGAAAAAAAAAAAAAAAAAGACGGGGAGTGGAGGGAGGGGCATTCCAGTGCATCACTCTCACCTTTTTAATTAAATTGTCTGGTGCTCTATGAGGAACCCAAGTCGGCCACCAACTTGGCTTTGTAGAGTATCCGCCCTTGTATGGATGCTGGCTTTTCTTGCTTGGTTCAATGATATTGATTAGAAACTTTGCAAGCGAGCTGCAGGTATCTTGTTTCAAATTTTGGATATTTTTCATGGTGATTTCTCTGAATGTAAGGCCCATTGTATGGGTGTCAAGGAGATTTGGATCGAAGGAGTCAGATGATTGTAGTTGAGGGCGCTGGTTTTCATTAGTATAGGCCACAGGGTAACTCAAAATTGGTTCCATCTTTCTGCTTGCGTGATTTTGAACAATATAAAATCCAAGAAGTACTATTTAAACGTACGATCACGAACTATTGAAACGAAAAATATGGAATAGATATAAGTGAGTGTGTATGATAAAGAGAAGAGGTAAGAGAAAGAAAAGTAAGGAAAAGAAGATTCAAGCTGGGAGCAAAGGAATATTAGTAGAAACTATGTTGCAAAAACACTACAAAACTTCCATCTACTAAAATAAACCATGCTGGATCTAACGAGGATTCAATATATGATAGGTTCTCCCTTTAATAGAGCTAGACTGAATAGAGTGACATAGTTAATGGTCCAGCGGGTTACATTACACCTAACCAATATAGACTAGAAATTGTGGGTATTGGGGGGCCGTTGGTGTTCGTCCTTCTTGTTTCATTTGCTGGTGGGTTTTGTTTAATTAGACAAACCAAACTTCCTATACCATTATAATGATGCTAGAGCGTTCTTAGGAAAGTTATTCCCACTTTCATAACTTTTATTTAAGTTGTGGTTGTCTAAATCCTGCTCTCGTGCCCCGGGGGGGGGAAGAAAGGAAATAGTGTATACTATCGGATCTACTAGCAAACCGTGTGTTCACAATGCACCTCTATGATTACACTTGGAAAGAACCCTTGGGTCTCGGTTGCGATTCGCAACACTGGATTAGACACTTATTCCTAGTGTTTCAATTTTTGTAGACGCCTGAGAATTTCTTGATTTATATCTTGAACGGTTAGGATTGGCTTTTGTTTCCAAGATCCTTTAATAGATCAGTAAGCATATCTCACATCAAAATTCCAAGGAATGATAGTATCTGAAACTAACTTAAGGCTTTCACCCTCTAGCTACTTACAAGCTAAATGCGTAAGTTCATTCGCTGTGTACCAAGTCAGCGGGAAATTATAACTTTACAGGAGTACCTACATTCGACTCATATCTTGCTCAATTTCCTGTCGGAGGGATTCCAACTGTTGATCCATATAGCGAGCCTTTTGCACCTGCTCTTTTAATGCCCCAGAAATCATTAGAGAAGTCAGCGGCATATCTTTGGAAGAAAAATGGCTCACATACTATTATTCCTAGGCGACGTTCTTTTTGGCAAAAAAGACAAGGGAATAACTCCACCTGGATAGAATTGTAACTTTTGCCCCCAAAAATAATTACACGTAGATAGTCATGACAGTCACGACATAAAACGCATTATCAGAGGACACACTAAGCATAGGATCCATGATTGACAAATTGCCTGGGGATTTGAGCCCGTACACAAGTAAATACAAGACTGATGCCCTTCCCCGTATTTATAATAGCAAGAAGGGATTCCTATAATTCTAGGAACATCGTCTATATGCGATGCTACACATTAGCCTGGATAGACGCATGCATTAGATGGGAAAGAAGAGGAATATAGTAATCTTACAAGCGCCACCCCCACTGTAAAAATCTGTTAGCCCTTCAGAGGGAGATCAAAGAGTAAATCTTATGCTGGCAAATGCCTGTCCTATGGGACCGACGCTGCCACTGGAAAATAATAGGCCCATCTGGAATTCCGTAAATACTACCTTCCAAGAAGTGATCATAAACACACTATTAAAAGCTAGCCATAAATTCATTTACCCGGGAATCGGATTGCGTAGAGAATCACTGCGGCTCGCATACAAAAATGGCAAATGGGTGGTAATGTTTAACCTATTGCAGGCTGTGATGTTGTAGGAAGACTATTCCAAGACAGTTCTAGCCTGGCTAGCCCAGTACTAGTGCGCCGGAACCATAAAATTGATACTACCTGCCAGCGTGATCTACTCCTGAATTCGCGTCTAGCCTTGCCACTGGCTAGATTTATAGAACTCCACAGCCCTTGTGACCGGTTTCATTAGTGGATAAATTGGTATGACATGGAGGGTAGGTACTGAGGCTGAAAATGGGAAGCAGCAAGCGTACCGGAAGTAGCTTTCATCTTCCCCGACTCCCTCTCCAAAGACCATCTCCCAGTCTTTTTTCTCCCCCACTCCTACGGCACACCTGCATAGGCTCACTTTTCACCTCTTCTCCTCACTAAGGACCAAATCCCATTGGATATCCATGGCTGGAGGGGCCAAATACACTCGAGCTGTCACAGCCTGTGACATACTAAATGGCGCATCCGACAAAATAGGGGAACTAGTAGCATTTTTCGAAAGGGATCAGACATCCCTTATTGACGAGATCAACCTATATGAAGATCAACAAGACATGCGGACTACCTTCCTTCGGAAGAGGCCAAACAGGGGTCGAAATCCAACCATAAGCGAGCTGTTCCAGCGCCTACTAGCTATGAGATTCCTATCAGTAGCTTATGAGGATTGGCTGGAACACTCGTCAGGAATACCTCCCAACAAATGGTACCATTCTAGGCGCCCTCCTAATCATGGCCTGTGCAGAACCTTTATCCGCGAGCACCAGCTTCCTGACACATCTCAAGCCCGTGGCTGGTTTGAATGTGGCCAAAAGCTTCGCAGGATTGAGCGGGAAGTCGGCATACCAGGAATCTCTGCAGTGATGGTTCCAGTTTTACCAAAATTTCCCCATTTCTATGATTCGGAGATAGGGAATACTATCCGGCTTCTAAAGAACGGTGCATATGCTGATCTGCAAGGTCTTGCTGTGAAATTAACAACCGAGTTTACGGGCTATTGCAGTTTTACAAGGCAGCAACCGGTAACAATGTCCGGCTATACATTGAATTTAATGGCTAACTCTTCTTAGAGATCCCACACTACCGTCCGGCAACCGAACGATTCCACCATCCTAAACGAATATCAGATAGCAAACAATGCGCTAGACCTTCATAAATGGCAGGGCCAGAGGAGACCAGATGTCACTTAGCATTGGACGCTTTGAGAAACCCTGCCAAACCATCCGTGTCCCACTGTTCGGCGACGGCTGGACGTGGAGCCCACCGAAAATGACCAAAACCTCATCGGTTCCAACAACAATTTCATGCGCATCCCTGCTATCAGTATTCTGGAACTGTACCTCGGTCTGGTGATGGGAAGAGGTATAAAGTTTAAACAGTCCATTATCCCAGCACGCAGGCTCCCTCAGTGGGCGGAAGACAGAGACGGCTTCACATGATGGATGTGCTCTCATAAACTCTCCTTTTTGTTCTCGCGTGCCAGCGAACTCAACAATAGCAGGGCCCTGCTTTTTGATATCTGGAAAACGCATATTTAACAAACCTTCGACAATATTCCGAATCTATCCAAAAGATTAGTTTTGGATGTCTTTAAACTTGGGGTAGGAGCGATATACCTGGTTGCCGGAGTTAAGGAATCTTTCACATTCGACCCCACCTTTGCAATACTGGAAACATCCCTTATGATGCTTTGGGTTTTCATTATAGACCCTTTCAACTTCTGTGATATCTTCTTCCCGAGGTTCTCCATCACGGATGCACATATAACCCAAATGCTCCATCAGATGCGCGGAATTGAAATGGAAGGCCAGACCCCCTGTACCCACGGAAACATTGCCGTGTTCCATGGCCAAAGTTCGATGACTAATTAACGACACGGCTAGTTATACACAATATGAAACGTCGCCTTCGAATGGGCAAAATATTACCCTGAGACAGATTAGACAACTTATAGTAATATGTCCTTCACCACCCTATGTATATTCTCTTGTGTTAGTTTAATGTAAATATGGAAGCTATTATACTTTGTCTATTATAATATAGGGGACATGCATAGTGCAAATTAGCGTTGCTTGAAAGTGTAGTATAGTTTGATCTGACGCTACTGTCGCATCATAGTACCCTAGCGAAAGTTGTAAGAAACATAAGCGCAAATGGGGCAGTGATAACCAATTTACAGTCTCAAGAGACTTTTTGACAGAACAGGATTGATATTGCTAGACTCAAGTATCAATAAAATGGAGCGAAACGTTAGCTAGGGCCGCTTGTTACTTAGCGGACGAATGTCATGGTGATTGTAATCGACGCGGCCAATGTGAAAATTATTATCCACGGCATCAAATGCCTCAAGGATAGTCTCTAGATGACTTCCACAGAATACACTCCGATCCATCAGCACATCATCCTTCTTTGCCCACACCCGATTCTGACGTCCATCTCCTTCTAGGCGTACTCTCTTTCCTTCCAGCCAGGCTGCCCATAAACAGTAGCAATATATGTAAACTGGACCCAATGGTGTATCCCATCAACTTCAACAGTATCCGATGACTTTGTCTGAGCAGTTCCAAGGAATGATAAGCCAGTAACTCCTGTCACTTCTTTGACCTTGCGTTCAGCAGCTTCACGCAGTTTTTGTCACTGTCTTCGACTTGCCCTCCAACCCCTTCCAAGCACCCAGGATGACTGCCACTGACAGGATGCTTCAAAAAGAAACATGGAACAAGGAGATGTATCGTTATCAACAATAAGGATATTGACCTGCAAAGAACAGACGACTTCCTGGAATATAAACCGGCAATTAGAGCATTCTAAAGTAGAAAAGCGAAAAACGAGATAAATCAGTATCAAGAAGAATGCCACTAGGGCCAGATGTTGCCATTCTCGGTGCCACCTCGAGAATGTTGTATAGAACGAGAGAAAGGAGGTAGTTGTTATTTGAGAATAATAGAATTATTTCTCCTACATACTGCTTTTCATGGCTTTTTTATAGTATGGCCCTATTCACCTAGTATTACCATCCGTATTCCTCCGGAGGTCCAGCTCTAACACCGGCGATCGAATACCTTACGAGTACCAAGCCCCTTCCTACGTTACATTATTTCAGCCTGAGCTTCGAGCTGGACACGATGCCGACCAAACTATATGACTACCCCTTACTGGTATTTTCAGGCAGTCATATGTAGTGATATGTGTGCTGGGCCTTGATTAATTTCATGCGTACATAGCTAGGACATGGTCAACTTACATGTGCCATCTAAGATAGGCGACTGCTGAATTTGTATACAGATTCACCACCGTAGGTGAAGTAAATCTGGGGCCGTCCCTCCGACACAGCTGGCTTTTCCGGGTCTTTGAAATTCGAGCACTGCATCACATACCCCTGATCGCTTAGTATATCACTCACAGAAGCAAGCGGCTGGCTTCCTTGGCACTCTTCAATACGTCATGGGTGTTGTCTCTTTAATACTAGATAGTTGTCGGTCCAAATCTTCTCAAAACCGGGAAAGTCTAGACAATCTAGCGTAGGTGCATCCTAGAGACGAAACTGTACTCTCACATGTGGCGACTTGTTGGCCATAGATGATGAAAACCTGAATTTAAAACAAAAGGCAGGACCTAATATGAGGCCCAATATATGCAGTATGGAAGATATAATAGGTTTGGCCTGCCCTTACCAAAGTATTCATGATTAAAAAAAGGACGAAAATGGCTTGTCGGGTATAGAGAGAACTAAAAATGCAATCGAGACTCGGGCGCAGGATTCTCTAATTATCTTGGAAGAAACGTAGTAAAACAAAACGGTATTTCGTTTATTTCATACACCCGAGACGATTGCATATTTTATGATCCTCCAATAGCTGACGACCACGCTCCGACTCGAGAAGCACCTTCTCTTCAACATCTATTAGCTTGAATGCAGTAGTTTGCACTTCCTGCGTGAGATTGATGAAATAGCGCCAACTCTCTTGACGCACTATACTATAATGGCTATCCCCAACTTTTTCCTTTATGTAGTGTCTGCGAAACACAGGACGTCCATCCACTTCAGTCTGCCCATCCTTTAGCTGAGAGCCTAGAGGATCTGTGACTTGATTAGATTGTTACTTCTATATCAGTAATGCATGAACAAACCTTGGGAACACGGGTCAGCAGCCTTACGTGATAGGCCAAGGCAACCCCAAAAAGATAATATAGATGCAAGGAGGGGACTCATAGCTCTTTATGGGAATAAGCTGAGCTACTAAACAGACAATATACCTCGGGCTTTGACAGAAACCTTCCGCTGATTTGAGCCATTAGGTCTTCTTAGACCCAAAGCAGACTCGCGGTCATCACCAATATCTATATAGATCTTTTTGACCGTGATTAAACTAAAACAAGGTCGACATTGTGTCACGGTGTTGTTTAAGCCATTTATCGCATACAGAGACCGAGTCAAGCTGAAAAAAATCGGAACACTACAATTATGTCTAATACCGAAAATAGTTACACAGTGTAACTTTGTCAAACCGAATCCTCGAACCAAGGTTGGATAGTGCGGACTCTAAATTCTCATCAATTTGTTAAGAGTGATGGACCATAAACAAGACTCGCTAGGCACCAGCGCCTATCATAAGCCGCTAATTGAGCTGGTATCTGTGGGTGACGCATATCGTACGTAGGCGATCGTCGAAACACTTCCCGTGCGTCACCATCCGCTCCCAGTAATTGCTACCGTTAGTTAAGCGCTGCTATGCTGGATTCTGTGTTATCGGATACCATTTTTCTGCCGGCAGGTTTGTTTATCGGCACACCCGTATGATTTTGAGTGTACGCACTCACTTCGACAAATTTGACAATACATTTAACAAGCGGTGACTCTACTGACCACTCAGAGTGCAGGGTATTTATTACCACTAAAAAATCAGCAAAACCTACGGGATACCATTTTCTGAATCTTGGCGTAAATTATGCACGGACTCATAATGGCATCAGACAAGGCTCCAGTAAGAGTAGAAGAGTTGATGATCTAGCGCCATCACTTCGTACCCCTGAGATCTTGGCCCAAAAATGATTCCGGCGTTTTTCAGGTGAGTCATAGTAAAGAAGTACGGTCATCTAATCCCTCACTACATGGCCCAATCACAGCCTGGCAATGGGGGCAGTACAGAGGTATCAGTATCAGAATTCGGGCGATACTTATGGATGACCGCCTATTCCTTCATATATCTACTCTAAGTACAAATGGGTTAGTAATTGAGGCTCCTAACTCTTACCATTATATCAGTAATGTAGACGAACAATAGCATATAAAACTATAAAATCATATTGCTTAACCGTGGGGCTTCCAAACGATATAATTAACAGTCAAAAAATTCTAACGCTAGAGCGCATTAATCTTAAGCAGCTGAGAACAGTCTGCCAGAGATAACCGTAGAGTTCATTGGGTTAGACGAGCGCCAGAAGTAATAACATTCGACGGGGAGCTTACTTATACGAATAAAGTAGTTATAAGTTACCCTCTTGACAAAAGAGATAATTAATTTTACATTTACATCTCTATGTGCATTTCGTAGACGTAGGAGAGATTGAAATAAAAATGTAAGAGATCATGCGAAAAGTTAGCTAACTACAGCTTTGGCTATGTAAAAATATCATTTAGGGAAGCTGATACAGTATCAGCGATACTATTTCCGCTAGATCCAAGCATCCCCCCTCCAACTTCCCCCCATGATCATCCAACCCTTTGTGCAGTGGTAGACGCTTGGCTATTGGATTGATCCCATGACGGGATCGCAAATCGACCTAGACTAAGTGAGGGAGCTAATTAGTTAAGCCACAAGGGCTAGTTAACTAAGTTCTAACATCTCCCCCTGAGTGACTGAGTGCGGGGTTAATCATTCCATACGTTCACAATCTTCACCATCGATGTTTAGGTAGTCCACATCCTTCAAGCGTCCTAAATTATACATAATGGGCAATAGTAATAGCTCACCGGTATGTTATGCAGGGAGGTGGCTTTCTTTAAACAGCATACTTACTATTTAAACCAGGCCCAATCTGTGATACCAACTAAAATTAGAGAACTAGCAGAAGCAGTGCAGTCTGCGGGCGATTTCGTAAGTTAAAATGGCAGAATTCCCGCTACTTAACCTACTAATAATGATAAGGATGCTGCTTGTATGCTAAGACAGATCTCTGATTCTCAAAATTTGATCACCTCGTGCCGTGCAAAGTTGATTTCCAGAGTACACAGTCGGAGCGATCCAACAAACACAACTAAGGCATGGTTCCAAAGTTGGGAAAGCAAAACCAAAAACACCTTTCAGCGGAGCAAATTTCTCATCTTGCGAAACTTACAAAGAATTGGAGCTGTCGGACCGGAGATGATATTCCACAACACCTCTATGACTGGATCTTAGAACCAGTGTCTAAGTTTTGGGGATTCAAGGTTTTCCGCGCAGACACTGAGCTTGTTGAGTATTGTTTAAGCGACATCGAGGAAGTTGAAAACGCATCTAAGATGAATCCTGTTCGCCGTAGGGTTATACTCCTCATCCTCTACGACATTGTTCAGGAAGAAAAAAAACGACTGCAAGGCGAAGCTGAGAAGAATAAGGCTCGCCGTCTCGGCGAACCTGAATCCGGAGACAGTAAATCAAGGGCATACCTTACTAAAGCTATCAGGAACATTGTAGATCAAGCATACCGCTCCCATAATTTGACGGGGGGATGCTAAAAGTCGCAAGCGCAAGCGATGCTCCCAGCTTCAACGATATGGGGGCCGGTGGTCACTATTTGAGCGACGAGAGGCTATATTAGAATTCCCTATTACCTACGCTGCGAACAGGTGAGTGGCTACCTAATAACGTACAGGTCGACTATTAACGCGACGTTACCCCTAGTTTCGAACGTGCCAAGATGGAAGAGATTGAGATCGAGGCGTTAAATGAGTATGAAGCACTAATGTGCAATCATAAATATCGATCTATATTGCAGAAAGCCTTTGAAGCTGTGTATAATGCATACGCGTCCCACAGACACAGGCTAGCATTCTTGCACAACCCAGCTAGTACCGCAGCATCTGCAGAAAGCGCCTCTTCAAAGGAGAGGCCAAAAGCGCCGTTGGCATGACAATTCAACGACCGCCAAGACAGCCAGAAAGAGGTCTAGTGCATTTTCCTTCACTTATAGCCAAGGAGAATGTGCACAGGATTTCCACTTCCGAGCCCGAAACGATGAGATTGGTAATATACATGCCGTATTTAGACTCGCAGAAGTAGGGACTAACTTTTACCACAGATCGTATGAACATCTCCGGCCCAACAAATACATCCGAAGCGGCGGTAGATAGTGGAATAGGCTCTTCGGAGTCGGTATCTTCCAGTTGCCGCAGCCCCCGGTCAGATTTGTTAGCAAACGACATCCAGTTAATCGGAAATAATCTTTTTAATCATTATGAGGCTAGAGGGCAATTAGGTTCGCAGGACGTCCCGTCATTGGAACCATCAGTCAACTCTTTTCAACCACCGGGTGAGTCAGTCGATTGTGGACCATGTGTGGCGCCCTTAGTTTCAGAAATGCATCGGGGGATACCTAACGGTACAATTATCAATGTATGACTCTACTTAGTCCCTTTGGTATTGACAATACCCTAGATACTAGTCCATGGAGGCTGCCCCTTGCTGCTAGTCAGCAAATTACCGCCTTTGCCGGGTCAACAACCGGAGAACCTAATTCAAGCCAACCCTCGTCCCTCGAAATTCATTGTTCATCGACTAACACGAGAGCGACGACGACAGGAGTAGACAGTCAGCAATCCCCTGCGTATGCGTCAGCTATCATGAATATTTCAGACGGCAGAGACCAAAGCAATATTTCATCAGTCAGAACCGAGACACATGGTGAAGGACTTCACTGTACGCCATATAACGTTGTAGTTCAAGGCTTTGAGGATGCCTTTTACCGAGGTGCAGGAGGAGAGTTCAGCTCCCAGAATGTCGCTCGAGGATTTGAGAATGTTTTCCATCATCCCGTGGGAGACTCAAGCTCTGAGGATGTCCCTCAATGCCTTAGAGATAGATTTCATCAAACCGCGCAGGGAATACCAAATCACGATGATATCGCCCGTGGGTTCGAGAACAGTTTTTGCCAAACTTCGATCAATTACCAAAATGCCGCCCGAGGATTTGAGGATGCATTCTGCCAGTGGAGTGGAGTTGAATTATGAGAGCCTTGCTCGAGTATTTGAGTGTGGTATTAAAGCACTTACTATGACCTGTAAGGGGATACCACTAAGTAAAGCACTGTGCAGTATCTCATATATCCTTTCTACCATGCAAACCGTCAATAAAATAAAACTGAAATGAAACATTCGGGTGGTGTATTAATACAAATTCTTTAGATGAAGGGAACATATAAGTATAGCACTGTATTCTCAGTAACTCATCACGAAAAATCTGATATGACCAGCACTGTTAATTTTGCACCTCCGGGCACGTCGATACTACATTCCCTGGGAATATGGTAGTAATGATCTGTATCTAAGGCCAATCCCTCAATTGTGACCTCCCCACATACGTGAAGAGGAATCATTATTGTAAAGGTCTGGCCAACAAGCGCCTTCCCAGGAAACACGACAAGACCTCCCCTTTTATAGGTCGATATTTCCCTCGGCAGACTAGTATTCTTTTGGTATAACTGCACCTACATCAGCTGTTAGAATCTATATCTATAAACCCTTTATATAAGACCCTCACCTTCAGTGGATATTCCAAAATAGCCGCATGTATGGGAGCGTCACAAGCATCTGTGGCAAAGAACCGTGCAATCGTACTGCGTTTCGGTTTGGGTAAAGATTCGGCGACTGGTTGGGCTTCTTTCCAAGCTTCCTTCGCATAGTCCCTGATGTTATCTGATAACAAGGGGATAATTGATGGATCGGATGTGGACATTGATTCGACATAGAAAAACCGCTGGCTGGTTCGGTGTAGCGTATAATTCTTTTTTCGAGAACAAAACGCGTATTTATATGTACTAGCAATAAACAGATCGAAACGTTTGTCGAGACGCCTCCGGTTGTTGAGCATTCCCAGCAGATGAAGCTTTTGAAGAGACAGTCATCCCCACCAAGGTGGGGTGTTATGAGTCACATGACTCTTGCAATATCGTATCTGCCTCAGGCACTCACGGGGTCGGAGCTTAGCAGCTCCGCTGTTATCGAATATCAAGTACAATTCGCCCTGGCAGGGCCTGAGCGCAATTGTTTCGGTGTGGTGTCAAAGTCACAGTGTGTAAACAACCCATCCTCGCAGTGCCACACTTCTTGACTGTCATAATTTTCCAATTTAGCACGTTTGGTTTTAATAGAAATGGCCCGTATTGGAGCATCTAAGCGCTAATGTGCTTTTAATCTCTTCTAGCCTCTGTCGGCGTTCACCAAGGCAATCTGCCATTAAGAGGGCCCCAGTAATTGCCAGCGGCAAGCTTGACATACAGTCTGGGGACTGTATACAATAAGGATGCAATTTGAAGTTTCTTGCACTTCCCCATACCTTGAGGACCGGATCACGAAACGATCCTAGATTCCGTGGATTGGCGAATCCCAGACTATCGCAGAGAGCTGCAACAGCTGTAGAAAAAAATCTGGATCTGCGAAATACTCAACATAATTTTGTTGCTTAAACACTTGACAGACGTGCCGCACGTTTGCCCAGTTTGCTAACCGTAATGGGGCCTATTCTAGGTTACGCGCCGGTGCTAGTGATATGTCAATTATAGAGAAATGTGTACGTACACCATCACGGTTACACCTCATAGGGAGCTACCTTATGATCCAATCAATCATCTTACCCCCATTTTAAGGATGCCTCCCTAGACTCTGTACATGCCACTTTACTCAGCCTTGTGCGTAGCACGCCAATCATTTTGTCGACCTGGTTGTCTGAAGCGACTTTTAGTGCATAGTAACCATGGTATTGGCTGGAAGAGCTCTACTAATTTCTGATCCTAGAACTGTGGAGATCAGTTGTGGCAAATGACAGCAGGCCGTTTACCGCTCAATTGCACCCCTCATTCCCCCAACGAAAACTTTTGTAGATACATCAAACCCCTTGGTTCAAGAACCAAAATGATTTGTGAGAGTGCATGACTGTCTAATTGGTGCGTAATTTGAAGCACCTAGCATCTGTAATGCAACCGTAGGGTGTAGAAGTACCCCACTCTTCTCTATATATACAGTACGGTTCCGTCGCCTCTTTCGTTTCTATCTGCTTATACTGGCCCTTATTAGTACACATTGTTCAAAATCCTTTCTGTTTATTGTTGAAGCCGAGCACTATGACTACTATCGCCCGCCGCTTTATATCTTATGTCGGCAAGGTCAAACTGAGCGATTTCAAGGATTCGACACACATGGCTCTTGTCGACAAATACTGTAAGGAACAGGAGTCACGAGTGAGCCATAGTTCTTGATCCTCTGTAGAGTTCATTCAACTGATTAATTGCAGGATTCCCGCATCAAGCAAGCCTCGATCCAAGGAACAGAGCTCCACAAATCGCACAAGGATCCAACCGACCCGCTCAAGGTTATCTCGGTCCAGTTTCTTGATGAAGAAGGGAAGAGGGTAGGAACGGGACATCTTCATGAGGATGGGACCTCAAAGTTTCGTTACAAGCAAAAGCCACCATCCGAGTCCAGCTCTGCTGGATTTGAGTAGGTGTGGTACCTTGTAGGGAGCCAAACTGGCTTCTACCTGGGCGGGGTCGACTCCTTGACAAATCTAGAAGGCCGGCACAGGTTACCCTCTTTTAAAGCGCGCTAGTTTTGTTCAAGTCTGAAAAGCTTCTTTAGCAGGCAGAGGGTGCTATTATTCCCCAGTTCTTTGAGCTCAGGTTCTTAGCTTAGTTGGTTTGCTATATAATGGACTTTCACATACAATGATTCGCTATGTAGCCTAAAAGTAGGACGTCAGTCAAAATATATTCCAGTACAATTCCGTCCTTGGAGTTGATGTAATGGATGAAAGCCACAGTGTTAGGCTCTTAACCACATTAGTAGCTGACTGATTTACGGATCTAGGGACCAAGCTGAACCTGGGCTTTCAAGAGATTTCATTTATTACAAACGTGTCCAAGTGACGGGAAGAAAAAAGAAAAATAAAGGACAGGAGATAGAGGTTGGTGCCTAAAACTAGGCAAACATAGGCTTGACTAGAATACTATAGCAACCATGGGTCCTGGAGCAGTTGATTTGCGGTTTTCCGTTCTTCTGGCAGCCACTTGAGCATTGACCTCATGAACCGAAGAAAAGATTCTTTCTCTTGTCCAGAGAGTCGCCTCTCCAGACTCTCCAGGGAGACCGATGGTACAGTTGCATCTTCAAGGGCAACCCAGGAGCCTACGTGTGTATTAGCCCCATACCTGTGGCCAAGCCTACAATAAACTTCCAACGCAACAGAGGGCGCTTACCGGTAGAGTCAAAGCACTGTTCTGTCGTCTCACTACGTTTGACGAATTCGCTCGGTGGTGGCCCAATCAAGCCAACCATGAGTGCCAGATGTTTAAATGGATCGTGGCCACCTTTGGTGTCGAATATATCCCCAAAGAGATGCTCCCCTTCAAAAAGGTCCCATATCTACCCGAGTAATCAGTAAGGCAATTTGGCATGGCAAATACGCAAGCACTGTATTTACCAAAGCTGCCAGATTCCAAATGTCAACGGCATTCCCCCACGGCATTTCAAATATAATTTCTGGTGCTCTATAAATATGTGGTTGGACAAACGGGCCAGATTCTTGTTTTTTGCCAATCCGCGCCTCACCAAAGTCGCATAGAATCGGGAGTCCGTAGCTCTTATTTCCAGCAGGTCGGCGGAAGCTTCGACTCTTGTATATAATACGACACTTGTCTATCTGCTTCCGAGGGCTAGGATCCTCGGCTTCTGCTTTTGCGAAATCAACTAGCATGGTGTTGTCCTCTAGACTGAGCATCAGGTTGTCGGTCTTCAGATCTAGATCCAGTTAGCAATTAGACTCCTGCGCGATAGCAAACGAAATCGGAGTACCTGTATGAATTACCCCAGCCTCAGTATGTAAAAAGTCAAGAGCTAAAAGAAGTCGCTTAACTATCATTTTAAGCAGGGGTGGATCAAACGGCCGTGGATTGAGTTTTATCATTTCAAGAAGCGTCATGTGCATTGGTTGCAGAACTAGACAGCAGTGTCTGCCGACTAGCCCCTGAAGTTCAAAAGAATCGTAAAGCTCACGGATTAGGGATTGGCCTCCGTGAGTAGAATGAACTTTCGTAAGATGCTCGTAAATATTTAGCTCGCGATCTGTTGCAGTAGGGAACTTTGGCAGCGCTGTGGACACCTTCAGTACTTTATATTTATTGTCCCTAAACATAGTGGTTTGTTAAAGGAAGCTTGCTAGAGTTAGTTATAATAAAGTACGCACCGAAGATCCTGGCATAGCCAACTGGTTGAGTACGCCCCATAGCCAATTTTGCCCGCGACTTGATATCTGGTCTCGTATACGTCTCCGATAGTGACTGGGTAGTAATGCTCATGTTTATAATGAGGTAGTGTCTCCTCCTCTATAGGTATGTCTAGTGGTAAAGAAATATATGAGATGTTGGAGGCTTTTCTGGAGGTGGGCTTTTGCCGGAGAACGTTTCTCCAGAGATTTAAGCGCGATGCCATGCCTGCATTAAAATACGACCTTGCGGTGTAACACCAAAGGAGCGAGGATAACTGTGAAAGAGAGAGTTTGAGTATTCGTTGCGGAGAGCGCAACAAACTGGAGGACGATGGGAGGCGGGAAGGCCGCAATTGCAACCGCCCGATAATACCAAGCTGGTAGTTCTGCCTCACCGTAGCATCTGCCTTGGCATGCTACTATTGGCTATTCGTCCTTTGAATGAACCCTGAGGTGACGATACCCGTCGTACCGCCTCACCCCATTTATTTTGTCGGCCAGCTGAATACGCGTATGAGCTAGTATCACTGATCTATGGATAAGGATCCATCTATATTGAAAGTAAGGTCTCTGACTCTCTGAATCTATCTGGGAGAACTGAATAAAAAAGGTCAACAAAGGAACAAGGTCGGACCGAGCGGATGCTGAATAATCAGTAATATAGACCCATTTTGGTCGACATATTTTATTGCAGTCTATATAAACACCACTTGCTGTGCATCTTTTTCCTGTTTTTAAAAATCTGGAGTATTCTACCCTGTAATGTTGAGCCCAAGGTTGGAAGCTGTGTACAACAACAGCACTTAGTGGCCGCAGCGACCGATATTATCAGCTTGATGTCCATATTGGGTTCCAGCCAGACCCGAGCTTTGATGCGTCGCAAGATCTACGGGCCGAAAATCTAGTCCCCGAATTAAATGTCGGATTTTTTTAGCCTTACGAAGGGAGCGTTTCAAATTGGCTTGTTCGTCTTCTGAAAGCATTGATTTTAGCTTTCTATCAGGAATATTACAGGCCTTTATGAAGTTTTCAACAAAGCACAACAAGTCCAGGGCCTGACTTGAAAGTCCACATTTTACGTCCTGTGGGGTGATGATGGTATATAAGATATAACAGAGAAATTCAATCTCATCTTGCCATTGACATAGATGTAGATGATTGTGGAGTTCTTCCTTAACATCCATTTGAGTGATGGTGGCTCTAAGTCATGAGTCGGTGTGAAATTGTTAGTTGATGAAAAAGCTATGTAGATTGCAGCTTCCCCCCTATGACTTTCGGTCTTTTAAAGATCTCGAACTTGTCCTATGAAGACATCTAAATTAGAGTACAGCTAGTAAAGTGCCACCTTGATCTACCAAAAGGGTTGGTCAAACACATTAATACCGGTGCTTTCTAGAAATGCAGCATTAGGAAGCCATTCTCAACCTCGCAAACCAGCGCCACCATATAATTAGTGTAAGAGGTGGCGAGTTTTATCTTGGTACTGTGTTCATCCAGATGACTAGAGGACCAGCATGAGGCGCCCTCCTTCAACTCCACACATTGATGCCTTCAGACAAAGGTAATATGGCAGTTACCCATCTGTTAGTGCGTAGTGCATGCTGCCATTATAAAACAAATAGAAGATGCGTGAACACTTTTGCCCATGCTCTGAGCAATTCTTGACACCCTGTTGAACTTGACCACCCTGTTAAACAACTTTGCCCATACAGTTGAGCAACTCTCGTCCACCCCGCCGAACAACTTTTAACCATCGTGTTGGATAATTTTTGATCACAGTGTTGAGTAACTCTTGAGCCCTGTTGTACAGCTTTTGACCACCCTGTTGTATAGCTTTTGACTACCCTGTAGAATAACTTTTGACCACCTCGTGAACACTTTTTGAGCCATCCTGTTAAATATCTTTTATCTATGTTAAGCAACTCTTAACCACCTTGTTGAACAACTTTTAACCATCCTGTTGAATAATTTTTGACCACACTGTTGAGCAACTCTTGACCACCTGGTAAACAGCTTTTGACCATCCTGTTGAACAACTCTTCTTCTGATTTCTGTCAGCATTAATCATCAATCGCAAGCTAGTTCCGTTATTGCGAGTCATCGCTATCGTAACCTAACTAAGCGAAATCGAAGTTATAAAATCCCGGCCCCCTCCCCTCTTTTCCTTCTCTCCCAGATTTTCCTCACTTTCCTCCAGAAAAGCCCCAGCCTGCGATATCGCAGTCCACCACCTCTCTCAACCACATCAAACCACTATTTTTCTTAATACTTCTCTCTCTTTTTGCTGTTTATTTTCCCTTGATTGGAGTAAACATGAACTACCCTCCTACCCAAGCCACTGCACTGCAGCAAGGCAGACAAGACCAAGTTGATCGCGGACCTAGCATAACCGGGCAGGTCTCGTCTCTGGGAACTCCTCCAAAGCTGCCTGCTGGCTCCACCCCGCCATACCGGCAGTCAGACCATACAAGCAACGTCGTGGGACCCCAGCAACACCAACCACTGGGTACAAGGGGCCAGCCGCAAGCGATGATTCCAGTCCGGCGTCAGACTCAGCATCATCTTCTGCGGTCACAGAAGCAGCAACATTCCCTGCAGTATCAAAACCGGGTGGCACAACTCAAGGCCGAACTGGAACAACAGGAACGGCTCTCTCAGAGTGAATCGAAGCAGGAGGTATTGAACGAGGTCCAAATGATGCTGCAACAATTCCAGCAGCAGATCGAACAGAAGGCCCTCCACCAAGTTCAACAGCAGATTAATCTATGGGCTCAGATAGCCCAGGTGACACAAATTCAGTCACAGGGGGCCCTGATTGAATCACTGACCACGTCGCTCGACTCGGCTCAGCGTCGAATTCGAGAGCTGGAAGGGGAGGCAACGCAAGAGGAAAAGTAGTCTCCCATTGGTCTATTATTGTCGAGAATACATAAGACATGCCTGTGGAGATGTATGTAAGAATTAAAGCTCTTTACCGAGCATCGTGTTAGAGAATTTTATGCATTGCTTCACGGATGAGCCCATATATATAGCAGTGAATGTGTAGCGCAATAGTCTAATTCCTTGGTAGTGCCCGGCTTCTAATCGACGAAAAATAATATATTAGAAAAAAGGGACAATAGAAGTGTGCCTTTCATCGTTTGCTCTTTCTAGCAGTGGCAATGGATTGATGGTATATAAAAGATGTATGAAGTTTAATACTATATTCTTAGTTTCAATTTCTGGCAAGTCGCTTCCTTCCTATTATCCGAAGCAATGAATCAGAAGTCAGTGTTTTATGCACTATTGGCCTAAACGGAAGGGCCCAACCAGCCAACTGCAATCCTTTCTACAGTTATCACTACTGATTTACCTCGCCATATATATAGTAAACCCTACTAATTCTCTACTCTCTAAGCTATCCTCAGTGATTACTAAAAATCAAGATATAGGGGATAAAGACTTCCTGGTAATTATTGTTGGAGGGATGACTACCGGCCTTAACTGAGTAAATTAACTACACAAGGCTAGCATCGAGCGCATTGTTCTTAAACAAATATATAATATGCCAGCCATAATTATTTGCTTAAAACTACATTCCACCACATCCAATAAAAGCAAATTAGCAAACAATGTAAACATATTGCTTTAGATTAATATCTAAAGATCCTAAGTCTGGATTGGCCGCTTTCTCCTATTTAATCACCCTAAACGTCAGCCACCTTATTTGTAGAAAGGACTGAATCACAGGAATTACAACACTTGAATGCTAATTTATAAAGCTATTGGGGCGAGGTGGCAGTCTTGAGCACCAGGAGGCCATTGGGTAGAGAATCAAAACAAATGGCGTCGTCGGTGTTTGCAATGTTTATCATAATGGACCAACACTACTTCCGAAAACCGACTCCTGATCAACTTATGCCAATGCTGCCTCTCCAGGCAGCAATATATTGCAAGTTTTTCGTTGGCTATGCTAGCTGCCAAGAGTGCCGGCGTTTGAAGATCTTGATCAAGTAGCCAATATTCGATCAGGTCTAACATAATAGTGGGTATTAGAGTTTTCAGCTGGGTGAGGGGGTGAGGAAGAGGGTGAGCGGCTCACCCCATCTATTGTGCACTCACCCCAAGCTCACCCGGCTCACCCGACGGTAAAGCGGCCTCACCCGCTAGCTCACCCGGGCGGCACCCACCCGACTTGCGACCGCGTTCAAACCACACGCCGGCTGGTTAGTAGTTGGGTGGGTGACCACCAGCGAATCCCGGCTGTTGTATGTTAATATTTTTTTCCACTATTTGATTGTTAGTTGTTGTTGTGGAATTCAGGGGAAGGAATGGTTGGCAGAGGAGCACTATAGCTCCCTACGTATGTATCCCTCCCTCCCCTGAGCGAATGGTCATAACAGTTTCCTTAGGTTTGGTGTTTATCATATTCGGCCTTGCTTTCTAGAACAGGCGTTAAAGGACCTCGAGTTCTTGCTTCATTGGTGAAGCGCCTGCATAGCTAAACGTCTCAAAGTTGGGCTGCAACAGGTATCAGAACTTTGAATTAAATTAAATTGAATTGAATATTTGCCAGAGACCCGAAAATCATACGATAACCATACCAAAATGGTTGCAAAAACTTCCTGTGCCAATTTACTTCCCATATATATTCAACGACTTACCCATAGGGTAAAACACTTGCTGTGCTTTGCTGAAATCTATCTTGTCCTTCTGAAAGACTAGCACGTAGTCCGACCCCCCATATTTTATAAGTCCAATCTCGTCCCCTTTTCCAACCTGATCGCCAGCTGTGACTGAAGTTACCACTGACGAAATTTGTGCCATTCCTACAGCAAATAGTGCCACATATCCGATATTCAGATCGGTATCTTTGCTTGTGTCGAACACGATCAGCCCGCGAACTTGATTCCACTGATAGCCAGGGTTGTCCTGAGCATCGACATCATTGCCATCTCCTGATGGCATTCGTCGGATCGGGGTGATTCCTTCATGCTTCTTCGATCCTACCTCCAAGTAGACATTACCTGGAATCGTCTTCACTTCAACCACCTTTCCACCCACTGGGGCATGCACGCGATGGTAATTATGTGGCAAGAGAAATGCATGCATAAAATCGCCCCCATTGAACTCATCTCTATACTGGCTATCATCTAGGAGCTCACTGATCTTCCACGTAATGCCCTTGAAGTTGATAGATTGGGATTTCTTTGCAAATGTCACCTCTCCATTCGACGCAATTGACCAACGGCCATCGTATATTGCGTCACAAGGACTAGCGATAGCTTTTTGTTCGGTGGTAATTGGTCTGTACTGCTTCTTCACCCGTCTGGCGAAGAATTCATTGAATGATTGCCAGTTGTCGGGAATATACTCATGTAGGGAGTAGTCTTTGTTGTTCCGGAATGTTTTAATACTGCTCGGTGAAATAGAATCAGGACTGTCCATATGAGTTCCAAGACTGTTGGCAAACTTGACGACCCAGTCTGAAAGCTCTGTGCGCTCATCCTTTTTCTCAGTAACACTCGTCTGCAAGTCTATTACTGGTTGCTTGTCTAGGATAAAGTAAAAAATGGAGAGCTTCTTTAACGGTATATCTCTATCCGCAGCAGTCATGGGTATCCACGTCACATAGGAATCGATGAACTTGAAGAAGCTTTTCAAGTCTTTTATGTTTTCGCTGTTCAAATCGTCCACAGCGTTAGGATCCTCGCGGGCTTTTTTAATTGCCTCCTCGAACGTCTCTTGCCATTTGTTACGGTCAATTAAGTCAATGAGCTCGAGAACAATAGGCTGGTGAGACATGTTGCTGGAGTCACGGAAAGTTCGAAAAACTTAAGAATTATGTTGATTCTGTTGGTGGTACGAAAGTTCAACTTGTTTTGGTAGTCCGAGTTCAGATTTACCATGGGAAAACAAACGATATTTATATGCATTTGGTTCTCTCTTCTCTGCCACTATCTACGGAATATATTCTAAAGATACGTTCAGCTCAGCGGGTTAGAAATCTTCACACACAAGGCAACTGCGGACGGGAGGAATCTGGTATGGGAGCATAAGTTGGAAAGGTCACACTGCATATGCAGGTAGATGGAAGAGGTGTTGTTGCAAAGGTGCCAGCACATTCGCATTGAGAACCGACTTGCATATCTGCAGTTTGATTCTTAACGCTAGTTAGGTGGTATATGGCATAACCCCGCTGTAGCACAAGGGCCTGCATCAGATCAGCCGCACGAAAAGGAAACGTTGTCTGTCTAGTTATTCGGAGAAGTTCGCTATGCATCTTTAAGCTAATATCAACAGGGTATTAGCAAATTATGTAGCCATGGATGATGGAAGCTTACGGCTACGAAACTTTGGAATGTTTTTTAACCAGACTCTCTGGTACATAATATTTGGGATTAATATAAAAACGGATTTAGAAGAATTATGGCAACATGCACAGCTCCTTCAAAACTGACGCTTCCCTGCACTCTTTGACTATTCCCGAACATTTCCTCATACTGGGCGAAAGATAAATGTGAACTGACCTATCAATATGATCCTCCATAAGCTCTCCTGCAAGGTAAGCAGAAAGTAGACACGCGGTTTAGACCCGATAGGTTAAGATGTGCACGAGAAAATATTCTTCTTAGATATTATAGGAGCTTCAAAAGATGCCGAGATCGCCCGTTGCGCAGTGCATTAGGTGTGATAGCCTCCACTAAAAGTAATGACAGTCATGCGTGTTTCATCTCAGCTACTAATTAGTTCAGCCACAAAATATGGATGCTATGTACTAAAAGAACCTCCCCACCAGTGGTATGAGTAATTAGTGGCTATCAAGTGATCTAAAGTTTGCTCTGAACTTCTGAGGGGTTTACACTTGATATGCAACATTTGTTATGAGCTATTCAGGCAAATACTTGATGAAAGACCTGAACATCATTATAAGAAATATCTTAACACATCCCCAGAATGGCAGGTTTTCATACTCTTACAGATAATGAACATTGACAAGTATAATTAGCCTTAAGGGTGGCTTGAATAAATGTTAAACATCAATTAATACTGTACAGCCACACTATGCATCGATTAGTTAGTGTATCTTAAGTGTATTCTACAGTACAATAGAGGGGACGGAAGGTAGCGCTATAAAATCTGCGTGCTGTGGATCAAAGAATACTCCTCTTCTACTTGGTTACGGATGAATGGGTCTGTTTCGAAGGCTGGCTGAACCTGATGCAAATTGTATGCAAGTTGTCATGGGGCCTCAGACTCTGCGGTGATCTGTCACATACAGTATTTTCTTTTACTTGCATCTTTCAACTGTGTTAACAAAGACTATAGGCAGCAACTCCAACCAGACAATCGCCGCTAACTTTCCACTTACGCTGTCTGCTCATGAAATAATTGTACAGTCGTATGCACTGAAGATTATGTTTTATCTTTCTCTGTCTCCTTTTCTTATCCTCATAATTGAAAATTTTGCTGTCTGGTTGAACAGGGCATATTTTCGAATCTGAGTGAGGTTTTAGATTTGAAATGCGAGTTATATGTAAGCTGCTTTACATTTGTCGGAGAAAAATCAGAACAGATTCAATCACACACAAGACTGAAGTATTGAACGCCTCTTCTTGGAGGGTGGGTCGTTTTGCCGCACGCGTGTTAGGCCCAGTATCTAAGCCTACACCTAAAGAGCCTGAGCCTATACTTGAAAAGTCCGAGCCAATCCCTAAACCAAACCTCGGGGATGGTTGGAATGCTTCTGACAGGAAGAAAAAGAAGAACATGACAATAAAGTACTGGGATGACCTGGCGGAGTGAGCTGTATCTACCCCTCAAGTCGAGGTAATTTCTGATTCTCTCTACGAGCAGCTGTGGGAACGGTTCCGGTCACTAAAATTCCCAGGCAAAACTGCATCGCTCTCTTCGGATCCTGAGCTTCTCTTTCACGCCAAATTATACATATCTGCAACATGGTATCTGGTTGAGCCTTTGGCCCTTTGCAACAGCAATGTCTGAAATCTCACCGAGACCTGTGCAATTTCTCGCAGGAGGACAATAATGCATCTCGTATCCTTGATCTTCTTGACTTTACTTATGCACATACATACCAGACGAGATGAACTGACTCAGAAGTCTTCGCTTCGAGATCTAGTTATCAGCTACACTGCCTGAGAAGCACGGACACTAGCTTATTATGAACAGTTCACGCGTCTTTTGGATTCTAACGGCGAGATAGGGTCAGATTTTGTCATGAATCTAGTTAAGTGCATATTGTGTCACTCTACATCATGGGGACTAGCAAGAAATATCATGCATTGATAGCTGGTGGACATGTTCATATAAACTTAATGAGTCCAATTTGTAACGCACACAACTGAAATGGAATCATACCGCTTGTCACACGTGTATTATTAAATGCCTTGTTGTTTTACGTAAATCCCCAGTTTTCTGACAATAGCAGTACAAAAGCGGAAGCAAATTTATAGTACAATCTCAAGTTCTAGGAAACATAGCTGCTAAAAAAAAACACTATTAGTATTTAATATAGGATCTGTAAGGGACTATAAAATATCTCAAGCCTTTGCATTTGTGGAAGGATATTTGAAACCTATTACAAATAACTGATCGATAAAGAGAACAGGAACAAAAGCGAACCAAGGTATCTAGATGGAAGGTAAATATATCGTGACCAATTTTTCTTGACAAGCCTCGAGCCTATTAGAGATCAGAAAGCAAGTGGAAGCCAGATAATCTGGGATAGGTGGGTGTGTCAGATGTAGGCGTATAAGGGCAAACACCACTAGGCTGCTTAGGGTCAATAATAATATAGTCCTTAATCTTGGCACTTCCGTCTTCCACGGCTTTAATTTGGTTCGTTGCACATCTTCCTTTCAGGGCCCAAAGGTAGCATGTTGGAGCGGGGGCGTCTGGCACTTTGTCCGTATGTGTGGACTGCGAAGTGCCATTTGTTGAGTAGCTAGCAGTAACCTCGGAATTTCCTGTCTCCACTTGCGATGCAAAACTTTAAGTGAGGAATGGTCCGACTGACTTCTCTTTTTTTTATTGCCTCAATACTCTCTACCTTTGCTCATCGCAGATTGGTGAGGGTGAAACCTAATCTAAGCCACGATACTGAACCTTTAAATACATAGAGGATGATAAGTTGATTTCCTCTATTTGTGACGGTCCTATACACCTTGGTAAAATGGATGGATTCTAAGGTGGCGATCCAACGAAACATCAAACGTAGAGAACGAAGGAAGAAAGAATTATATCGGACAGGAAATGTGGGAAATCTCTACATTACGGGATCAACAGTGGATAAAGCAGACTTGGTGCCTCAGGAAAGGTTCAACCTAGGCCTTGACACTATTTGCAAGGATAAATTGGTTAATCTAGGAGAGCGAGGCAGTGAACAAGAATCTGCCCCAGTTATCCCATCGAGCAAATTAGAGGACTGCATGTACTAAACAAAGGTGCCAAGGGATGATGTGCAAGTTTGGGGGTTCCTCTTGATATACACAATGGGTGACTTCACTGCCACCGGGGGTAAAATCCCGGTGTGTTGGCCGGACACTTTATAACACTCCCCATTATTTTATGTCACTATCTATGGCAACCTACTTGTGCGGGACCTGTTCCAGTCGAAGAACCTCCCGCTTTTGGTCTACGTTGAAGTTGGCGAGCCAGCTCATTGGATATGGGCACTGATGCCTTGATGTTACCTGTGGACTATGTAAGGACTAAGGTTGCACTAACCTCTTAATCTTCACTGTTCGAAAGCCTATGTGACAATTGGTTAAAAATAACTTGTCGATTGGATTCCTTTTGTCACATAACCTAGGAGGATAGGTTTCTTAAAATCACGGGGTGGGCTTTCTAACATGGGTTTAGAAGGAATATATTGGCCTGCTATACTCTGTATTAATAAATAGGTTGTAACCTTACTCGTTGCCTCTCCTACGCACAGTCCGCATTCCTAGACGAAGTCTGCAGCTAATAAACCATCTATACTAAAAGCAGAAGCGCAGTTGTTTTCTTTCAGAGTATTAAATAGACCAAGAATTTCTGTTTCTTACCATATCCACTTCTCTACAAATATAGTGGGGTGACGTAAGCTCCATAAAGGTTTATTCCGCTCCAGAGATTATCCTATATGCAAGGAGCGTGTTCTAAGCTCTTAGGAACATGGTTAGCCGTCTGAGGAACTAGGCTAGGGTTCTTAGAAGTCTGGATAATCCTAGGAGCAGGCAAACCATACGAAAATGCTAGGCTACAGAGACAATGGCAACCAAGCTTGTGCTGAGGGTGACAATAGTCAATAGTTCTATGCTGGTGATATGTTATAAAAATGTCCCTGCCTATTAGCTAGAAATGGTACTATTTTTTTATCCAAACTTGCTTCGTCGGTGGTCTAATTCTGTTCAAATTTTTACAGGCCATCTTAAGCCCGTAATTTCTCATTGTCTTATCTGTCCATCTTCTATTGACCATTAACATGGCAATTTATAAACGTACAGATCCTGAAAATGAATGCCGCTACCAGTTTCGCATTAATACCAGATACCCGAGTAAGACACTGTTACTGGAGACGATGACTTGTGATTGGTTGGTGGTGAGGTGGTATTTCAAACCCTTGAAACACGTTGCATTCTCTGTATGCTGGTGACATATTTCTGCTTTGGATCTGTTATAAAGCATTCCATTCACTTTATGGTACCAAAAGGATTTGCACAATTTAGAACCCATAATGCAAGTGCCACCCCATTTCCGGCTTAATACTACTACATCTTGATGTCACCAGTTCTGTAAACAAATGATTATTTCTCTCGAGAGTATATCAAGAAAGGAGCAGCGCTGTGCATATGCAAGACAGTGTTGCACAGTAGAGAGGTGCAGCTTCCGTTTGCGTGTTTTAATGGTTTCTATCTGTTTGTCTCAGCAATGGTCCAATAAATCTAGCTTGTCTGAAGGCCGACAGTATTCCAAACTGTTGATGAGAATGCTATAAGAAGGCCTTGGGAGCCTGGCTCTCGACAAACTAAATCCTCCCTTTATTATAATTCAAATTAAAATCAAGGAACATTTATCGACTGTGACTTACTACAAAATGTCTGACAAGACTGAAAGAAAGTTGTCTGGGTGAGATACTACTCTGAGGATTTTCATCTCTACTTTCCTCTTTCTTGCTAACTAACTAATAGGAAGCATTTTATTCTGCCGGTTTATATACACGTTGATGGATATTTGGGATTCCTTGGTATGTACAACGTCGTAGACCCACTCCATCTTAAAAAGGGTTTATACTAAACTGCGGATGATGGATTGCAGAAACAAAAGAAGTCTGGCATGTTAATAATCTTAAACTCTGTTAACACCGCTAATGATTGATATAGTGGGTCTGAGCAAGAAGGAAATAGCCGAGAAATTATTTGATGGAAAGGAGAAGGCGGCAGATGAGTTTATGAAATGGGCAGACACAAATAAGGACGGCAAGGTTGACTTTTATGGTGAGTGTACTACTATATATCCACAATTTAGATTATACCTGCATACGATTTTGCTGATTTTCTAATTTTTTTTAAAAAAGAGTTCTTTGGTGCACTTCTATCTTATGGCTACGAGGAAGGATACCCCTTTGCTCTACTGATGATTGCTCCAGGTGAGCGCCCAGATAAGGATAGTTGAAGCCTGTTGCCAGCGTGTTTTCCAGGATGTTGTTTGTGCCTATGAGAGGTCGAACAATAGAGTCCTATTGTCCAGACAGGGCGTAGATTATCTAGGGAATGAAAATGAAATGAAATCAAGGAGCAGGTCCCCACGTACTGAATTGATTGTAATTTTATTTCCTCTCTAGTGCGATTCCCTGCAGGCTGTGGCGGAACACGGAAATTCAGCGCCGCAGCGCTCCGGTGCTGTAGGGCAAGCCATTGATTCCAGTCCGCAATATCGCGAGTTTTGGCAAGACCCTTTACCGCCCCAGTTGCTCGCACATCAGCACCAGCACCAGCAGGTCCAGCCGTACGGACCATGTGTATGGCACCTAAGCATGGCTTGCACCTCTACGCGCTGCTTAGGACTAGTAGGCAAAAGTTGAAACCAAGCAAGTCAATATATTTCTGGTGAGGTCTGCCGGCAGAAAATATCAAAATTTGCGATATTGTGGAGTGGAATCAATGGCTTGCCGTAGGTGTCGAAAGTGGGACTTAACTGGTCTGTTATCCTCCTTGGAGGAGGGGGCACGCCTGCGCCAAGGGAGGGGAAACTGATAAACGTGTTGGGACTAGTGGTACAACACGACGCATGATACAATAATTTCGTCGCGACAACTCCTCCTTTTTATCTCAACCACAAATGGATCACAATGGCCGTATTGAACAAGCAATTGCAGATCTGAAATCGCAGAATCCGCCTAAATATGCTGCCGCTGCTAGAAAATATGATATAGACAAAAGCACTCTGTGGCGCCGCTACAGTGGAAAACCGGCTCAATTCAGGACGCGAATTCTAAATCGCGCCAGAAACTCAGCAGCGCCCAAGAGGATGTTCTTGTCGAGCATATAAATAAGCTTAGTAATCGTGAAATCCCACCCACTCCCCAGATGGTGAAAAATATTGCGGTGAAGTCAGCAAAAACCAAGCTAAGTCGCCATTAGATATCAGTGCCTTACAGTGCCCCCCCACCGCCTTCGGCTAGGGGGTGCACCACCGGTAGAACAATTCACACCGATAGAACAAAATTCCATCCATCTATCTTCTTGAGGTTATTCCCATCCACCCAGTATGCCTAAATCGACTGGAGAACTTGAGCAACGTGTAATTAAGGCCTATAAAGCGGCTCGTGTCCAAAAAAAACCGAATTTAGCGAAAATCGCGCGGGAATATGGCGTTCCATACAGTAAACTGCGTGGCCGAGTCCGCCAGGGAAAACAGGCTCGCAGCGCCCACACACCTATAAATAAGGCCCTTGATAAGTATCAGGAGGAAGCTCTAATTTAGTGGATTACTTGTATGCGTGATTTATATCTTCCTGTTACCCCTGAGATGCTTGCGGAGTGGGCGAATCGAGCGCTTACACGCGCTGGATCGGAATATAAAGTTAGTAAAATATGGCCCTATCGCTTCAAGGAGAGACTGCCGGTGCACCTAAAATTAGGACCTGTGGTGCAGAAAACAAAGGATAAAAAGCAACTTAATGCGGAGAATATAGGATATCTACAGCATTGGTATAATCAGCTTGCAAATGTGGTTAAAGGTCTCCCGTTATACCTAGTATATAACTTCGACGAATGCGGCTTCCAACCTGGCCAGGGAAAAGCTCGGAAGGTTATTGGTACAAAGGGAAGATGCCCTGATCTCGCTGAGTTTAATTATGCTAAAAATATTACTGCGGTTAAATGTATTGCTGCTGATGGGTGGATAATGCAGCCATTGTTTATTTTCAAGGGTGAAAGGTTTATAGAAAGTTAGTATAATTACCCTAATCTACCAGACTTCTGGACTGGTGTTTCTTTGAAAGGGTATATTAATAATTAACTTGCTATTAGATGGCTTCAAAAATTTCATGAGGCAACAAAAAATCGGATAAAAAAAGGCGAAAAAAGAGTATTAATATTCGACGGCCATGAGTCCTATAAAACTGTTAAATTTTTATAACTCTGCGAGAAGTATTCCTTTTTGTTTTCGGCCTCATACAACTCATATTTGCCAGCCTCTTAATGGCAAGCCTTTTCTTGCCTATAAACAGCATTTTCGCACGCAAAATAACCTTATATCTCAGTGGGGGGGGCTACCCGCAAGTAAAGCGGATTTTCTTGCGGATATTGTTAACGTACGAAACAAGACTTTTAACCAGTAAATTATCCGAAATTCTTTTAAGGAACGTGGTATATTCCCTCCAGATGGCTCTACATTTATTCAAAAGCTTCAAGAGGCACTTCCTCCAGTACCAGAGCTCTCTATGCCCGATCTTCGCGCATATGGGGAGACTACACCACCTCCGAATCTCTCCTCTTCCAGCGTGGAAAACACCCCTCCGAAGAGTGTCCAAGACCTCGAAAAAACCAGAGAAAGCTCTCGAAGATCTTTAATACCAAGAGCCTTACTCCTAAGCTCCAGCGTGGTCTACAGCGTGCGTTTTACCATCATAAAAGAATAGCAGAGGAGCTTGCTATAATAAGCGATACAGTCAGCCAAATAAGAGAGATACAAGTCCCTCGGAGGCGCCAAATTACCAAGAGGGAGATTCCTAAGCTTAGTGACTCTGGTATACTCGGTACAAAAGATGCCAATCGATCAATAAAGGCTAGGAGGGAGAAAGAGGCTATACAAGAGAAAAAAAAGTTGGATAAACAGTGGAAAAAATTATATAGTAAACCACCACCCAGGGCGCCTACAGGGGAGAATTCTATATCATCCGACGCAGCAGTGGCAGCGCTACAAGATAATCAGGTTTTTTGGGTAGATACTCAGGGTGAAAGGCGATAGATAATGGGAATAGCATCAATTTTGTTCTATCGGTGTGAATTGTTCTACCGGTGTGGTGCACCCCCTAGCCGAAGGCGGTGGGGGGCACTGTAAGGCACTGATATCCCAGTTCTGCAAGCGAGACCAGTCCCGGCTTTGAAGTGTGTATCTACGCATCATAGATTACCAGCGAAAGGTCGCCGATAATTCGAGGTATCCACTACTTCTTCAACCTAGTAAGATATGATTTTTTTGAGATTTTCATGCGCTGTTATGTTGCTATGCATTAACTTGTATTGTCGCTGCGAACGAACGATTTTTAGCTAGCTCCAAAAAAAAATACCAAAAAGTACGTCACCACCTCAAATATTTATAATTATAACAAAAAAGGGTTTGTAACTGGCGTCTCTCACTCGACCAAGCATGTTATCTCTATCGAGGCGCTCCAAAGGCAACAATTAATTGGGGCAAGTCAGGATGGCAACCGCCAGTTCATCACACTTAGTGCGTGCATCTGCGCAGATGGCTCATCTCTACCACTTGCTTTGATCTACAAAGCAGAGTCAAACAACTTGCAGGACACATGGCTAGAAGACTTTAACCCTAGTGCCAAACTAACTTAACCTATTTTAGGGAAGATAAGAAAGGTTATTTTCCGACAATATTTCCTGTATTTTACTGACCTGTTAAATGACAAGAGCTGCTACATTACATCATTCAATACTACGTTAGGCAAGTCAGTATGTCAGTGAAACATTCAGTTGTTAACAAATCGCGCCGTATCTAATGGATGCTATATAGGAAGATATAGCTATTTAAATTAAGTTTATTGCGATACTGTTATTTGCCAAGCAAGAAAAAGGCGCTGAAAATCTTGCGGGAAGTGCGGAAAGCTGTGGACTGATTATGACTGCTATTTAAGACCAAGCCTCATTATCAGTGTAATTTTTTTTATACTGCTAACTTTAATTAGACTCTTATAACCATGTCGATGACACCCAGACTATGATCTACAAAAAGGTTAATATCGATCCCATATAACGTGAACAGGTAAACTTGCTTGGTAGGATTCAACCTGCGTAGTCAACTCTGGACTAGCGCAGAGTCAAGGAAGAATCTAAGAGTGTAAGTCCAGAGCATTATTTCTGGAATAAAATATATTAACAGAGTAAATTTGACTAGATTCTAGTGTCCTAACATGTCCATTAAGTCAGAAAATATCTACAACAAAAAAAAGAAGAGAGAGAGACATTAAATATTTAAGTTTGGCTAAGTATTATATTATATGTATAGCAACGTTCTAGCCTTTATTTGTTCCCACCTAATTGCATCATGACCTGACTGATATATCCATAATTTTGCCTCGATGGATAATAATAAAAGAGTGATGTGACGTTTATGGAGCAACAATACATTTCCGAGTGCAGAAGTAATGACGTGTCGTTGCGTCAATTAATATTCAGTCAACTGCTCTATAAATTCTGGCTCGTAAATCTCTTCCCTACTTACATAGATATCATTATCAGATATAATTTTAATCTTAATCCTAACTTATCTACGAGCATCTTCCGAAAACAATTTACAATGCGCACTTTCTTATTTGTTATTCTTGGTACAGCACTGCTGCCTTCTGCCTTTGCGCGGTTCTGTGACGAAGCGGTAAATTAATCCTTGACACTGCTAATAAGTTTGGCTAAGATTGTCCTAGGGCTATCTTTACAGTAAGCCTGATGGAGGCGGCTACAGGCAGGAAGTACAACTTGATGGCAACTGTTGGAGACTGAAAACCCCTCTGTAAGTTTTAATATTTTCAGTAGCGAGGCTCATAATGCTGAGAAAATTTTTAACAGCGTTGAAAGTGTGGGATCCCTTTATATTAATGACGGTGCTTCCTGTGAGCTTTTTGAGTATGTGCCATTCCTGATTTAATAGTTGACAAAGTTACTCACTCACTTTAGGGATCTGAATTGTAAAAAATATGTATATGAAGTTGAACCAGCCGGAGAAGATAATCTTTTTAACTCAGGAGTCGGATATATTTCCAAATCAGTTCTCTGCGACTATAGTAAAGATGCGTCTAGGGTTTATAGGGAATTCTTAGCATAATTAAATAAGGTCTTACCGATAACGAATGGCTTTCTAACACAGAGACTTGAAAGTTTGGTGAAATTTTTAAATATTTAGGCATGACTTGTCATCTTTTTGTTTCTGCTTGGGTCTTAAATCCTTATATTGCGAGTCCGATTATACCATTGACTCTAGGCCAATATTGTAATGGCCTGGGATTATATATTATTTACCACGGGCTAGACTTTTGTATAGAGTAGTTTATATCTACGCCGCCCTGGCTTGCGCTATGAAAAACAAACAAACGACTAACTTGCCCGAGGGACAGACAGAAATTTTCAGCCAAAATAACCATCTTGGGTCAACCTCAGTGTCATGGAATTGGAGTAAAGCAACAAAAACTTGAACAAGAATATGGGACTGAGCGACCCAGAAATCAGAATTGTGGTATAATATTGGGGCCCCTGTACGAGGCAGGAACAGATAGCTCGAGCAATTCCACAGACAGATTCGAAACATCATTTGGCTACATTGTTGAAGATATGGCGTACAGCTGGTGTATAGCTAGCGCCTTGGCAAGCATGGGGGTTTTAACCCTGAGAGTTCTCCCTTTTCCTGTAACTATTCAGGTAAGATACTGCTCAATCTACGTCTTGTCTCCTTTCAAATACTATCTTTCCCTGAATCCACAACATACATCGATTGGAATTATCGGCGAAATGTGACTTGTGTAAATATTGAAATATTGTTTCTCTCCCCTTTCCCTTTATTAGGAGCAAATGATTCTAGCTTATCGATATGCTATAAATTAGACGTGAAAGCACGCCACAGTGTCGTGTTCAATGCTGGAGAATGAATAAACATGGAATGTAGGATCACATTCTGTGTAACATAGTAGCTGCATAAAAATCTATAGTTGTAGGGCATACCAACTGATTGGGAAAGAAATAGAGAGTTTGTAAGAATGTTAATTATATTGCACTTTCTAAGAATGTAATTTGTGTTGCATTCCAGCCCTTTCTCGTTAAATAAGCCCTTGGATTAAAAAATAGATGTTCCTCCATTATATCCCTCTCCCGGTTGCAAGTCCACAATAATACAATAGCATTCATTGTCTTTCTATATATAAGTTTGTTTCAAATAATCAGTAAACGCCTCAATTCTCATTTGTTCGATTGCTTATTATCTTGGCCATAATGCCACCCTTCCTAGTCCTCGTACTAGGGCTCCTCCATGCTTTAACCTCAGTGGCTAATCCAACTCTGCCAGATGAGGATCCATTTTACAAGCCGAAAGATGATTCCTGGAAATCTAAAGGGTGACATCCTAGATCATCGACAAGTCAGCCTGCCATCTTTGATCCCTGGCGCTGAGAGTCCACTCACTGCATATCAACTGTTGTTTGTAACTCGAAATGCATCTTTCGACCTAACTACGTCTGTGACAACGGTAATCATTCCCGAAAATCCGAACCCAAACCGGGTCCTCTCGTACCAGATTGCCTATGACTCGCCCGACGTCAACTGCTCTCCCTCGTACGGGCTGCAAAGAGGTGCAGGATTCGCCGCTGCGATGTGGAACCAGGTGCAAATGTCCTTCGTATTTCCATATCTCATGAGTTACAAAGGGCTCTTGGGGAGGAGGCCGATTCTGAACATCCCTGACTATGAGGGATCTAATGCCGCTTTCACTGTCGGCCCTCAGAGCGGCTACCATACTCTTGACTCGATCCGTGCGGCACTCAACTCCAAAGACATTACTGGTATCAAGCGTACTGCCAGAGCAATCATGTTCGGCTACTCTGGTGGTGCATTAGCCACAGAATGGGCCTCCGAGTTGCACGCCGAATATGCGCCCAAGTTAAATATTGCCGGCGCGGCAATGGGCGGGCCTCCTCCCAACATTACGAATACTTATATTAACGTTAACGGCACACAGTCACCGCTCAATGTCTGGGCCATGCTTGGTGTGATGAGGGCATTTCCCGAAGTCGATGAGCACATGCGCAATGATATCCGGCCTGATAAAAGATCCCTTTTCTTGGGCCCCCAGAAACGTTGCACTAGGTGCCAGCTCTATTCCCCGAAAATCCCGCCGAATGAAAATGTTTCTTCGTGGTTCGAACATGGGGACGAGTTTCTGTATAAGTTCAAAGAAATCCTTGATACGAATGGCACGATGGGAAACCACATAGAGAAGGGCCAGTCTCCCAACTTTCCGCTCTACATTTTCCAGGGCACCAAAGATAATATCACGGCCCCAATCGAAGACACTGATAACTTGTATCATAAGTATTGCGACGCAGGCACGAATGTGACATATGTTCGATACGTGGGGCTTGATCACGGTGGTACCTTGTTGGCTGGGATGTATCCCGCTTGGACTTGGATCACAGCAGTCTTTAATTGGGTGAAGATAGATGAGTGTACAAAAAAAGATATCGGGCCGAGTGACGGGGAACTAAATGACGTGGATGTTGGACCTGACATGAGCGAGATCGAAGAGAGCGAGGTTATCGGTAGCAAACCCGGCTTTGTGGACCAAATCTTTATTCAGGGCGAGCGCTTTGTTCCGGGCTCTACTAACAGGGAGGACCTCTAATGTGGTGATGTTACTTACATCCTTGCATTTAGTAGTAGTACCCGCCTTAGTTGTGATTTCTTACTCATTTTGTCGTCTTGTCTTAGAGGGGCGGCTTTCTGCGCTTCCTATCCCCATTTTACCAAGCGCCCGGTGAATATCATGGATTGTGGCTGTCTTTGAGTACCCGGCCGTGATAAGAATATGGCGGAGGAAGTGGCAAAGTCTTTCCTTATGCAGTGCTTCCTCCTGTGGCCCTTCGCCAGTCACATTTTTAAAAACTGGTCTATTTAAAGCGTCTTCCTTCCACCGTAGCGGATCTGAGAGTTGCCTGAGCCACAAAGGTCAAGTTCAGCGAGGTCTTCTAGGGACTCGATATCAAACAAAGCCCTGTCAGCAAGGGCGATAACAAGAAGAAAATGCCTGTTGCAAACTGTGGTCAGTTATGGTCTCGGATTCCAATTCCAAATCTGGCGACCAATTAGCAAAGTCATGTTCGATGCAACCATGGTTTCTTGCTCTTAGGGAAGTCCATACACGCTGTAATTTTCGTCCCGATTTTTCTTTAGCCATTGTTGGTTAATCCGCCATCCTACCTGTTACGGAAACACTATAATCCGCCCGACTTGGCGGTGCGGAGTATCTGACGATGGATTCAACCCCTGAATCCTTTAGATAGTTGAGCACCTAGATAGGAATGCAAGAGACTCAGTTGGTTGAGATACTGTGATTCCTGGTGTTTCCACTGAATGACATCTACTTCCTAATTAGGCTAGTTGGCCTGTAGCTGATAGAATAGCTCCCTACGCCCCATTTCCCCTGAGTTCCACAACACTGGCGGAGAATGCGGAATATGATTCGACGTTTTTGTCTACAGTGAATTGCACGCATTTCTATGCAACAATCCATGGCCATGTGAAGCAGTGCTCATGACCTACGGTAATGTACAAAGGTCCATTTAAATGTACCCATCTATGCGGCACACGACCGCATAGAGAATCGTGCTTCGCGAACAGAGTATTCATACCCAGATCTTTCTGCTCTACGCCGAGTGCCGCAAAAGGTTCCATTCCGACGGCTGGGCCAACCGTCGGGGCAGTTAGGTACAAATGCGTGACTAGGACACGTGATTGAAAAATCTGATTCAACCTCATTCCTAATCTCGCCCGTGTATCCAACCTCTGCATCGTTTCGTCGCCAACAACCACCTCGTCCCGCGTACACTGTTAGTAAGACCATACCAACTTGTCTGCATGCTTGTCGGTCGACAGGCGGTGGGGCAGAAACGGCCAGAAGTATAGAAGCGTCTACCGCCTCGGGATTCGTTTTCTTTTCGTAATGATTTAAGAATTATATTAATATATGTCCAAAATTAGCACTAGTGTCTTTGTTGCGCTGCACAGTACCTGTTTCCTGCGGTAAAAATACTTGGAATAGACATGTTATTCAATAGTTGCTCTCGGTGCGTCACGGCCGTAGTAATCGTACATCCTAGATAGCACGTTATAACGTACCAACCGAGTTGCACACACAGCACCAAGAAGGGCAGCACCAGCTGCGATAGGAATACTAAGTTAGGTTATGATGAAATATATTAAAGAAAGCATAGAAGCAAGATAAGTTGAAAATAATAAGATAATTGCGATGTAAAAAAAAAAGGAGGCACTTAAACGCAGCATAGTAGTAAGATAAGCAGGAAAAAAAGGGATGAGCGCTGAAAGGAAGCGTAGGAGCGAGATCTTCGCGGCAATACATAACGATGTTGTCTCCCATCGATTTTTGTAGGGCAAGAGGCTTCGGATTCGGGGTTGAAATTCTTAAATACACGAGTCCCTCGAACTCCATTAAGTCCCTCACAATATCACACATCAAGTTCTTCTGTTGTAAATCGTTGGCTTGATGACTCCTTACCTTTAGCAGTTCGGAGGCATTGGGTCATATTTCAGCATCTTCGGCATATCGCAGTTATTTTATTGCGATTTGTTTGAGTGAGCTCTTGTATCCTCCACACCATCAGCACTAGAATCCCTCGCATAGTCATCTGGAGTAGTAGGGCCCCCCCGGAAACAGTATCCAAACCAGTAACGTTCCTTCGGCTGGCCGCTGTTGATCGCTATTTACAATGAACAGTATATGTCAGTATTTATTTTTCTCAGCCAAGTTTGGCATTGTTCCGTACCAGAATATGATACAGTAGATGTACCATCACGAAATTTCTTGCATTTTTCTAAAACATAGTTTTCCCAACTGCTCGCGTCGTACTTATGGTAATCAGCGTTATAACCCTCAATAACATTGGCTGGGAACAATCTTGGACCCGCCACCCAGTTCAATGGTGGTGGGAGAGGCACCAGATCCCAGTCGCCAGTAGACTGGACCGGAAAAGACACCACAGTGATGGGCAAAAGAGCGTTTGTTATGAGAGATAACAACCTCATATTTGCTTCGACTACCAAATCTGAGCAGATGATTAATTATTTAACAATTTTCTGGCAAATAGGTTTTCTTTTTTTTTGTTTTTTTCAAGTTCATCTGGTGCTTAAACTCATTTAAATATTAATATTCTGTTACATTTTCTCCGCACTAGAGTTGCATTTCGGGGCGGGGGGGGGGAAGGGCATCCCCGAACATCACAAAAGGTTACATTTTGTTAGCTGTTTTTTATACTGAGCTAAATAACATCATGCCATTTCACAGTCTTCGGATCCAATTCATCTTTCGGCCAGCTTAGTCAATAAACCATTCGTTTGCAAGAGAGACAACGTTTGCTATAAGCTCTAGTTTTATGCAAACGGCTTTTTGTGAATATCTTTAAACCCTATTGACTGCCTTGGCTGTATGCAAAGCTAGATGTCAATATTAAATACGACCTGAAATGCCAATACTACGGCTCACCAAATAGTTAGGGCATAGACTCCCATACTCTCTACGTGCGCCGCCGCCGCCAGGCTGGACCGAGCGGGACGGGATGCTTTGAAGAGCATCACTTCGAACGGCGATCGCATCAAGCTCGACGCCATTAGCAGCAGCTTCAATGCCTACCACCGCGATGACACAGCTCGCTACCTGCAGTTCTCCTACTCTGGGGACCGAATGAAACGAGTCTTCTAATTTGGCTAAATATCTTGTCCTAGCTTAAAGCAGCCAGATGGTCCCCGGCGCTCCAAGGCGCTAAAGCTTATAAACATATAGGCAGTATGGATATATCTAAATACCTGACAATTGGGAGATGATGCAGTTCCGTCAGCCATTTGCCTAGTACGTGATGATTAACAATCCATCCTTGCAGGCGGCATGTCATGCCCGTTATATGGAGGCCCGAGATGTTTGAATGAAGCTTATCTGATTAGGTGACAGTAGTTATTGGATGATGGAGTTCAGCTTTCTTCCACCTTGTCTGGATCTGCTGGAGGGCTTTGTGTTTGTCTAGGTCAAGTGGCTACTATCTACAATTAAACTACATATGTCCAGTTCGTTTCATAGATGCTGCACTGCATTAAAACCTTCTGGATTCTGCTGCTAACTTCAAAATGTAAACCCAAACGCAACCGCATTGTGTTCGACGGGCTATGGATGCAATCGTTCATTCTGCTCTCGCCACGAATAGCGCACATGTTAAGCACGACGAAGTCTCTCATACAGATCCTCAATATCACTACCCATCTTTCTCTCAGTCTCTTCTTCCATAGCCCTGCGCGAAAGCATCGATCTACCTTGCACAGCAGAGGCGTCCGCGTCAAGTTCTTCCTGGGCCAATTCAACTAGAGTGCATTAATTAGCAGTACATATATACTGTCTCTTCAATAAGGAGCTCACCATGACAATAAACAGCTGCTTTTTTTCCACTGGCCATGGCATGCGGGACGTTGGTGCTATCGTCGCTATTGGCATCGCCAACTCCCCAGACCCCATCAAGGCTAGTCCTCAAGCCCGGGCGTGTGGTGTTAATTTTTGGACCTATCATTTGTAGACCCATTTGAGAGGGTAGGTGAGATCTCTGCTCCGTTGGGAAGTTGGTGATAAATGCATCCCGCTCTTCATAGCTGCCATCGGTGAAAAAAATGCGGAACTTGTCAAACATCTGCCCGGTCACAGGATCCTGATGCTGACCACCATCCTGGGTCCGTGTGATGTTTAAAATGAGCTTGTTGTTCACTCGAATGTTATATGCCTTGAGGACATTCTGCCAGTTCGGGTGCTCCTTCGTCAGTTTGGCTTTTTGCTCTGCAGTGTCGGTTCCGTTCACATAAGCAACAATGTCTTTGTTAAGCGTCGAATGCAATTCTCGGATGCTGCCGTAGATTTCACTCATAGGGCCTAAGATACCCATTGTCTGATTACGATGCTCGTAACCATCACACCAAGGACACCAGTAGATCCCCTTGCCAAATGCCTTCTGGAGACCGGGTGTATTTGGAATGTCATCTTTGATCCCAGTGCCCAAGATGACCTTGCGCGCTGTATAAGTTTTCCCACCATCAATTGTGGCAATGAATGTCCCGTCCATATTGTTCTCGATTGAGGTCACATTCTTGTCAATGAAGCTGGTCTTCTGGTATCTGGAAATCCCTTTGCGGGCATTGTTGCGGAATTCGCTGGGGACAGCACCTGGAACGCACTGGGTTTAAGCTGGGCTGTTCCAACCATGTGACAGAGATACTTACCATCACTCCCAATAACATCATGCATGTTCCGGGTGGGACCATTACGGTACACGCCCGAGTCAAACAACGCGACGCTTCTCAGGACACGGGAAAGGCCGCTAGCCGCGCTGAGACCAGACGGACCACCACCAACGACAATGACATCATAGTCCGTACGAGGGATGGCCGCAATAACGACTGTGACGACAGTAAGTACTGTATAGAAAAGACTTATCTGATTAAGAGCAATCATGGTGGCAACGACAAAGCAGACCGGGGTTGCTCGATTAGTCGGGCAAACAAAGAGTGACGGTACAAGTCAAGATATCGGGAAGAGTAAAGCTTTTATGTTCTCGGCTTCCATACAGGTTACACCAATTGTGGATGCAACATCTACGTCGCTTGTTCTGCATAACTCAGATTCCACTGCTCTTCAGGGATCCTGCAGAATTGTACGGTAAGCTCAAAGAATTATACGCATAAAACTGAGTGGCTGGATGGAGACGCCAGTACAGGTGCTGAAGTGTAGATCCTTCAGCTGGAGTTACCTATGGCAGCTGTGGGTATACTGCTGCGAACGACTTATTGGGGAAGGTATACGGGAATATACTGCATGTGATGAATTCTAAGTCCCGGCCAAGCTGAGTGTGTAGACACAGAACATCGAGGCAGACGTTCTATTGCAAGCTATGGCAGCTCGAGATTGACAGGCATCCACTATTGTTCGCACAGTAATTGAGATGCTTTTTGACCACGCCAGCCATGGATGGATAATCCGTTAGTGTTACACGTATATCTCGACCATGTGGACGACTCGGCCGTTGAATACGTTAACTAACAAATGACAAGTTGCCGATACCCTAATCTCATTGGCAGAGATCGCCAAAATTTCTGAGACATCCCCCACTCAGCTGAATGCAAAAACTTAATTGAACCTAGTTTCTGTAAGGTACGAAAATCCAACCTAGGCTCCTTTCTTGTCAAATCTAAGGACTTGGTGGTACGTGCTATGTAACGCAGCTGAGGCTGGTGGTAATTAAATGCTTCTCTGTTTCGTCAGGATTGGTCATTGGAATAATGACTCGGCAACTACATTTCAGGCAGTAGAACTTGGAATTAAGTACTCAATTGCACCCCAAGCTTTTTCCGAGGACCAGGATTTGACTTTTCCGCTGCAGAGGAATATGTGGTTACAGCGCATATGATCTACGGGATCTTAGCACTAACTAGTGGTGGCAATGTCAGCCAATTTTTGCAGATCTTGCTGTGACTAATAGTAGCTCAGCCCGCCATAGCTAGGTAGCTCTGTGTTAACAATGGATTTGAAGCAATCTCGAAGCGATCACTATGATTCAGGGGAAAGGGGACAGAAGAACACTATATCAGCTACCCCCCCGTAGCCTCCTAAGGACCGTATTTGATAGTATCTGAACTCCCTTGAATGCTATCTGATGAACGCACACTCTTTCTACGAATAGGGGCAGGTCCTCAGGGGAAATACCCCGCAGGGTGCCAAGCCGCTAGGCGCTCAAGTCCATGTATTTCTATATCAGATTTAATTAAATAACAATTCTAAAGTTATTCAATCATTCGAGATATTATGGTTGGAGCTAGGGAAATCCTCATTCACCCTCTTCCACAGCCGTCCAAAATTATCTCTGGTCTCCCCAGAAACGATGAATAGTCTTTGCTGAATCTAGCACACTGATATACTTATTATAAAAGTGCCAAGGATGTGGGTCTACCCTGATAGTAATCACTTTTCCACGCTAGATAGTAGTTCTTTCTAAGTCGGGTTTAGATCGCGAAAGACGACGGTCCCAGACTCGCCTTCGCCAACAACTGGGGTGGCTGGCTGTTCGTGAGGCCCGATTCTCCTCAATTCAAGGGGCTCGGAGTACACAGGTGGGACACCATGCAACACGCAGTTTATATTACTAATAATATTCCTACGTCTACTACGCTCAATTCCAGGAGGGTGTCTACCAATCTGGATATTAAATCCTCACCTCGTTTGATACATAATTCTGCATTTTTTTAGTAAGCTTCCGCAGAGTGCTAATATTTAACCCTTTTGTTGTTGTGTCTGGGACTATGACGACCTTGGGCATCAAGGTTTTAGTAAATTGTTAGCCGTGGCGCTCAAGGCGTTTACATCGGCAGCGATTCTCTGACTAATTACAAGGTTTAACTATATCAAGGAGACAAATAAGTTCATCCGAAATTGCTACGTCTTATTTAACAAGCAGGCTTAACGAGAATATCCTATACAACAACCGCATACTCTTAATTCCGCAATGTAAATAAATATCCCGCAAGTGCAAACACATACCATACCTCCAGACCCTAACGCTGAAAATCACGCGCAAGAAGTGCTGTATCTCATGGGGGATTCTCCCGCGGAGGATAATAGAAAATCTGACTGGGTTTAACCTGCGAAAGGCTTTATTCTATTTGTAGGATTACCCCTACTTCTACTGCTACGACATCCACTTATAAAACAAATCCTTCCCCGATCCCGAATACTTGGCAGGAGCTAATAAAACCACTTAATAAAGATAGATAGCTATACTTGCGAGCTTGAAGCTTCCTGTCGAGAAAAGATTAAGGCATGGGATTTAATTAATAAGCAATCTATACCTTTATAAAAGCTTGAAGCCTATTCCTGGACACTGGGTCTAATATATAAAAGACCTAATTAACGGTACATTCAAATGCAAGGCACGTTAGGTTGTACATGAAAAATTAGTTAAATTCTTACTATGAGGAGACATACTTACTAGTAGCCTATCCTCAAACAACGAACATCTTATTCGCCGTTGCAGCTTATTAAAATTAGCATACTACTCAGGCAGACGTGGTGCCGGCATTCCTTAATAGCAAAGTTAATATTCCGATATACATGCGCTAACCTACCGACTTCCAAAAGGGTGAATATAACACTACAGTTTGCAAGCTAAATAACGCCTTATGCAGTCTTGCGCCTTCTGCGCTTGTATGGTATGACCGTCTCCGTAATAATCCTAAGGCTTTGGACTTCAATATAATCCTGGCCTTCGGATTCACCAATCTTGCAAACATCTATATGTGGCTGCTCATGTAGGTGACTTCATTATTATTGCAGAGCTAAAGCAGATGCTGAAAGGCTGCTAAATACAATGCAACTCAAATTTAATATTAAAGTGGCAGCCAACCTGAGACATTTCCTAGGTATAAAGATTACTTTCTCTGAGGGTCAGATTAAGCTTATCAGACATTATATATTGATAATCTTGTTGCTTCAGCAGTGCTCACAGACACGCCCTCTGTCTTTGCCTGCAGATCCGGGTTTAGTCATCGATGATGAGCACGATCCAACATTTAACGCTGAATATAATCAGTGTCCTCAATGATCACATATCTATCTGGTCTGTCGTAAATATATGCCAAGATATCCATCAGATTGAACTGCTCAGTTAATCAACAGATGCTGATCTACTAGATATCTACGTCCTGTAATGAAAATGCAGAAATGTATCTTTCTCACCACGATCTCTTTATAATTATGAAGCTATTATCTTGCTGTCTACTGCATTCAAATCCTGATATGGAAATATATACATCCGAGCGCCTGGGACCGTGCGGGCCATTTTCCCCGAGGACCTGCCCCTATTCCTGGGAAAGAATGTGTGCATTTATTAGATAGTAATTAAGGCAATATAGACACTATTAAATACGGTTTTTTAGTAGGCTACATGCGTATGATTGATGTAGTGTTCTCCTGCACCCCTTTTCCCTAAATTATAGTGATCGTGTCGAGATGGCTTCAATGTTACTGATTCTATATGAGCCTCCTCCCCTTAGCAGAAGTGCCTAGCTCCTTTACGTTCTCTTAACTTTAGCCACCATCCGGCCTTTCAAATTTCGATAGATAGGGCACTTATAACGGCATAATCGTTAAATAATATGAAATAGTGTAGTAGGAGGTGATCTAAGGGATAAGAAAGAGAGGCACTACATCAAAGAATGTGGCTGAACTCATAATAACCTGCACGTGTAATGTACTGAGCAATCCATCCGGCTTACTCATAGGTATGGCACGGAGACTCTTATTTTATCAAAGCAAGCATCTCACGGTAGCCAAACCCGAGAATACTCCGGAACAGAGTACTGCCGTCCAGGGTTTATGGCCTTCCATTTGCCATTATCAGTGGACAAATCCAGATAATAATCGGACACGGATCCCTTGCCCAATCTTAACTGTTATATCGACGAGGTAACCATGTCTCCACTGATATAGGACGAGTCGATAACGCTCTACAATTGGAAGGTGGAAGCCTTCCATAAACTTCAATTACCTCCACGTTTGATGTAAGCCTCGACTCCACACTTCTTGCCGCATGAGAATCCTTGCCACGCGCGCATCATGCCGGTCGTCTCAGTATGATACACCTTTTCTCCTTTCCTCTCCTACTATCGCTCTATCCGCTTCCAGGCAACTCGAGTAAGAAGATGACCAAAAAAAGACCCTTGAACCCAGCACCAATTTGGAGACCGACATCAATCATGGAGCCGAGACGGACCTGCATCGTTCGCTGTCCAAGTGGCATATTACCATGATTTCTCTGGCGTCATCCGTCGGCATTTTTGCAGTGGGCGGCTACGTTTCTTACCACCCTGCGGCGTTCACCCTGGGTTGGGCCTATTGGATGAGCTATTTTGTTACCGTTACCATATCGCTGGAATGCCTGGGGTGATTGGCAGGGCTGAGGCCACTTGTCACCAAATGAGGAATGTCAGCAGAAAACTCTTCAGTCAAATCGATACCACCATGGCAACTAGGAGTTAAGGAAATAGTCCAATCGTACGAGCACGCGAGCCCATTAAATTGGCGCTCTTGATATTGCGAACAAAGCGTTGCATTATGCGAGCGAAGTTCAAAGCGCAACCGGGTCAAGGGAAGGGGGAAAAATTTGAAGAGCACTAAGTCAAATATAGCCGTATAGTTTTAATTATTGGTAGTCGTTAGGAAAACAGTAGAATAGGAAGAGCTTCTATCCTCTCGGACAGAGCATGTAAGAAGGAGATAGAAAAATACCTGAAGTTGTTCTAAAACTGAACCAGGGCAACCACTATATAGTGCAAAGGCAATACGTTTCACGAACTGCAGAGAGTGTCGGAACGAGCTGAATCTCAGCATGATAGCCTTTCACAATCCTAAGGATGGCACCCCGTCAATGACGCACTCTGTTACTGGTAGGGTCCGTTGACCTTACAGCCCACGTCACGCGATCAGTAGATCTTCCACACAGCTAGTAAAAAGTGTAGCAAGGAGTGATTGCTAGTTTCCAGCCTCATCACACATAGTCGGATAAGAGAGCACTTCCACAATCTGGTCCGGATGACATGATGACGCGAATAGCCTAGCGCTGCCCGGAAAACCCGTTGGGCCACGGCCACACCCATTGGATCTATACTGGAACCTTTTTAATGTGGCATGTTGCCTCATCCTGGCAAGATGCTATGCATGTCAAGGTATTAACGTCACAGATACTATTATCGGGATGCATTAGCATGTGGCTACTATATAAATTGGATATTCCACTTCCACAACATCTCACTCCGTCGCCTCTCACCCGTATGATCGGCTGCCAAGGGATGTACCCTGATGTGGTTGATTAAAGCTAAATCAGACTTCTAATGTGATCCCAAGGGGTTAAATATCCTACACCTACACCCGTACCACCTTAGGCACAATTCTATTGAAATTCTGCGGATACCACCAATATGGTCTTATTATGTGGTGGCGCTGAGCTTTACCACTACGCCACAGCCAAAAAGGCGTAAATCGATGATCATCTGGTCAAACAGCTCAGCGTACTATAATTAGCAAGATCAGATCCGTTACAGCAGGCGACATATGGAATAGAGGAGCACGAAAGAAATATGCGAACTTCCAAACACAAGGGCCTGTAAGAGAAAAAGGGAACGAAGGCACAGAGCGAGGACATAGAACTAGAACAAATTTAGACGCAGCTCATGACTGAACACATCCACGCGCCTCCATGGCTAATCGCACATACCCGATCCGGACTACTACGCCATACCCCGAGGCCGAGGTATTGGCCGTGGATCGAGTGATATGTTCCAATGAGGGGGTACTTGTTCTTGATCCCGGGTTCCCTCAACATCACATCGTATAAATGATGATCAATCTTCCGTTGGATAATGCAAGAGCTGCATTTTGCAATCGGCTGGATGCAGCTCAAACTCTCGAGGCGTGATATCCATTCAGTAGGGCCCACATCGCAGCCGAAGACAATTCCATCGCCCTTGCCGCTCCGGATCGGCTTAAGAATGTACTCATCTTTCAGGTCTGGGAAGTCTCTGCATTGTTGAAGCAATTGTCTAAGCTCCAATGACGCGGGAAGAATCGTCTCTGGAATGCCTTTATCCAGACTATGCGCCTGCCTCTGGTTTAGAATTCCCCTTGCTACCAAGGAGTCAAGTTCCTGTTTTACAATCCCGAGCATCCTCTTATCGTGGACGAGCAAGACCGTGCGCATATCGTTGAAACACCTAAGGCTAATCTGACGCAGCATTTCGGGCTGCAGTGCAAGAATTTCTCTTTGATGCAATTCCAGACCGACTTGGAAAATTTCTTCCAGCACTTCTCCCTCACTGTTTATCAAGGTGGGATATGAAGGTGCGGTATGTGTGTTGCTGCCCACCAAGCAGCAAAGCCTATAGCCACTCTTTGTCTGGGAGTCGGGCAATAATCTTAAATCTGAAGGAGTGATAAAACGAGGTGTGAGCCCCCTATAGCGCTGCATAAAATCCACAAACATATGGATATCCATGCCGGCTTCTTCACCTTTGAGGATGTGCAAGGGAACTCCCGGGCGGAAGAGCCGCAGTAAGCCATCAAGAAACTATTCGCTGATTAGTAGCTAATCCGCCCGAATAGTTATAGTAGAAGCAGGAAGCTGCTTTAGGTTCCTGCTATAATTTACCTTTGTGGGATCCGCAGCTCCAATAACGCCATTGCTTCCATCGCAGATACCGATGTTCTGTAGCGCTTGTTGTCCGTAGGCAAGAAACATAAAGCCGTTGAATGAAAACCTTGCGTTGATTTCGCTGATGCGAAAGTTTTCCAGCGTTGGGAGATCGCCTTGGCGGTTGTCCAGCTCGATTAAGAAGTCCGGCCTCCAGGAACCCAGGCACTCCTTATATAAGGGCAGGAGATGGGGAACTTGAGCATCCATCCACTATCGGAAAGTGGTGTTAATGATATCTAACTTGGACCAGGATCACATACATACCTGAAGCAGGTCTTCTTCCTTGCTTTCTAAGGGCATACGCTCAGGAAATCGAGCCACAGGGTCCGTCCACCATCTGTTAACAATATCCGTGATGGACAGCACTAACGCTGTGTGCAATTCGGCCAACTGTTGCTGATGCCAGCTAGTAACGAGAACCGGTTGGGGACAGCAGGCCGCATATGCATTCTTGGGCCATAAGTCTGCGGGACACAACTGTAGGAGGCTTGATTGAAGTCTCTCCTGATTTTCAATATATGCAGCTCTTTCTGCTTTGCAGGTTGCCACTGGCTCATATCCATCCTCTTCGAGGGAAACGTGAATTTGTTCAAGTCGGCTTGGTTGAGGATACTTCATCGTGAGGAAATAATTTCACGAATTTCTCTATGGATTCATGAAGAATGGTGCAATCAGCCGGGCTTAGTAGCGGGATATATATTCATATCCACTACATCTGCAGGGTACAGCTGAAAAACAGTGGCGAGGTGTTACAATGAACGGGCTCCACTTGCAAGACTCAGCTGAAAGATCGTGGAGCACTTTACATGAACTAGTATTATGACATTCGAAATAGTGGTAATCATGGTTCGGTAATGGCCTCATAGACAGCGCCAATCAGCGACAATATTGCTCACATCGGATTGGCTAATGACCCATCTACACCACTCATCCCTTTTTTTTTTTTTTTTTTTTTTTTTTTTTTTTGACCCTAAATTAGCTATCGGATATTCAGGTCTTGTTGATCTACTTAGTTAGCCAGTTAGCTGGTATCTTGCAGAGTGTTGTGGAATTCAGGGAAGTGATGCGCAGGGAGCTATTCTATCAGCTACAGGCCAACTAGCCTAACTAGGAAGTAGATGTCCTTCGGTGGAAACACCAGGAATCACAGTATCCCAACCAACCGAGTCTCTTGCATTTCTATCTAGGTGCTCAAGTAACTAAAGAATTCAGGGGTTGATTCCACAAGGAGTACTATCAGGGCTCATAGATATGAGCAACATTCAGGTTCATGAATCCTTGATCATATTGATTGACCCTCTTGACTATTTCAGATGAAAGTGCTTTCACCCGTGTGGGAGGTCGCTTACTATGGCGCTAGGCCTATTTGATAAGCGGTAACCTCGACAAATAGTTGTCGAATATACGGCTAGTCCCGAAGAGGAAATAGAGTACGATTGGTAAAAAGGTCTTATTTGAATGAATTGAGCTGGTTGGGCTCTTCTTGATTATTCTTCTTGGTTATTCTTGATTTATCATTTTTTTTGTGTGCTCCGTGGGGGTTTTACCCCGATCTGGTCACATGATTCTGTTCCACCAACGGCCATATTATTTGACAATAGTCTGCACCGCCAAGCCGGGCGGATTATAGTATTTCTAACACAGAGAATCTCCAGGCCAGCGTAGTGATACAGGCTTGGAAACAGATACCTTTAACTGGGCAACGGGAGGAATCTTGTCGCAGTATATTACGGAAATACTGTAATTCGCCCGACCTGGCGGTGCGGAAGTATCTGACGATCCATTCTACCCCTCAGTCTTTTAAGAGAGTTGAGCACCCAGATATGACTGCAAGAGACTCGGTCGAGATACTGTGATTCCTGGTGTTTCCACTGAAGGACATCTACTTCCTAGTTAGGCTAGTTGTCCTGTTGCTGATAGAATAGCTTCCTGTGCATCACTTCCCCTGAATTCCACAACACAGTATAACAATAACAGCGCGCTACGGCGCTGCACGTACTATTCAAAAAAGAATTTACTAGCTAAATGCAGGTACAGGGTCCGCGACGAGGGGCTGCTCACGATTATTAATTATTTTGTGGAGTGGGAATCGGAGTTTAGCCTACCGCGATTCCGGCTTGTAACAAACCATCGCAATCTGGAATATTTTAAAAGAACCTGCAGGCTTAATAAACGGCAGATGCGCTGTCATGCAGGGAACAAGGTATACTATTAGATGCCAACAACAATCGACTTAAGATACAAGAACGGCCAGGTAATAGGCCCCGAGACTATTATTAATAAGCCTCTATATCACGCACGCAAACTGCGCTACAGCTGCTGGAAAATCAATGGAAAACAGCCGCGCAGGGTAATATATATTTACAAGAAATAATATAATCAGCATAGGCTGGAATAGTCTAATTTCCCAGCGAGTTACATATACGCGCGTTAATTACTAAATATGTTAAAGCGTGTAGGGGAAAGACGGTATGTTGTGAGGTGCTAGGATAGCGGTGACTAGATAGTATATTGAAACTATCGTGTGATCTAGTATCGCATGGTAAGTATCTCCATCTTCGAGAGTGAGTGTAGACCAACGCTTCCTTATGTCTACGTGTCCCTTAGCCCCTGAGTGTGATATATCATTCGCTGCGGACTAGGATATACGAAGGTGCCTTAGGCATCCTATTTCCAACAAAATATACTATTTCTTCCGACAGCCACCTACTATATTACAGCTGCTATAGTCGGAAGCGTAAAAAACTTGGATGTCTGTCAATAAGTCCAAGACACACCTTTTTTCCAATGCCGGCTGGACAGAGGCCATCCCACGCCTACACTGAGGGTGAAACATTACGGCTCGCACTCCAGAAGACCTGAAGCCTGACGCTCTTCCCTACGCCAACAATGGATGACATCCGACTTGTTCCCCTGATCTCAGGTATAGCAGGGTTTGTTTGTTTTGCTTCTAAGCATTTTCGCCGTTCAACATTCAGGATTGTGGGTAACCCGACGAACGTCGGTGAGACATGGGGTAGATCCTTCAAACTGTGAAGAGCGAAGTACCCTAAATATTTTCAGCCTCCACTAGAGAAATAGCTCTTCATTATCGTTCACTGACTTGTCCGCACACTGGGGTTAATCCATCCACCTCGCCTGTTTCTGCTGTGGTTTCCTTCTCTCTTCCTTTCTCTTTTCCTTAAAAGACTCGGACAATGGCCCATGAGCACACCTCCAAAAGCAAAGGCCGGACCCCGCTTCCCAGCGGCCATCCCCCCTCATAGCCTCAATCGGTATGTGTAGCATGACTTGTACTCTGACACCGAAAAGAGAGCTCAATCTCACTCTAGAGAGCCCAATGATGTTCCAGAGGATATTAGGACCATAACTGGCGCTTCCGTATGTGATCTCAAGTATACTTCCTTATAGTAATACCTAGTTGACAACTATGTAGTGGTTCCTATTAATCATTAGTACCTTGACAACCATCTTCCTCTATGTCTTGGACAGTACCATGGTGGCCAACGTTGTTCCCGTATATGCTTAGTATCTGGGAAAGTGATCATGCCGACTTGGTCACTTGAGGCGACTATGAATCAATTCTATGCCGTCGCCGATTTACACTGTCTGCCGGTTGGATTCGTCTTTCCGTCTCCGTGAGGTGCCTGTATCATCCTTACCGTCCACACATCAGTTCTACGATCGGAGGGATGCCATGGCCCAACTGCTGGGGAAGCTCTATGTCCTTTTCGATGCCAATTGTCTCTACATCGGCTCCATTATTATCTTCATGGCTGCCTTCGCTCTGTGTGGCGCGGTACTGAAGGTGCATGCGGAAATTGTTGGGCGAATAATTGCTGGCACTCATCTCAATGAACACAACCAATTGTGAGAGGCCGCCTACATGAGTTTGACGCGAGTGGCCATCCACGCCTCATTGCATCTCACTGACTCTAAATATTACAGCGGTATACCTGGGGGCGTTTGGGAGGTTGTGGACACGGTCATTGGTTGCGGCTTCAAACTATATACATACCTTGTGCTGGGCCTTCTATATCAACCTATCTTTTCAGCGCGATCCTGATACCGACCTATGTGTTCGTTATCTCCTAACAATCCTGCTCCAGGGGTAACCAGACGGGAGAAGCTGGTGACGTTCGACTGGGTAGGGGTGACCTCAAAATTGGTGCTTGTACCACTCTCGTCATAGGCATCAACTTCGGAGGCGCGCTATACTATTGGAATAGCGGTCAGATCATTGCACTGTTTGTGGTGACTGGTGTCCTGTGGTTTGTCTTACTTCTCCAGCAAGGGCTCGCTATTGTCACAACAAAGGAAAGTCCCATCCTGCCAGTCTATCTTTGCCGCCAGAAGGAACAGCTCTTTCTCTTTGATACCTGCACCACTGCCGGAGCCGTCTCCTACACCAGCGTATACTATATTACAATTTACTTTCCGTTCACTCGCGGAGACAGAGCCATGGTATCTGCAGTTCGGCAACTTTCTTTATCTTTTTGTTGACTACTGCCATCCCTGCTAGTGGAGTGTATATGTCGCGGATCGGATACTACAAACCTTGCTACCTAGGAGGCAGTATTAATGCCTTGATTGCTTTTGTGCTAATGGGCATGTGAACTGATGTGTGACACAACCCTAATTTCTGACGAAGCTGTAGCGACAATTGTCCACGTCGACTCCTTACGGTAAACTTGGAGTAGAAAGAAGGACAATGTGACTAGGAATGGGGAAATGAATGCAACAGACTGTCTATCCCACCGCCATACCTACGTAGGTCGCGTTGGCTGACGCGTTCTCCACTTTATCCTTCATCTCTTGCAATTCTAGACCCATCTCCCTCTGCTAGTCCCTCTCTTCATCTGATTCCTTAATCTCGTCGCCACTGGAGTCTTGGTCGTCCATTACATCTTCGTTCCCTGATGGCGGGCCTGACGGCTGAGAACCCCGTCCATCAGCCAGAGTGTCCTATGTCGCATTCCCTCCCTGAGATCTTGTCATCCTGCAGTATCAACGCATAGGGATGGTATATCTGTTGCAAACCCTGCTAGAAATACTCCCCACATCAAACATACTAGTTCTTGACCACCGAATTGCGTGACCCTGGAGAGAAATTCTCCATCTGGATTTCCATCCCATCCATTTCATGGCAGACGGTTCTACCAAGTCACGGTTCTTCGCTGTAGAGTTAGCACTTCATGTTTTTCGAGCAACCAGTGCATAATGTGAAATCCATACCTCCTCTTCAGTCTACTTGCTACGATTTAACTAGGCCTCTAAGCATTGCTTCCATTACTTAGCAGGTTCTTCGCAGCATGTATGTTAAGTTGGCTTAATATTATCGAACAGACTGCTTCAATGAACGTGGATGCACGGATATAAGTACGACATACAATCTGCACTGCACGCACGTTGTCACGATCCGGCTACAACTGTCCATATACAATCCCATATCAACGGCGACTCGCCTCACCGAGAGGGACCATGATCGTAGTCATGACGAGATGCAGGGGTATTATGTTACCAGGATCAATATCATCGAATAAAATCAAGTGTACAATAAAAATAGCCCCTGTTTTGCTCAGTTTCGAACCCCTCTCCATAATGCGAAGACACAGTTGGATGATCTCCGTGGTGAGGAGGAAATTGATGACTCCGAGGAGTCATTCTTTACTAAGGCCCAGATCTTTAAGAGTGGTGGGATATGTACTAGTTTAGATAGAATTATCAATTAGCTGAAGAGTGTTACCGCAACGCCCATATTAATTATGCACCATTAAAGGAGAGACTACGAGTCTCATCGTGAGAAGCCACGCATTGTAGACGAACCTGCGCATTGCAGACTTGATTCGAAGCAGCCGCCCTCAAATCAGACATCGTAAGGCCGACCGAGTATTCCACAAGGGAAGGGTGGCCTCAGAGTATTGCACACCAAAGGACTGAGAGTCTCGTACCGAATGAATATCAAATAGCCAATGGCAGCTCACGGACTTGCTCCCCCTCTAACCGTAGAGACCGGTTCTGATGGAACTAGTCTCTGCTGCGCGGATCCAGTCCTGGAACTCGAGGAGATTCAAAAAATCTATTCCACTCTAGTCCCTCTATTCATGGTGTGTTCTATCGCGTCTGGTGGCTGATTCTGTATGCACGACTTACTAATATCTACTCACTCATTTATATTATATGTTTATGATCTGATTTTATTTGTCTCTGACGCGATCTTTGGATTGTCACTGTTTCCCTGCGTATCACAGAAAGAGATGTAGAGGTGGAGAGTCGTGGTCTGTTTCATATTGTCTCTGATATATCTATTTTTACGCCGGACAGTGGTTGCCAGCTTTGAAGGACTTACATGAGGAAACAGAAAGGATTCGAGTCTTAACGCGATGTTACACATTGTCAATCAATGCGAAACAGGGGAGCGAGGTCTATCTTATTCTTATCCATTCCATCTTCTGACCCGGAAAATTAGTTTTCTTCTAGCGGAGAAAAGTCCAATCCACTATCTTTTCTGCAATGGTCCAAGTCTGGGACCAATTATCAACCGGGAATTCGGCACTGCGGTGGCAATTTTGGGACGAGATTGATGGGAATACCATGTGCGTAGCACTGCAACTAACAGCAGGGAAATTTCTGTCTGGGTAGGTCAGTAGGCTATGCTATCCATCAACGTAAATACCTCACCGGCTCATCAGTGCCTACCTACATGCAGAGTACTACTTTAGTTACCCCAATGGGGCTGCAGGCTCTGCATACCCCATATATATATCAAGCATATATATAATTAAATGCTTGCAGTGTCAAAAGCGGCTATAAAGCTCAGGAAGCGGATTGTGAGAGGGGTCGATTTACTCTGCCCAGAAAGCATAACGGGAATCCATTCGTATGGCAGTTAGTATTGGGTAGTGATAATTAATTTATAATTTGGATGGACTGTGAATGTGATAATTGCTGCCTTGGATGCCTGTCGATCGCCATCCTGTAGGCGGACTACTAGATAGTACTTTCAATGTATGCGCAGAGTATATACTATGTAGGTAGTAGAGAGCAGCAGTACTGACTGACCTCCAGTGCTGGTCTGTATATCATCGCTCATGACGTACCACTGTTGTTGCAGAGGTCCTTGTGTAGATGACGTAGGGAACCGTTTGGCACTACATTAGTGCCTCATACGAGTACACTGGGACCCCCTATTTCCATTACCACATTTCTACAATCTGGACCTTACGATATTCCGTTCCTACCTAAGCGAAACGGAATTGGTAACGCTATCACTTCGGTCGAGACGCTTAGCGCCTAGTGCTCGCTAGCATACCTACTCCGTCCTTAAATTCAGTCGACATCATGCAACCGACCAGTACTGGGAATGTGATGTGACGCTATTCGTGAGGAGTCGATCAATCCCCGATACAGAAGAATGATCTCTTCGTTGTTTAAAGTCAGAATCTAATAGATGTACTTCGTACAGCGCAGGCCTTCCAACCAGTCCATGCACACGGTACACGATGATCACGGAAAGTCCTCGATTTCCACAGAGGTTCGAATGCGCATGGACCTAGATTGGGACCGGCCTTTGTAAGTTGCGGAGGAGCTTTCCACCCTTCCTCTCTTTTTAAAAAAAACTGTCTACTTTGAGTTTAGAGCCTCTCTACAGAACTCTTCCCGTTCCAGCTAGCCGTGTGATGGAAAGTCGAACTATACGGTATTGTACAGATGAAACTAGAATCCGCGGTGTACGAGACAAGACAACTATCGATGCGAAATGCGTACCTACTACCTCCCTAGGGGACCCTTGATTTTACTTGAATTGCTAAGCTCTGGAACCCTGGCCACTCAGGGAGGCAGTGATATTGATACGTAGGGACGATTGGAAGGGAAGAGGGGCCAAAACCAACAAGGGATTACCACTTAGATCAAAAATATTGGCCCGTGGATACTTCCTTCTCTTAGCTCACTGCACTGCATAAGCCGTGCAAATTCCCGCCGCGACATTGGGTACCGCACCGGCTCAGCGGCTGAGTGGTGGACTACCAACTAACACGGCGGCAGCGAGGCAGGACAAATTGTGATCGACCAATACGGCCCGGCCCACTCTCAGATTACGTTTTTGTTGTTGGTGGGTTGTAAACTGGAACCTCTACATACAGTAGTCGACAATAGGCTCTAGAATACTACGCCGTACACTACCTATTTACAGTCTGGAGAGCACTACTTACATACTGGAGGAGGTAATACCCAGGTTATTTTGATTAGGAGTGTCCATGCTCAATTGGAATGGAGTGGACGGTATATGTGGACCCGCTATCGAGTTCAACAGTTGATGCAGATGCTACTATACAAGTATCCTGATCCTTCGTCTCTAGAGGAGTTTATATTCATCTTGGTACCTGGAAAATAAGAACAATAAAAACAATAAGAACAATAGCATAAAGATCATAAATATATACATTATGCCCTCCCTACTGTAATTTATATATATAGTGAATATTCGGCATAAGCTCATACGATATACGCATATCTCCTATATAGACATATGAGTACGTGGCCAATATGATTTTTCATATAAAATGCTCAAAACACCGCTACAAACTCTGTGTGCAGTATCACGGGATGTGTATTTAGACGAGAGAATTCGAGAGATAGAGGAAGATTAAGCCGCGATTATATGTCTCGCGGAACCACTTCTGCAGAGTCTGGTAAGAATAATGCGGGTGCAGAAAATAATGAGCTCATAGAGCTGTCTTATGAGCTGTTCGAGATTGGATTTTTGGCCTGTTTAGCATTTGAATGTAAGGGATATAGTCTGAATAAGCTTCTTGAGATTCCAGTATAAGCACATTTGTATGGGAAGTTGAATAAAAAAGTAAGCGAAATATCAAATTAAGAACGAACGACGTCATAGAACAATGGCCGGAGACTGAAACAATCCTTTTGGGTGGATACGGCGAGCAGAGAATAAGATAACTATATCACATGACATTATACAGGAGAAGGCAAAGTACTGGCCAATACTCTATCAGAAAAAGCAATGACTGCCTTTAGTAATGTACGGCTTAATCGCTTCCAGTTACGCAGAAATGTAAAGCATAGGAAGATACATGGTTAAGATGGAAGCCTTTCAGAGGATGCAGCGGCTGGCATGATTGCAATGCGCCATATTCTAAACACCTACGCACCTCAAGATATCTTTAATTGTGATTATATCAACAATATCCAAAAGATCATCGGAACCCACCTAATCAGAAGGGTTTGAGAACTAATTTATATCCATAGATTCTTGAATGTAATTTGACGGTTGAAGCTTCCGAATACCCTCCATAATCTCCTTAACGAGGTCGTGATTTATGCCGTTTTGCGGTCCCAATAAACCAAATAAGAAGGCGCTTGAGGCATCTGAATTGCAATAGAATAAAGCACTTATTCGAGATTTTGTCTTATTGCAGCCTGGAATCTGACGTTCAGTTAAGCTTCAATCTAAAATCATCCTCCAATATAAAGTAGTAGCGTTATTTTAGGCTAGATTTCTACTGTAAATAAAGAAGAAGGCGGTGGTAATGATACCTAGGAGGTTTTACAAATATGTCC